TTCTTTTCCTATTATCTCTATCTATAGACAAAGGATAGGTCTGTGTGCGAGGATGAAAAGTCAGCAAAAATAACCAAACAGGGATGAAGATTTTTCTACAGAATAAATGATCAATTTCATGTCCTACAAATATCAGTTCAGTCTTGGGAAGAAGTGTTTTAGTAGACATGTTGTTATGTTGTAGAGTAATTCAGAACTAAAATCTATTTAAGTTCTATGCCCCAATTATTGTACATTCTCGATTGCTTTTACATGTAAATTGAATCCCTGTGATCATATTATACTAATCAATATCTTTAAATTGCAACTGTGTATGATCAATACCAGATTATTTATCTTCCTAATCATTGTAACTGTTGACTCATGTAATACAGTCATTATAGTTAGATACTACGCACCCAGGCCCGTCAGACAATAACCAAAATGGGGGTACGGTTTCAGTTTTTTTTTAGTGGAAGTAGTCATATGACGTTGAAGATACGCTGTTTTCAAGTCCATTATGATCACTTGATTTACCATTAATTTACTTATATCTGCTGCATAATGACTTGCTAATAGCAAATTTTCGAAACAATATAGCAAATGGACAAGATTGTGGTTACTCTGACCTGGTCTGATGAAAATAGCACCATTTGAGCATCACAAGTAGCTTTAACATTTCTGACATTTAACGAGCCTGTACTTTCTCTGTTATAAGGTAGAAACAGTTCTTGAGACTAAATAAGTATTTCACCTCCAATAAAAATACCTGTATACAAGACATGACTTACCTGAGTAATTGTCGAAGGCTGTTGGAACGTATTCTGTAGGGTAACCATTAGTTGTGTAGCTGACCACAAGGCTTGTTTTGCCTATTGCTCCATCCCCCAATAAGACACATTTGACCTTGGGGGAAGCGGAATCTCTTGATTTTGAATCTCGGCTACTGCGATCCATCGTCAACACTCCGGGACTATGGGTAGTGTGGTAAGAGTCTGGTAAGTTAGGAGCGTGCGGTGGCATAGTCTTTATACATTTATCTTAGTTTATGACTTGCAATGCTTTAAATGTACTCCAAATAGAATTGATAAAAAAGTTCAAATCAGCTGTGATCTGAAAGTGAAAACTTTTAGAATCCAAAAATGTCCTTGTATGATTGATTCTGGTGTAAATCCGGCGCTAAAATCGCTGTTCTTTTGTAAACAGTATAATGATATACTCCTTTAACTATCTGCTAACTCTTGTAGCTATCGATAGATAATTCAAATGAGAATTCAATGTTTAGAGAACATTTACTTACGAGCTGCTACTTGTTTGGCTGTCTGCATGTAACTGAAGGTTGTATGATCATCTCGACACCTGATTGGCTAAATTTAAAATGACGTCATCTTACCGTGGGAATGAATGAAGTTGATTCATTGGCGCGAAATTCAAATCAACAAAAGTTGAAAACTTTAGTCTTACTTCATTTCTAAGATTTCAAAGTTGATGAAACAAAATAGATGTTACAAACTTGGTTCTAGTGCTGTACACCATTATGGACAATTTTACATACTGTATTACACAGTTTTATTTCAGGATTCAACGTTATTGAATCGGAGGATATCTTGTTCCATGTCATATTTCTATGATGCAAATGATGGCCTATAGATAGTAAAAACCATCCTATGCTCGTTTAATTATCCAAACAAACATAGATAAAGTTAGAAACTATATCATCATGCTTTCAATTTTGTGCAAGATTAATATATTTCTAAAGTTCAGACTGACATCTATTAATGAAGTTGATTCACTAAAGATTATCAGTTCTATTTGTGGATTTACTATAGCAAGTTCCAAAGATGTAAAATATTGGGTGATTTGGCATTAATGATTGATAAGCAATGTATAATTTAAATTATTTTCTGTGTAAATATATAAATATCAAGTGCTAGAAATACTAATATGAGTTTCATGGCAGATGCAAGCATGAGGTCTCTAACATAGTTTATTAGTAAAAGGGGTCTAATTACCCAAATGCGAGTAGATAGTTACCATTTTCACCATCTAGTGACTAACTATTAGATGAGTGAACTTAGTGATCCAGTCCATCAAAATCAATTGTTAAACAAGTTGAGCAAAAAATGACTGAACAGGAAATCATTTCAAACTATATTTGTTCATTTCAATTTATTCCAAATAATTTATAATTTACAACAAAAAATGGCTGATTTATTTAAACAATATAAAACAAATTGTTCTGGATGATATAAGGCAAATATACACAAATATATAAAACAAACCATTAAATAGTCAAGCTACAAGCCTCTCTGTGACCCCCTCCTCTTCTTGACAACACACCTTCTCAAATAGCAGTGGGGGGGGGGGTCACAAGGGTTTGTAGCTCGACTAACCATTGGATGTTTGGCCAATAAAATCAGACAAACATTGACATTTAGACTAATATCTGCAATGAAAATTAGGCACCTTCCATTAATGGATGAGCCATAATTGACTATAACAAGGCCAACTATAAAACACATAATCAAACAATCTTATCAGGTTATTATTTTCTAACTACAGTTATTAGGATGGTATATAACCCAATCTCTCAAAATGGCCAAATTAATGCAAGATGGCTTGGATTGCTTTTATATTAGCCATTATTACTGATCTTACACATCATGAAAAAGTTATACTCTGGATTTTCAAGTCAATCATCCATGATTGAGAAAGTACCTAATGGTGGATGGTGGTAGAGAGAGGGAACAAAATACATGTACTTGTAAAAAAAACCTATTCAACTACAGAATATGTTGTATTAAGCACAAGACCATTTCTGCAAGTGCAAGTCCATGATGTGAGGCAGTGTCTCACTGTAAAAGCACAATTCTGACTAGTAGTGTTTCTATAAATGTATCGATTTTCAGTCAGGGTGCTGGGTGCGATTGTGGCATAAACAAGCCAAGAAATTAAGATTTATCTTGAATTTAACAAAAATTGAGCTAGAAGCTTCAAATGAAAAGCATTTTAAAGCTATTTTCTTTCTCGTGGTTAAATTTTTATTGCTTAAGGGGGGGGGGGGGGTGATCGCACCACCCTGACTACACCTGTGTAGTGGAACTTGGATTTCAAATTCATTCAATTCATCACAAACCGCATATCCTTTCTTTAAGAAGAGTGAAGAGTGGCTAGTCTATCAACTCCATTATTCCATCACAGAAAAATAGTTTAGACCTAAATGTTGATGAAAAATTTGAAACTTGGGTATGGTGCAACAATATCCTGTGTCTGATAAATAATTGTTCTTGTATTCTGCAATGCAATTGGTTAGAAAAATAGATTCTGAAGAAACAATAGGAAATCTACTTAGGGTCAAGGGTAAAAAGCCAAGGTGACACGATTTATTGATTTGTCTGTATGGAGAAGAGGCAAAGATTGGAAAAAGGTTTGACCAAGAAGGGTTTCGCTTGACCTGGTAAGCACTGCTAAACAGACAATGCATTTTAAAGGCCTAAATACAAATATACTGGGACACCCATTATATTAAACAATTAGCTGCAGATTTATCATCTCAATACACACCACTTAGCCAGGCTAAAAAAGCAAGTGCTGTCCAAGCTAATTAGTTTTTAATGTGAAAGAAAATGAAATACAAAATGTTCTTCAATGACTGATAGAATGATTGACTAGGTATATGGCAGATTATATCCTGCTAAAACTCTTAGATACATTGTGTAGCTAATATATTATAATACAAGATAGGATACTAAATATACATACATACATATGCAATAAACAGCAGCTTATGAAAACATGTCATGGTGGAATGATAATATTACATATTTTAGAATCTAAAACAGTCAAATTGAATCTACATCAACATTTAAAATCTACATCAGTAATATTGAATCAACATCAACATTTAGAATCTACATTAGTAATATTGCATCAACATCAACATTATAGAATCTACATCAGTAATATTGAATCAACATCAACATTTAGAATCTACATTAGTAATATTGCATCTACATCAACATTTAGAATCTACATTAGTAATATTGCATCAACATCAACATTTTAGAATCTACATTAGTAATATTGAATCAACATCAACATTTTAGAATCTACATTAGTAATATTGAATCAACATCAACATTTTAGAATCTACATCAGTAATATTGCATCAACATCAACATTTTAGAATCTACATCAGTAATATTGAATCAACATCAACATTTTAGAATCTACATTAGTAATATTGAATCAACATCAACATTTAGAATCTACATTAGTAATATTGCATCTACATCAACATTTTAGAATCCACATCAGTAATATTGAATCAACATCAACATTTTAGAATCTACATCAGTAATATTGCATCAACATCAACATTTTAGAATCTACATCAGTAATATTGAATCAACATCAACATTTTAGAATCTACATCAGTAATATTGCATCAACATTAACATTTTAGAATCTACATTAGTAATATTGAATCAACATCAACATTTTAGAATCTACATCAACGTTATATAAAAGCTATCTCAGTCATGTTGAATGAACAGCATTTAACAATTGTGATGATAAAATGAAAGAAATATAAACTAGATTGTCTAACACATAAAATGAACAGACACTAGCATGTAAAATTACAAACTTATATCAATAAATACTTTTACTCGTTTACAATGACAAAGAAATGGATACATTGATATGATGAAATTCTGGTGTCGAATTTCTTAATTATTTACAGTATGACAGTCTATAGATTTAGTATTTTAAGCAAAAGTCAATTTTGGAATTTGACTCATTGAGAAAATAAATTAGACACGGCAAAAGAGAACAGTGACAAATGAAACAGCTTAAAATGATTATGTTGATCAAGTACCTTAATATAGTGTATTATACAATGTATTCTTTAGTATAACATGTATATAAAGCAGCAGAGGTAGATACAGTAAAACATGATTCAAAACTTACTAAAATTATCAAACATATGCAAGGAAATGCACAATAACAATGTGCCAAAACCTTGCTCAAAATTCTAAAAAACAAACTTAAGCAATTTACAATTTGCTTCTAAATCTAAAACCTTTGGTATAATTTCCTGCAATAAAACATCACACAATTCCAATGGATATGTGATTCAATTGATTCAAAACTGCTCAAGTTATAATATTCAAGTTGATTCCAGATTAACAATTACATGTACATTCAGTTCATGCATAGCATTACATTATTGGATTTGTTCACATTTAAAAAACTTGTATATTTGTGGCAATCACTTTCGCATTTACTGAATTCATTGTATGGGTGTGAGCAAATCCCCAATGCTACTTAACAGCCCTTGTACAAATTGCCACTTGTATTGAACAGCCCTTGTGTTGCAGCATTATAACACAGAGGGTACACAGGTTTGTGCATTGATTATTGCTTTTGTTTCAATCATAACTGTATTTGTTCAGGGGCAAATCACTCGAAAATATCACAGATTATGATTCCTGGATTTCATTTGTCTTTCACAATGTAAATAAAGTGATATCACAAAATATATGTGAATTTCCTGATTCCTTATTCGGAAAAGTTTTAGAAATAGATTCTCGTTTCACATCTCCTCACTTTTTTGTGCATTTTGCAACAAAATTCCTGAAAATATAAAACATCCATATATACATAGTCAATATTTCTTAATTTCAATGCCCCTTGATCAAAAGTACATTTAGCTCAATATGTGTACAGTTCGTTGAGAATGTCTCATTTGTTAACCCTCCTTGCAAAAGCAAGTGGATTATTTAGGGTAATAAAACATTCATCAAATCTTTTATACAAAGTTTTGACTTTTAAGATGAGGTCTTGAAGATTTTACTGTTTGGTATACCTAATTACAAGTAGTACAAAGTTAATTAGTAACAAAATATGAAGTAATTTCTTTTTAATCTGTTATCTATTGTGTGTGATTTATCTCTTTCTGTATATTTGATGACAAGTGTGATTACTCTGCTAGCAGTACAAGGTTAAGATGTGGGACCTTTCACTTGAAGAGACATATATTACATATAAGTTGACATATTGAGACAAGCCTCGTTTTGTGTTTTTTTAATATGCCATTGTGATTTATAACAAAAAAGACAAACAGATCACAATAATAAAAAGTAGAATGATCCGATGAAAAAACAAGTCAATTGATTTTGAAAGAAAGGTTATTCTGGTAACATAAGCCTTATATTAAATATTAAATTAAATGTAATCCCTTTCAAAGGTTCAATGAAACCATAATATTATTCTATTTTATCTTGGAAAATTGCTCTACTGGTATGTCTTCATTATATACTGTGACGTTACAAAGTGTTAAGTATATTCACACGATGGAATATTAATTAAATTGACGAAAAAATAGTCTTGATTTTGAAAGAAAGTTTATTTTGAAAGGTTATTTTGGTAATATGTAATCCCATTCAAAAGTTCATAGAAACCATAATATCACTCTATTTATTTTGGAAAATTACTCTACTGGTATGTCCTCATGTAATAATGTAAGATTGCAAACTCTTCATTATATTCACACCATGGGCTATTAATTAAATAAATATTTTGTGAGTATACGCTACAAGTGAGAGAAGCGAATGAGCTTGAGAAGGAAGGGATTTGTGGGGGAAATTTGAAAAATGGGATTGCATTTGAAGCTTTCTGGGGCATTTCAAAATACAAAAATCTGCCTAATTGTATTGTATTGTATATTTATTTACCTCTAATCACTAGAGAGTTACAATTATAAAGTTACAAATTGAAATAATGAATAAAAACACACATATTTAAAATAGTGAAGAAATATATATCCCAAGTTAAGATGAAACCTCTATAGTGAACGATGCCATCTTCCCCAAGGTCGATAGCTCAGGACCAAAATAGAGTTGTCACTCCAACAACGAATTTCTTTTGATTTGCATAGCCAGAATTATGTCTGCTGTTTTTAACTGAATTTCGGTTGTACTTTCACCAAATATTTGTTTTACACGTAACTCATTGCTCATATTATAATCGTATGGACGAGTAAAATGTAAATTATTGCCCATTTTTAAACATATTTAAAGTTTGGGGTATTTCAATATAAAAATCAACTTTTCTCTAAATTCTGAGAGTATGCCATGGCGTTTTACGCGTATATGACACTACACCAGTGATAAGTATAGCAATAGTATAAGAACTTTTACACTTTTTAATGATTCCAACTCATAGTAATCACTTTGAATGTTCTACTCACTGAATTATAGAAGGAAGTTGAGGAGCTTTGTGAATGTGTTTGTGACCGTAGTTATGTTCTCCATCAAACTCGCGGAATGTGACGCTGGATGTGTCAACTCTATTCTTGAGTGCAGCTTGATATAACTGAAAATACATACAAAACTACATATAAACGAGATATTGATTAAGATGACAAAATGTCACCACCTGTCAATGGTTACAATGGTGTAACAATTGTTACAGACAGACATTGAATGCCAGTAACAACAAAAATCAAAGGCTATAACAATAAATATACTGTATATGCATTTACAAGATATATGAATACTGTAATTCTTTATTGCATGTCTCTGTGCATTTTGGGACATGAAAAACAGTTGATGAACATGAGGTGGCCTTTAAACTACAGTTATCACAGACACTAAAAGAAAATATGTTAATATGCAAACCTACATGCCTAATTAGCTTTCATTTTATTCAAAAATACAAAAATATTTAACTTGTGAAGTGTTCGCCTACACAGAACTATATTGAAACATCCGACTTACATTGAAAGTATTTTATTAATGGTTGAGTGAGATAACAAGATGAGTCCTTAATTCCGTGTCTAAACCCATAATTCATTCACTTTTAAGTTAACAAAACTTAGAAGTGTGAGGAGATCTTCTTAGTTTGTATAGGAAAGCTTCAATCAATATTGGAAGATTTAAAAAAATGTTTGTGATTCATGTAATATCCTTAAATCCCCCAAGGCTCCACAGAGATTACAGTTATATGTTTGGCAAATATGGAACAGGTTGACTTTTTTTCAAAAATGTTATTGACAAATTAGTACTTTAATAGTTCAGAAAATCATAATTTCGCAAACTTGACGACACAGAGTAATCTTTTATTTATACAAATAAAAAAACTTTGAAGAATGGCACATTCACACTGAAAAACATAGACATGTCAGACAAACAGAATACATATAATATTCAACTAAAACTACATTTTGACATGTTTTCATGTTCCCCTTGATTGACATGAATGTGTGGGGGTGCATTTCTATGATTCATATTTTTTCTTAAATAAATTGATTGAAAATGGTTGTAGTTCTACAGCAAAATCATTTGCGAAATCATTCACTTTTTATAATGCAATTCTTGTAGACCAATCTATGAGAATTTTGTTGAATTTAGAGATATTTTCTCCCCAAAACTGCACTGATTGCTTGTGAAATAGAAATGCAGAAACTTCCCTAATCTGATTCCCTGACCAGTGGCAGGTATCCATTAAACAAACTAATTCATGTCAATAAGACTTTTAATCCTGTAATCTGAAAAAAACCAAACTGTGTCCTTAATGGTTTAAATTAACACCTAAAATGGGTTTAAAAATGATCCCTTTTTAAAACACTGAATATCTTAATCTCCAATCTTAGTAGAACTGACCAAAGAGCATGTTGGTTAAACTGAAATGAACCAAGCCTTTTCCAATAAATTCTTAAAACAAACAAAGTTTATAATTGAGGATAATTGAGAGATCATATACAAATGTTGATATACATCTTTAGTTATTTATAATGTGGGATGAAGTGTATGTTGTTTCACCCTAATGGTGTTACATTTACCACACTCTTGTGTATGAATGGCATGATGTTATTACTTTTCTAAACTGGACTGAGACAAACATACTTTTCAGTGTACTTGATTATTCATGTATTAAAGCATGTGTTGTGAACACTTGTTGAAAATAGAACACCTCAAAAGGAGAACAATTTCCTCTTTTTGAATGTCTATTGACTCCAGGTTATCAAAACCTCACAATGATGAGAACACAACTGTCATATGGAATGTGTTTTCTTGTATATTTGGATTCTATTGAACTCTAATTGACCATTGAACGATTGTGGCTAACACATGCACACCTTTTCAAGTGAATCACAATCTAGAAAAGAGACAGCAGACATTTAAACAATGAAATCATAAAAACTCTTTTCCTGTAAATTGAAAAGGTCTCTCAGGATGCGGTGGCAATGCAACCAAATACAAATACTGACCAGGATGTAGGGAAAATGCCACCACTCTAAAGCTAGCAATTAGTGAAAGCTCTCCAAAATAATGAAAATGTAGTTTGCACTGAGACACTTTACACTGGCGAATCTAGGATGGATTTTTTCAAACTAGAAACGTGGGTCCCCCTTGTTCCTTTTCAGATCCATCCTTGCTTTACCCTCCCCCCATTCTCTCACACTGGAAGAGAGGGAATGGGGTGGAGTATATAAAGGATGCGAGACTTCAAAACATAAAATAGTCTTCATTAATAATGAATGCAACATGAGATTCTGTGGTGGAGACAAGTGGTGTACTACTCTGATAATGTCCACTCAAAATACACTCAGTCGAACCCATGGAGTGGGAAGAATAGACAGACACTGATCAAGTTACAGATAGAAACATCTTTCTGATAAAGCACTCTGTTACTCAAAAAAAAAAAAATTTTTCAATCGAATCCAAATAAGACATTGCCATGCTACTTCATGATGACAATAACAAGGAGATTCAAATCTCCAGTCGAACCCATGGAGTGGGAAGAATAGACAGACACTGATCAAGTTACAGATAGAAACATCTTTCTGATAAAGCACTCTGTTACTCAAAAAAAACAATTCTGAAATTCGTCGCAACTTCTTTCTTCTGACAAATAGCAATCGAATCCAAATAAGACATTGCCATGCTACTTCATGATGACAATAACAAGGAGATTCAAATGTTGTCTTTTTGAGTGTGAGAAGATTTTGAGGTTAAAATCTATATTCAAACAAATATCATCTCACGTCCTGATATGTCCTGATATGGCTAGAAAATTTCAAGTCACACTCAAACATATATTTATCATATACATGTAATGTGTGTCAGAGAGATGGCCACTGGGTTTATCAAATTCATACTTTGCTAGATATACTAGATATATAATGGTATTAGTGATATTTGGTATAATTTATCAGTATTATGGAGGTGCTTAGCTTAAGATCAATTCTCCACTTTGTTTATTGAAGGGAGGGACAATATTGGCCAGGATATCTATTCTGTATCATATTCAGTCTAACTCCACCCTCTGTTCTGTGATAAAGCATGAAGCAAACACAAAATGGATAAAACAGGGGTAATTAGGATTGTTTGCAATTGTCAAAATGTCACTTTTATCATACTAGAAAGCTGTAGTATTGATGTAAATATCATATTTCCATTGTGATTTATCAGAGTCCCCCTTTATCTAATGTTTGAAAGACACAGGCATTCCTAGAGATAGTACAAGCTGTGCATCCCACAATGTAATATGTCCCTTTTACAATATTTCATTACATTATTTCCAGAAAGAAGTTGGTGAAAGCCATGCAGTTCAACACAGGTCATCCCCTACTGTTAAGTTTGGAGGCTATAACTGTATCTAATCTAGAGCTTGAGACAATACATATTGAAGATGCTTTGAAGTGTGTGAGACCAGGTGATAGGATGATGCCATATACCTAAGACCTTCTATCTTTACCAGACACTACTAACCAAACAATTTCAAAATAGATTAAAGCAATCCTTGATAACATTCAAGTTTATAACTATCAAACTGTCATAAAATTGATAACAGGTAGTGCATAGATGTTTACACTACAAATGGCATGAGGTTGACATCATTTTATATCAAAATGACACCTCGGACCTCAATGCTTTTAATACAAGCCATATATTACTTGAACAGATTACAGTGGCGTAAAATTGAATTCAGAATTTTTCAAAACGCTTCCAGACTTATTAGTCAATCTATTTTGACTTTTAATAGTAAAACACTGTTTGTTTGTTGTGTGGCTGCTATTACTGATGCCTAAATAAAGTTGAAATAAAGTTTAATAAGTGTGTAAACAATCAGAATATTGAATCTCATAACGTCAAATACAGTTGACACTTCTTGAACAAACAAGTCCATTCATAATTTCAATCGAAACTCATAAATCAAAATGTTAACATCGTAAATAAATCTACTGTAAACATCGTAATGAAATATTTTCAAGGCCCCACCCTATCTTAAAACAAAGTAAAATGTTGACGAATTTCTCGTTCAACTTTGCTGACAAGTAGAGAGTGGTATTTTGAAGATAACTGAATGTTTGATTATGGTTAATGTTTAAGTATATTTAGATGCAATATTTATAAGGAGTTTCACTATCATGACACTTTCAATTGTCAAAAATGCAATACTGGCTGTAAAGATCCTCATAAATTATGTTGAGAATCATTGAATTTTTGAGATTATATAAATTATGAACATATTTTTCATATGACACTGGTGATCCATTCCATTACGCTGGCTATTCGTTTCGGTAACAAAATGTTGGAACCTCGAAGGTACGATTTTTCTTTTTTCCTTATTCCACGCGTTGAAGGCACAATTCCAACGACCTTTGTGTCAGTAAAACATGTGTCAGTATCATATGTCTAAGAAAATGTACATGTTTGCGACCAAATAGTTCAGAAGACCACAGAATTGTCAATTAATACCTAACTTAAGTTACCATAACAGAAACTTCGGAATGCGGAATTCTGCCCACAATGCGTAAAATAAGGAAAAAAGAAAAACCTTACCTTTCATGCTTCTACTTCTTTTGTATCATACACCACATGTTCATAGCAAGCTGGGCAATGGTCAAGGACATTAGGGCAATTGTCAAGGATATTAGGGTAATGGTCAAGGACATTAGGGTAATTGTCAAGGATATTAGGGTAATGATCAAGGACATTAGGGCAATGGTCAAGGATATTAGGGCAATGGTCAAAGACATTAGGGCAATGGTCAAGGACATTAGGGCAATGGTCAAGGACATTAAAGCAATGGTCAAAGAATATAAGAAATTATGGTTTCCTGTGTTGTAACTTATACTGCAGTAGAAAAAGAGCAATTTGAAAACTCAAAATTCAAATATTTTGTATGGGTCAGGAATCTTTATGAATAGCAATACTACACATGAGTGTTTGGTTTTGCCCATTTCACATATCTAATAGCTCAAAGGTCTATACTTTTAACTTTTTAATAACGTTTCAATGACAAGTCTCCAAATATTTAGAATTAGTGAAAGAATGTTGTAGATCACAGTGACATTCAAGTAAATCACATAAATCTGTAAATCTGGCCTTTTTAATGAACAAACATCAAAGTAATTTGAAAGTGAGCAAATTTGTATCTGCCAATTAAATACTGCATAAGGTGACAATGTCTACAATTTGCATAATTGAATTATAACATTACTTGAATGTTACATTTGAATGCATGGTTAGGTACATGTAAGGTCATACAGGGCATTGATCTCCCCAGGTGTTTTCTCAGGTGGGTGCAAATTCTCATTTTCAGAATTCAGACCAAATTTGGTCAAAATATGCCAATTTTTCAAGATTTTTCTCATTTTAAGTGGGTGCTAATGGATTATCAGGTGGGTGCAAGCCTTTTTTCCAAATCTCAAGTGGGTGCTGCACCCACTTGCTTTAATGCTGGGGAGATCACTGCAGGGATATACATCGGTCTGTGACTCCATTCAATTTTTGTTCTCTTATTCAAGTTTTATTTGAACTTCGCCAATCGTTTCCATGGTAATCACATAATTTTAATACAGACAGGAAAAGTTGGTATAACAGCAGGTTTACTCTATTTTGCATTTTGTATAGATGGCAGCACATGATTGCACATTAAACTGAGGTGCCTATTAACTATGAAAAAATAAAAATCCAAGATGTTCATACTTTTTAACAAGAAAAATCATAAATATGAAATATGTGTGATAGATTCAAATTTAACATTTAATCCATTTTGATAAAAGAACATGTGTCTTATTATCAAAACACTCACAAAGGAAGGAAAACATAATGTCACTTATGGTCCTGAACAACAACAGAAACCATTCAGTTTGTTACATTGGCATTGAACAAAACTAAAATGGAAAAGTTTTTATCGCATAGGAGTCTATTACCATATTTATAGGATATCCTATGATTTTGAGGAATATCATTTTTATATACGAGGTGATATTGATATCTGCACGAGAGAGCAAAGCGAATATCAATATCACTGAGTAGATTAAAATGATATTCTGAAAAAATCATAGGATGTTCTTGTTATCCTACACTTACAAGGAGTGTACTAAATGTATAATATCATTCCAAAATGAATTTCATGCCAAATAGAGTCAATTTGGCGGGAAATCAACAAGCGGAGTATATCGTCACAATATCCTCCGCATATTGGGTTTTCCGGAGTATATCGTTACGATATCCTCTGGTTATTCATTTTGCCAATAAATATCAAATTTATTTTTTAATGTTGTACCTTTAGTCCACTAAGTGTAGGATAAAGTGCATTATCATAGATACACTGTTTACCATAAGTAAAACAGTGGGGTATAATTTTTAAACCATTCTTAAAATGAATTCTCTTATCCTTGAACTATGGCATCATGATATCCATCATTACAACAATGGATGCACATGTGGTGTCACATCCATCATTACAACAATGGATGCACATGTGGTGTCACATCCATCATTACAACAATGGATGCACATTGTGGTGTCACATTATGCATAAACATAGGCATAGTTCAGAACAATATTTGATTCCTATATCACTCTACTATACCTAACCCCTAGAAATGCATATGGTATACTGTTTATCTAATTGTATTGTTTAGTATATTTGAAAGTACCTTATTAACAGTCATCTGATAAACCATTCATAAGGAACAGACACATAAAAACATAATCATTACTGATAAGCCAAATGGGTTGCCACTGAACACCAAATGCAAGGTATAGTAGAGTGTATATATCATCTCCAGTGAAAGATTTTGGTAAAATATAGTTAGTAATTAGTCATAAAATACAAAACCTGCAATAGTTAATAAATATTGTGAATGCAACCTGAATAATATACCATACTAGCAATTTAGCATGTACTAGGTTTATCATTGAGAATGGAACTGAGCCTATTACTTTCTACATTACCTTCTCTCCAAGATGGAATGGCACAATTTTATCATCTCTAGCATGTAGAATGAGCAATGGACTGTTGACTGACTGGAGGCTGAAATATAGCACATAACAAATTATGAAACAATATAATCCTTTCATATAAGGTTCTCATTTTCAAAACAGCATTCTCACTTTGAGGTTTTGGTTTTTGATAGTAAATGAAGTATGGGGATTTTCCTTTGTTTCTAAATGTAGATTTGAAAATTCTGCAATCAATGCAATGTAAGATACAAATCATGTATTGGAATGTTTAATGACAAAGGGTCTAAAATACTTACTTTGTGCCACTATCAAAGTAGACCCCGCAATACTCTATGGCATCTAAGAAAACATAGTTGAATATACTCCTCGGCAGAAGAAAAAATGGCTGGAAAAAGAGCATTATTTCAGTACAGTGTTATTTAGTTCAGAATATATGTACTGGTACATTAATTCCATGGTTACTGTATGGACATCATTACAAAAATATGGTATCTTTGTAACCAGTGGAAAAATATCATGTTTTGTCAATTTTTCATTGAACCATCAAATACAAGTTTCAAATCATGAGACCCAGTGCCATATCTGTTGGTTAACAGACTTTTGCTACTTGACTCAAAATAAGGCTGACAGTTATAAGGGCCAATCTGCATTTTGAATCATTGGTGTAACAACATTATATTTAGCTATGTACAGTATGTTATTCATGAAGCTGTTATTCATCCTCTTCAAGAAGCAAAAACTGCAAATACAGCTATGAGGCATTCTGATACCCACAGCATCTCTCTACAGACAGCAATGGGGAAAGCCTGATTTACCATGATTGGTGGGATGATTCTACTGCATTTCTGGAGCTCCCCTATGTATAGCAATTCATTTGACTTACCCGAGTAAGAGGATGATTAGCTGCCGCAGACCTGAGATTATTGAATGGAGATTCAAGGACAACTCCTACGGGACATTCATCTGCAATGAATCAAACTGAACAATTAATATTGAACCATTCAGAGTACCATTTCTGCATACAGGGCTCAAATTAAGGGAAGAATTGACTTTTGCATGATCTGAACTGAGTTATTCTTTTCTTGTAAAAAGATAATTACATTAGACTGGTCATGTTTTCATTTTTGTGCACTGGACCCAAATCATTTGATTGTAGATTGGTAATATAAAAGGTGGGATAGATTGACTCTTATCTATTTCAAAGGCATGTATAAATTGCCTATAGACAAAAGAAAGTCTGAACTTACCCTCACATAGCACCTTGGCCACCTTGCTAGCAACACTGCAACACAAACAAATGGATTTAGTGATACTATTGAAAAAATTCCCCTGATTGTTTTTATTATTAGATTTGATTTAATCACTTCGAAAGTTTGTAAACAACACTCCAAACAGTTGCATTTCACAACTATCAAATTATGACCAGAGATTTGTGAAAATAAATTCTTGTTTTTACATACAGGTTTTTCTCTTAGATTTATGTCTAAAGATTGATTGAGTATTTTTATAAATGGAGTATGAGGAGTCACATATTACTTACCCAGAGCCTAAGGAATGACCCCATATAAATACTGGACTATCTTTGCTTCTTCTTTTTATTGATTTATACAAAAAGACTGCATCATATACGACCCCTTCTTCTGTAGGGACCCCTGTAGAGTCACCATACCCTGCAGATATACAATAATATACAAACCAAGGGTGTTTCCATTATGGCAGATATGAACATGCATTATGTAAAGTTTAATATCTGCTTATGAATTAAAAATCCAGTTTTTAAAAATCCATGAAACAGAAAATTCAATCAAACAAGCCAAATATAGCATCAAATTTAAATAGATAAATAAAATTAGAGGGCATATGAAATGGAGTTCGCACAGGTGCTTGTGTGTTGGAGAAATATAAACAATTAGGAACTGTACAAGAAAATGTGATACAGAATCAGGTTAAGCAGATAAGATTTTTGCGGAACATGAGTAAATCTGATTCTGATTGGCTGATTCTTGATCATCCTATTACCCACCTTCCACCCTCCCCTCTCCATTCCCATCTCCTTCCCTCCTCTTCCATTTCTTTTCATTTACGAGGTGTTCTGGAGCTCAACTAGGGTCTAGTCAGAGCTTGCGTCTACGCTGGGCAGAGCTTAGACATGGGGAGGGGGAAACAAGAAACTGTTGGATCTAATGTTATACCTTATGTTACTAATTTAATAATAGATCATCATTTTTTCGTGTTTAAAGATGTGAGAATAAGGAGAAATATCAGAAAGAAACAAGAAAGTTCAAGGGAGAAAACCTGAGAATTTGCAGCCTACTTGGGTTTAATGTTGAAACAAAACTCCTTAATTTGATCATTTCCTTCATCTATTTAGAACTTTTATGAGAGAAGAATGTTGGGGAAGGTACCCAATAATAAATTAATTGGAAGGATGCTTTGAATTTCAAAATACATAATTTTCACTGCGTTTCTGCGAAAGTATACTCTTCATGTATTATTGCCCACTTGATTTCTTTAGAATTCCACTCTTATTCTTATGTATTTGTTAATATTTGGTCATTCCTCGATATTTCTTAAATTTTGAGAAGCAGGGTGGGCACTTATTACAGAGAATATGGTATAAAAAATTAATCAACAAGGTTGTCTCTAAAGCAACATTTAATGGGACACCCTGTTCAGACAAAGTACTAATTATTTCCTTACCTCTATAATCTAGAGTGATCACATGGTACATGGACTGTAGAACCTTGTATAGTTGAACTCTGTGCCAACCACCTCTACAATGAGATATTTTGAATCAATAGCTAAGACATTTATATGTACCTAAACTAAGATGATATTACAAAATGCTATGAGAATTTATGTTACTGATGAAGTCCATGATCACTGTAGATTACTACATGATTTTGGCGAAAGAACAATGGAAATCACGTCTTGGATCTCCTGCTGTGTACAGTATACCTATGTATTATAAATTCAAAAAATAAAGACAAACAAGAATAAACAAAACATCAACATGACAAAATGTCACTACCTAGTTAAAGCAAGATAAAAAAACTTTTTGACCTTGAGGAGGTCATTTAAGGTCAAATCTATTATGACCTTGAGAATGTCATTTAAACCTGCACATCGCTCCAAAACGCAATATGTTGACATATATTGTTTTTACATTTTCAAGCTCTAATATAACGTTTATGTAAATAAAAATTGTTTTTTTCTGCGTAATATCAAAGAACAATCATTTAGTTAAAAAAATAAAAAAGCTAATGCGGGATTCGAACCCGGGCCTCCCGCGTGCTCAGCGAGGATTCTACCCGCTACACCACCGTATTATTATGAAAGGAGGAAGTAATTAAACGCTACTAATTTTGAATGCTATGATTCGGAAGTGACGTCACGTTCTTCATTTAGAAACCTTTCCAAAATCATATCGCCGGCACCGATCGAAGCAAATTCAATGAAAAATCTTTGAAATGACACATTTATCGTAAGTATTTCTACACAAGATTTGCCCCATTTGTTCATCATTCTATAATCTTTCATTAAGCTCTAAATGATAAAGTTCACCCCCGAAACAACCCAAGATTGCGTTTCGGAGCGTAGTCCAGCTTTAAGGATCAAATCTATAGTCAGATTTGAAATGTTGAGAACTTGTAGATGATTTTTAAAAAAAATTGATCAATTTGAGGCAAATTGAAAAATACCTTTTTGACCTTTTGTGACCTTAAGAAGGTCATTGAAGGTCAAATCTCAAATCTTAAATCAAATTTGAACTTCTGATAACTTATAGATGATTTTGAAAAAAAATTAGTTAATTTGAACAAAGTTGAAAAAAGACCTTTTTGACCTTTTTTGACCTTGAAAAGGTCATTGAAGGTCTAATTTTAATTATAAAGTCAGATTTGAACTTCTGAAAGTTATAAGAATTTGTTACAGACACTGATCGCCAACCGCCAACAACCAACCACCGTCAAAAACACCACTTTTTGGTGGTGACATAAAAAATGCAAAAATACAAGAATACAAAGAATATTTATTTGTATATTGCTACGTTAAAAACAGCTGCAGAATGCAGAGTGAAGCATGTGATATATACTGTATAGAGGTTAAGGTTCAAATGATAATCTGACATATTTTAAAAGAGAGCTTTTCAATACAGCAATAACAATTGGTAATAACTATTTGTGGTATATGTTACCTTGTTCCTCCATTACCATGGAGATATAGGATGATGGGCGTACCATCACTCAATGAATCACTAAAATACTGCTCTTCTATAATACCCTCTTTCCTTAGCTTAGGTGGTAACATATGCCTTGAAATAAACATTCAAAACAAGAATTAATGATATATCATACAAATGCATGTATTTCATTCTACTGATACGCCATATATAATAAATATGTATTGTACTGTATACTGGCCAATTCTGTATATCATGTTTATACTCAGTTGACTGTATGCTATATATTACCCATGACTGAACTTAACTTATAACTTCATGAGTGACCTTGGAGAGATCTACTCATGAAAAAAATGACATCCATCCAAAAACAAAAGATATCCAAAATCGATCCCATAAATACAAATAACAACAATATACATTATAACACTAAATAGAGAGACAGAAACCTCTAGATGTAAATTAAGAAGTGAATAGAGACCACATTCAAAAGATAGTTCACTTTGCAATGTGCACGTATGTTAGCCCATGCTCTATTAATTTTTCAAATGAATACCCACCACACTCCTACTGTGACATCATCATTTGTTTTGACATAAGTGTTTATAGTTGCATCCAAACCAAATGTTTCTGGAGATGTGAGATCAACGAATGGTGGCCATCGAACTAAAAAACATGTATTTATTTAGAGCAATGTAAAAACAAAAAATGTAAAAAAGAATTTTCTGATGCAGCAGGGTATACAATAATTTGTATACAACAGCTAGCTTTATAAGAGAATAGTTAATAGTTTCATAATTGTGGTAAATGTATTTGATAAACATCCAAAACTACATCAAGGGATTTTACCATTGATATTATATTTATGACATACATAGTATAAGGATGGAAACCATCTGCTTTTGTACACTCATTTTCACTGACCATTGTTTAGGAATGCTCCTCTCATCATGATCCATGGATACAACTTCACTGTTACGGGTATAGTTACATAAGTAAATAGAAACAACAACCAGAGTGACTTTAGGAAGAATATCATCCATTGCTGTAGTGGAGATTGCCTGAAAATATAATGATATTGATTATCTCAGGTAAGACTCAGGTAAACCACGTTATTCATTCTATCAAGGAACGAGCCTATTTGGTAAAAACTAATTCATGAGATTTTGTATCTCTACGTTCTGGGCTATACTGATCAAAATATAGTTCACCCTGCACATTGTTTTAAAATGAAATCTGTAGAGGCATAAATTATTCTTATATTTTCATACAACCAACAAGATTATGAATACTCTAATATAAAGTTGGTGTGGTTATAAACTGTTTTTATGTGTAATCTCAAAGCACAAGCATTGAGTTAGCAGACAATTTTAGGCCTCATATTAAGGTATGAGTACCGTAATCCAACACCAAATTCGAAAATTCAGAACAATACTTTGCACATATGGCGTTCGTGATCAACTATAAAACGCTTACCTCCTATAGTGTTATATATCAAAATGTACCTGTTCAAATAGGGATTCAATTGATCTCCATCAAATTATAGGGAGTCAGGTTACTTTTTGAGATATCAGCGTCCATTTATTGTAACTCGCATTTGCTACCATTTCCTCAATTCTGAGATGACGGGCAAACACGTAGTAAACATGATCACGTCGGAACTATTTTGACCTACATCGCTATTTTCGTAATTCAAATGAAAGTTGAACTCCTCTTTATTTTGATACCAAATAGTGGCATACTAGGTACCCTAGAAGCTAACTATGGTGTTATTTAGAACAAAACCACAAGTTTTTAAATGGACTATATAGGGGTCATACCTTTTGGCGGATGGATATGGAACCTCATACCTTATAAAAAATGCGTTTGGATGTGAAGTTTGCTAAACATATCTCTTTAGTCAGGAAATGCATTCACATATAGGAAAACAGATACAAAATCTTGTGACTTTATCAAAAAATATGGCTGCCACATTTTTGTACATTTGATTAACTTTAGCGCTACCTTAAAGTGGCAAAACCTAGTGCGCACCATTTTTTAACTTTTACGCATGAGTGTACTTTACATGCGCATGGGCATTGCCGCTAAAAAGATCATGTGACTATTCATATTTAGCTAGCGCGAGTTATTTTCGCGAGACCTAAAATGGCTGCAAACAACAAATAAATTATGTATTGATTCAAATATGTAGTGTATTATAAATGCTACTCAGCACAGCGCTTAGTCAAAATGGGCTCGATTTTTTTCTCTTCAAGAATTATCAATCCAGCATCCCAGAACTGACAGACTGTCAGCTCGGTAGAGTAAGGTTAGATGGTGTTGACCACAGGGGCTTTTCTGGAGGGTCGGGCAAGCCCTCCGATGAATGTGTACTGGTTATTAAGAGTATAAGGGAGGTAGTTGATGCTTCCTGAAATTTGTAGAAAATGATTGTTAGATATATCCAGTAAAAACATAAGGAATCCTTTGAATAATCGACATCCTGATTCAAACAACACTACAGAGCAAAGTTACCCAAAATGGTAGCAATCCATCCACTAGTGGATCCACTGTTAAAAATCCACTGTTAAAAATTGGTAGTTCCTAGAGTTCTTTGTTTCCTTAGGATCATTCCCGTATATTATTTCAATGAAGGACAGCCTATAACGACTGCTATACGCAAAAAGATGCATGAAATTATCGTTTCGAAACTGAATGTTGAAAAATGGCTGACTATCCCGTGTTCTATGCGCAGGTGTGTTCAATCCAGCAATTTGATTAGTTCATATTATATGAATGCATGCGCAATAACTACATTTAGATAGATGTCACTTGCGTTCATTATTTCACAGCAGTCCCTTCCCATGATGCACCTTATATTGCGGGAATATTTTCCTTTCGTGATAAAACAAATAACTCTCATCTCCGAAATACGTTTTCCATTCCTTGGCAATAAACTTTCATTTGGTATCTAAAAAAAACCGAACCAACCGCCGAAAATTAATTCGAATCGTTCTGAATCGTGGGAATGAAGCACTTTCATTTTTGCGCATGCACATAGAACACAGGATAGTCGCCAATTTTCAACTTTCAGTTTCGAAACGACAATTTCATGCATCTTTGCGTATAGCAGTCGTTATAGGCTGCCCTTCGTTGAAATAATATACAGGAATGATCCTAAGGAAACAAAGAACTCTAGGAACTACCAATTTTTAACAGTGGACATGTCTTGAGGTACCCTTTGCATTCGTTTGACTTCACTTCTTAAAAGACAGCTTCGTCTTCACTCTTTCAAACTAAAATAAACCTGTGAACTCACCGCGCCAATCAGTGTTCGTTGGCCAAATTTGATCTATATATGATCATTACTTCTGACGTCATCGTTGAGCCCGGAATTGACCAATGACATGCGCATATTTAATTAGAACGCATTTAGCGTATGTTTCTTCAAGTAGTCTTGAGGAAGAAATCGACTCTGGAGCTAATAATTTGGAGGTAAAAATTGTCGGTTTTTGTATTTTAATCACTTCTTTACATATTCCTCAGATTTCTCAGCAACTAGTGGATGGATTGCTACAGTTTTGGGTTCCTTTGCTCTGTAGTGTTGTTTGAATCAGCATGTCGATTATTCAAAGGATTCCTTATGTTTTTACTGGATATATCTAACAATCATTTTCTACAAATGTCAGGAAGCATCAACAATGACCTCCCTTATACTCTTAATAACCAGTACACACTCATCGGAGGGTTTGCCCGACCCTCCAGACTTACTTCGGTCCAAAGCCTTCTCTATATTCCGGCTTTGAGGAGGAAGATTGAGCTGCCTTAGTATTATAAATATTGTAAATCATTGTGTCACACGCACAGTAAATATGGCATAATAATATGAAATATACCTTTATGTATAGATTTGAAGAACATCAGCTCACATCCCCGTCTGAATCTATTGTTATATTTGATTTCAAAACTGCGAGAATAATTTCAAATGTTATTCACGTCCAGAACCGGAAGCCATTTTTAGCTACAGCGAGAAAATTTCACCATTTGTCAAACTCCGAAATGAAATTTTGAAATATCTAAATCCAGACAAGCAACGCTTCATCCTAAATATGATTAATATTCTTAAAAATATTTATAAAATTTATTAAAAATGAGTTCTAGGTGCGTGTAGGTGCTTGTAGCACAGTACATAGGAAATCAATGAAGTTTCGTCTAGCTGTAAGCTAGAGACTCGAGTAACTCCAGACAAGCCCCTTTGGTGTTGACTTAGAAAAAATGATACAAACAACAAAATTATTTTAGTTCTTACTTTGTCTCTTCAACCTTCGACATTTGCTTCCTTTTAACATTGTTTTGAATGGATCCATTAGTCTGGGAACCTTTACTGTGCTTTTCATCACTTTTATTGCCACTCCTCAGCTTCATTCTATCCAGATAGAGTTTTGTTAAAAGTTTTAGAAAGTTTCTAAAATAAATTAATTAGGTCAGCCGGAAGTAATATCAAAATGATAAATTCCTGAAATCAATTTCGAAATAAAATGGTAATTAAAAGATAGATAAATAATGAATGTAATTTAAAATTATATTCATTGATTTGCATTTGATTCAGTATTGAATTTATCAACTGTATTCTAAATGAATTATAAAGTTACTTACTTTCGTTTTGTTTTAGTAAATTTGTCATTGACCTACTTTCAGCGTGTGCCGCCATTTTCCATTTTGTAAAGAAAGGTTTGTATTTTTCACATTTTGTTTAATAATTCTTACAATAGTCGACCTGCATTTTGCTATTGAATACATGCTTTCCATTCTTTATATATTGCAGGTTATACAAGACTATAATCATGAGTGATATTGAGCCGAAGAAGCTCAAAGTAGCTGAATTAAGAGAGGAATTGAAATCTCGTGGACTGGACACGAAAGGCAACAAAGCTCAACTTGTAAAACGACTTGAAAAGGCATTAAAAGGTATGGTGTAATATGTCTGTCTAATTTAAAGTAACTTATTTCATTTGAGAATTCATAGATAAAAAATAATTGCTGATCTCAGTGTTAGGCACTATAGATGGTCTACAGTAAAACTTCAGGTCAGGGTGCATGTTCGGAATTTTGCTGCAACTTACCGAGTAGACGGTGAACACCGCCTCTAATGCGTTGGATTGTCGTATGGACTTGCATTAGAGGCGGTGTTTATCCTTGTAAATTCATGCCAATCTAAGTTTTTCTTGATTATTTTTGACGGTTCACTTTATTATTTTAATCTTCTGCTTAGAATTTCTGCGTCATTTACAGAGAAATATAAACAAAATGGATACATTGATGATTTATACAAAAAATTACCATAGCTTTGTGGTTGTAGAAGGTTGAATTGTGCTAATTTTGTAGCAAAATCGTCGTTTGTCGCTACTATTCACAAAATCTTTATGGCGGCTTCTTTTCTCACGAGATTTGACGAGAGTAGCCATTGAATATTGTTGCCATCTATTTAACAATACAGAGTTTAAATCATTCATTCGACCATCATGTATTCGATGGAAGAAATCAATGATCTCTATTCGCATAACATAAAACCAAAGTTTGGATTTGATTTGAAGCCAGAACAGTTACAAGTGATAACAAACATATTGAATCAAGAATCCACTATAGCAGTTTTACCAACTGGTTATTGGAAAACATTACCCGTTACGTGATCATCAAATTACGTCACGTGATCATCTCACTAATTTATGCAACGCATGCGCACTTGAAATTAGGTCAGCGAAAATGTCAAGAAGACCGGTCGGAAATTCAATTTCGTCTTATCTGCAACGATTACACATAATTACTGTAATAAAGTGAGGCATTTATGTGGTCATTTTGAAGATTTTTTGTGTCGCTATCCAGTGGTGAAAGAATTTTCAAGATTGAGGTAAGATCTTTGGAGAAAAGTCAAAAACATCAGATCCGGACTTTTCAGCACTTCTTAAATTTGATAAATTTACATTGCACGTTATGCACCCCTGGGGCCAACACGATCCTCAGAGACCCAGAGGGTGAATGAATGCACCTACTTACCGAGCTGACAAAAGTCAGCTCTGGGAAGTTGGATCGAAAATTCTGTGAAGAGAAAAAATCAAGCCCATTTTGAATAAACGCTGTGCTGAGCAGCGTTTATAATACAATATATTACTCACTTCGAGAGCCATGTTAGATTTTGAAACTTATGGCAGTCTCAAACGGGGAAGTGAACAGCAGATTAATAGTGACCTTTGAAATCAAATTAAGTCGATCCGCGGCTTACTTTTGGTCTCTAACTGTGTCTTACATCAGTATCATCAATCCGTGTAAGTATTGGAGCGCTGAAGTACTTCCTTTGAGATCAAGACTTGAAATTGTTAGTCCGAGTGAATGTTTTTACTGCCAAATTCCAATATGGCGTTTTCTGCTCGGACATTTTCGTAGATCTCCGGAGGTTGTCTGAACCTAACTAATTCTCAAAATTAATTTCGTTCTTTGCATATCTCGCTCCTAGCAAACCACCATATTGGAAATAGGTCTAAAAAACGTTCACTCGATAAACAATTTACAAGTCTTGATCGAAAAAGAAGTATTTCAGCGCTCTAATACTTACACGGATTGATGATACTGATGTAAGACACAGTTAGAGACCAAAAGTAAGCCGCGGATCGACTTAATTCGATTTCAAAGGTCACAATCATTCAGCTGTCCAAAAGGTCCGTGGGAAAGCTATTATATCAAAATCCAAATAGCTTTCGCAGGAAGTAAACAATATATATTTGAATCAATACATAATTTATTTGTTGTTACCTTATTTTTATCCTTCAACAGTCTGTTGTTGTAGTAAATCAATGTTCTATCAGACAACAAAACTTTTGAATTTGGATTGCAGCTATTTTAGGTCTCGCGAGATCTCTTGACTTTCGAAAGTAAAGATTTGCTACAAAATAACTCGCGTTAGCTCAATATGAATAGTCACGTGATTTTTCAGCGGCAATGCCCATGCGCTTGTAAAGTACAATGCTCATGTGCACACATGCGCAAAAAGTTTAGAAATGGTGCGCACCAGGTTTGAATTTCTCCACTTTAACTGCAAATTATACAACAAGTAGGACTTATTGTCGCCACGCGTCATGAAAAGGGCAAGTTACATTCAATTATCTTCTTAAATACCATTACTTAGTCCAGCGCGCATGCTGGAAGTTGGGAGAAAACCACTTCACAAGACGGTATATTTTAACGGTTCGTCAGCTGGCTTTTGAGCCAGCTGTGTTCAGTAAGCTGCAACCCTCAATAGGGTCACATGTTATTTTTCAAATTTGCATCATTCCCCCACAATGTCTACATCTCTCATTTTTGCACAACCACTGCACAAAAGTACCGAGAAAACAATGTAGAAAAGAACGATTTGATAAAATGTATAAAAATAAGTAAAATCAGTGAATAAATTCAGAAAATATTTTCACTGAATTTTCTCGTTTTTTTATACATTTTAGAAAACAAATCCTCTCACCAGTCTTTTCTAAGCACATAAGCGCGCTCTTTGTGCAAAGCTGGAAGATATAGAAAATATGGGGAAGGAGTGATTCCTGTTTGAAAAATAACTCAATTGAGTTACTTACTAGAAGTCGAATTTCTGTTTCCGCCATGTTTGATTTCTGGAAAAATTAAAATCTTGTGAGATCTCGATCCATGCGAGAAAAAAACATGGCTTCCCCCTAGATCAGAAATTAGAGCAAATAAACAACAAGGTGTCAAAATTTCCCCACATGTCGAAGTTACCCCAAAATGGTGACGACGTTACACACCTTCGTCCTACTTTGAATCTAAAAACTAAGCAATTAAGGCCAAGATGCATGCTCGGAATTTTTCTGCATTCTTCAATTGAGTCACATGTTATTTTTCAAACAGGAATCACTCCTTCCTCACATTGTCTACATCTTCCAGAGAAGATTTGTTCTGTAAAATGTCTAAAAAACGAGAAAATTCAGTGAAAATTTTTTCTGAATTCTTTCTCTGAATTTTCTTGTTTTTTATTATACATTTTATCAACGCAATTTTCTTTACATTCTTTTTTGGCTTTGTTCTTTCCTGTTTTTATCTGTTAATTAGTGTACGATGTACAATTCCATGTTAGTTGCTTGAATTATTGCCTCATTGATTGACATATATTAATTTTGATTGTTGTTTTGCCGGTTGATTTATTGGTGAATAAATTTTGTTGCTTGATTGGTTGTGTCACTGGTTCGTTGATTGGGATGTCAGTTGGGCGTTTTGAGGCATAAAATGAAAAAATCAAATTCCTAACCCTGGTAGGAAGGTAGGGTACCCGGTCAACTGTTTTTTTACACAAACCCGCAAATTTCTGAACATTCACCCTGACCTTAAAGAGAGAATCAGATATAGCGGGGCAGGCTAAACAAAAAATTGTTTCAATTTCAGAATATTTTTGGCTCGTGTCACTTCACAAAAGTGCATATTTTATTCCAGGAAAACTAAATATTTTTACAATAATGTATTATTTTTCTATTAGAATGGTTACCATTCTTATTATTTGGGAGAATTTAAACATTTTTGTCTCATTTTTGCACGTTGAATCAATGATAACTTCACCAATTTATAACATACTGTGAATATTTTGGGAGATATTTTATTTGATATTGTAAGGTATTGGTAGGTCAATTATACATGTTGCTTGTAATTTTGTTACTCCCTACAGATCAGATTCTGCCTTAAAAGGACCATATTGAAACAAAATATGTAAAAATAAAAACATTTATACATGTCCTAACTTTTGCATATTTTAGTTTGTTTTGTAGTCTAGCTATCATATCTGTGGCCTCATATTTTGATGCTTCTCTGCCATGTTATTTTCGAAAAAATTAACATGGCTGAAACTCCCTAAATTACAAAAGGCCACAGCTTTGCAGCACATTAAACAGAACTATTTGAAATATACAAAAGTTAGGACTTGTACATATGTTTCCATTTTTTTCATATACTGTTGCAGTATAGCCTTGTCATTGCTTAATTTTTATCCCATCAAACAAAGTTCGGAGGGATATAGGGAACGCCTCCGTCCGTCCGTCCGGGCAATAACTCAAATACCGTTGGTCCGATTTTGTTCATATATTGTACACATATACCCTATGGGAGTAGAAGTTCTGCTCGAAAGCCGATTTTCAAAATGGCCGCTCATTTCAAAATGGCGGCCATTTTAGTGCCGAATTTACAGTTATTTAGGTGCAATATGTAAAACTGTAATAGCAATATGTTTTAGATGTAAAAAAATTATATAGGACATTGATAAAGCTAGAAATGTTGATATTAAAGAAGCACATGGCAGCCATCTTGAAAAATGGCGGTCTTTACTCGTTATTTTACGATTTTTGCTGTAACTCGAAAAGTAGTGGAGCGATTTTGTTCATATTTGGTATGTGAATACTATAAACATTGCACACTGTCTTAAGACACTTTTAGTAGAAGGCGACCATTTTGAAAAATGGCCGCCATTTTAACGTTTTTTACTATAACTCGAAAAGTAGTGGAGCGATTTTGTTCATATTTGGTATGTGAATACTATAAGCATGACACACTGTCCTATGACACTTTTGGTAGAAGGTGGCCATTTTGAAAAAAAATTTGAAAAATGGCCGCCATTTTAACATATTTTACTATAACTCGAAAAGTAGTGAAGCGATTGTGTTCATATTTGGTATGTGAATACTGTAAGCATGGCACACTGTCTAATGACACTTTTGGTAGAAGGCGGTCATTTTTCAAAATGGCCGCCATTTTAACGTATTTTACTATAACTGGAAAAGTAGTGGAGCGATTTTTTATATACATGTATTTGGTATGTGAATACTATAAGCACGGCACACTGTCTAATTGGTAGAAGGTGGTCATTTTTCAAAATGGCCACCATTTTAACGTATTTTTTCTATAACTTGAAAAGTAGTGGAGTGATTTTGTTCATATTTGGTATGTGAATACTATAAGCATGGCACGCATGGTCTAATGACACTTTTGGTAGAAGGCGGCCATTTTGAAAAATGGCTGCCATTTTTGCTATATCCTTTGTTTGTAAAAATGCCATCCATGGCTGTTCGATGGGATTCGCTACTCTTTGGCGTTGCCGTTGTTCTGGTTTAATTCAGTTGTAGTTCCAAACATTTAAAATTTTACTGCTGTAGAAACTTGTTGACCTTATATTCATTGAGTAATTGTTTTAAGGAAAAAAATGCGATTGGTTAAAAATGCTATTATTGATAGCACCTAATTTTATCTACCAAGTATCTACTTAGCATAGGTCTTTTGATTCAAAAAAGCTTTTTAGTTTTACGTTTCAGAACTTCTCAGAGTCTTTCACCTAGGAGTTTAATTCTGGCTGTGGGCCTTGGCTGATTTTTTTAAATTTCTGAATTTCCAAACTCAAATCATCCAAGTTTATTAGCAGAATAAGGCCATCTTGTTTTTCTTAACAAAAAGTTACATTGCTCCTGAATAATGGTTAGCGACATTCAGGGTAATCTCCTTGATAAGTCAATTATATCATTGCTGCTTAGTCTGAATGTTTGATTGGATGGAAGAATTTGAACAGTTGAAAAAGAACATGCAAAAGATAAAATGTGTTCCTTTTTACCTTTTTACCTTAAATAATTTATAAGGTATGCCATTTTGTCTGTAACATCTGTCCCAAAATGCTTAGTAGGACAAATAGGTTTTGTCAGAGTAGCATAGTAGAAAAATTATTGAACATTTAGAGTAGGAAATATGTTGCATGCAAGGTAATTCATCATCGATTTCTGAATAGTGACATAGCCTTTTTGCAATTTTGTTACAATTTGTTCTTTGGCCTGTTTTAACATCTAACATCTCTTAATATCTTGATAAAATTATGCTCATGACAGTGCTTTACAATTACAGCTGTGTTTACCACAGGATTTTTTCTCAAGTGGGTGCAAAATTCTCATTTTCACAATTCAGACCAATATTGGTCAAATTATGCCCATTTTTTAAAATCTCATGTGGGTTCTATGCTGCCCCCACTTGCTTAAATGCTGGGTAGATCACTGTACAGTGAGGTATATACTCACAGAATTTTATGTTTTTGCTTAACTTTCATAAATCTGCATAATGCTTATAGTTTTGAGTAATTTGGATTATTGCTCTGTATATTATTTTAACATTTGATTTGATTCATGTCTGATTTGTTTCTTGCGTGTAGTGCATCTATCTAGTCTAGTGTGATTTCTCCTTGTTTGAATCTATCTAGGCGATCCCAATGTAACAGCTGCTGGTGATGAAACTCTTGATACTTCAGCCCAGGAGGAAGCAAATGCATCAGCGGCAGATGAATCTATTGAGATGGCTGCAGAGGCCACAGAGGTAGCCCCTGAACCTGTGGCAGTACAAGAACCAGAGCCAGTTAAGGAGCCTGAGCCAGAGATAGCACCCGTTGAGCCTGAGGCTGAACCAGAGCCAGTGGTGCAGGCTACTGAACCAGAACCTGTACCTGCAGAACCTGAGGCACAGGTAGAAGCTGCACCAGTTGACCAAGTGGATGAAGTGAAAGAAGAGGCTATGAAGGAAGAGTCAGTGGAGGAAGTGAAAGAAGAGGCCATGAAGGAAGAGCCAATACAGGAGTCAACTCCAGTAGAACAGGCACCAGCTGAAGTTCAGCAAGGTAAAAATCATTTTTTATGTATATATTACTTCATCAATCTCACTGTCAAAAGTCTGCAACTGCGCACCCATACATTTATGAGTTATTCATGATTAGTTGTATGAACAAATAAACTTATCTCTCTAATATCCAAACAATTCACAAATGGTAAATATTGATTAATACATGAACTGATTTTATTTAGTCCTTCGCATGAATCTATATTATCTGAATATTCACTTGTATTTCTAGATGCACCTGTTGAAGAAGCTCCTGTCAAAACAGAAGAGACTGACAAGAAAGAGCCAGAAGTCATTGCCATGGATACAGATGCAGATTTGGTTGTTATGGACTCTGTCGGAGAAAATGATGGTAAATAATTATGCAACAGAAGATTCAGTTTTAAATTCTAAGATGATAAGCTGAAATGTTCCAAAGCTACATACTTTTTTATTCAACACATTTTTATTTAGATTAAATTTTGTCATTCAGGTGATAAAAAGGAGAAGGAGCGAGAACGTGAAAGAAGAGAAAGGAGGAAAAGATCGCGATCCAGATCACCCCGTCGTCGTAGATCAAGATCACGCTCCAGAGATAGGCGCAGATCAAGATCAGACTCCAGGGAAAGACGTAGGTCAAGGTCACCCAAAAGATCTAGGTCAGGTGACAAGAAGTCAAGGAGCAGGTCAAGGTCTCCAAAGCAGGAGAAGTCCTACAGAGAAGATTTGAAAGATCGTGCTGAAAGGTAAGTGTCCCATAGGATCCTCATGAGTGTTAGCGTTTAAGACATGAAATTATGAAAAATTGAAATTTGTTATATGCCAGTTCAGAAATTCAGATCCTCACTAAGATAAGATACGTCATAGTAGTTAGGCCAAAATAATGAATGCAAAATTAAGTTTGAGTGGGAATAAAGAGAAGCCATTGGTCCATCGGTTAGACATTGAACATTTTAAGAGGTCGAAAATCTTTTTTAATGAATTCTCCTTGGATGGTACTTAAAACTTTCAGAAAATAGGGATGGCAAGGAATGGAATCATTCTTGCATACTGCAATCTCCTTTTCAATAAGAATGTCGCACCAAATGAATAAAATGTTTGGTTAAATATATATTTTATTTGCTTCTTAAAGGTACAGCAGGTGGGAGAAAGAAGATACTCCTGAGCCAATACCAGAGGAAACTGATGATTGGCTAGAATATACAGATGTACAACTTGATAGATGTAAGCACATGCAGAAATAATTGTTTCTTGACAGCTTAAACTGATTGATTCACACAGCCAGTTAAGGAGCTAGTTTCACTTGTTAAATGTTAGGTTAAATAGAGGGCTGTTTAGAAAATGTGGGTTCAAGCAAGGGGCATTTGACTGAAGGAAATAAACACACTGATTAAAAAATTGGAGTGAAAGTTCATTAATAGTTGTCATATTTCAGATAATGCTGACCTGAGTCTTACAATAGCCAATGATGGCTGGAACTGTACACCCAATGTGGAAGAAGGATTTGGTTTCACATGGCAGGGTGTTAGAGCCACTTACGGAGTCAACAAAGGCAAAGTTGGTTTTGAATGCAAGGTGAGTCTGGTTTCAGTATATGTACTTCAAGAAAGGCTCAATAGAATGAATAATTTGGGCCATTTAGTTGAACTATATACATATACTTTTATACTTAATTATTTGCAAGTGACACCGATATTGTCACACCCTGACCAGTATAAACATAGTATATGATAAAAAATGTTTATAAATAAGTGGACTTTCATTTTTGTAACGCAATAAATTTTGATAAATTTCAGTTGAACATAATTGCAAAAATACAGATCTGATGAACTTTGATATTGCTGTTGATTATAGGTTGAGCGTCAGTTGGATCTTGAAGACATGCCAGAGGAAGAGAAACATTTACATGTAGTTCGTGTTGGCTGGTCCTCAGACAACACAAGCCTTGGTCTGGGGGAGGAACCCCTATCCTTTGGCTATGGGGGCACAGGGAAAGCATCTGTAAACTGCCAGTTCAAAGACTTTGGCGAGCAATTTGGTGTTAAAGACTGCATTGGTGCTTTTGTGGTGAGTTTGGATGTCATCTTTTCTCTTGCTTGAGATATATCTTTGTTTATTTTGATAATACCCTTGCTGCAAGGATGGAAATGTGTTTCACCTTCTTGAGACAATATTTTAACAGGTTGAGGATATTTCAAAGTTCAATTTCACAAGAATTTCACACCTAAGGAAAAACATCTGGAGAGAACACTTTATTCATTCAGCTTCATTTAAATATTTCAGGACTTCACAAGTGATCCAGTGACTATTTCCTACAGAAAGAATGGCAAAGAGCTTGGAGTTTGCTTTGAAATTGCAGCCAGTGAACTTGAGGGCAAGACTCTATTCCCCCATGTTCTAACCAAGAACTGTACATTCTCTTGCAACTTTGGAAATGAGGTGATTATTTATTTGTATAGATATCTCTATTATAGTATCAAAGTAATTCCAAGGTAATTGATAACAATTTGCAGTGTAATGATTGAATGAACCCTGACATTTTGTGAACTGCATTGTGACAGTAGATGTTTTAATGTAATTTCAGGTTTTCACATCTGGAGAAGGAATCTACTATGCTTTACCAGAAGGATATACTTGGATCAATGATATTCCCCTAGAAGACAGAGTCAGGGGTCCATTACCACCTACCAAGAAGGAAGAGTGTGAAGTAAGGACACCATCGGTTATAAATTTGGGGCCTTAAAGGGCATGCTCTTAAATTGACATACATTAAGAATATCAGCGATCTCCTCTTTTCCAAAACTGTGTGCTAAATAATGATTTAATATGGCCAAAATATTTCTGGTAGATGTTGATGAAAAGGTTGGCAGCAATGGGTGAAATGATACAGCTTCTTCTCCAAGAGTGCTAACCCTATCAGTGTACTTAAATCTTGCAATTATATACTTCCAATCAATTTATATCCAGATTATATGGTGTTGTTCAAGATTTATTTATGAATTCTGATCAGGGGATTCCCCCAGGGCAAGCCTAGACCTGTTTGACTCATTAGCATATATGCATAAGTAGGGGGTTTCCCAGATTTTCTATTGATAACATGGTCTGGGAATCCCCATGGTTTAATATTGACTTTGGTAGATTTTTTAGTTCAAGGCTCTTAAATTTATTATGTGCTGGCAAAAATGTACCAGTGGCAAGTTTTTATTATGTCACCACCACAAGTTGTGACATATTGTTATAGTCTCCAACTTTTTTTTCTGATAAGAGCAGTTTGTGAGAAGCCTGTGTAGAATGACTCCATTGATTTGTACCCAATGATACCTTATTTCTTCCAGATGATCATGATGTGTGGTCTACCAGGAGCAGGCAAAACATACTGGGCAGAGAAACATGCTGCTGCCAATCCAGACAAAAGTTACAATATACTTGGAACCAACAGTCTCATCAACAAAATGAAGGTATATAGATATTCATCCTCTGTGTTTGGTAGCTTGTCATTTGCTGGGGTAGTCATTCAAATATGACTGTCACTGAGCGCTCATGCTTTTCAGACCAAATGTTTTCTGTCTGCTTATTTTGTTCACCTATCCAAGTATATGTCTATAATCCATTAACATGTTTGTGTTGATTTCAGGTGATGGGGCTACCACGTAAAGGAAACTATGCTGGTCGTTGGGACGTCCTTATCTCAAAATCCAGTAAATGCTTGAATATCTTACTGGATATTGCCTCAAGGAAGAAGCGCAATTATATCTTAGATCAGGTATGTAGTCACTGCTAATTTCCCTAATCCAATCTTCCATTTCAGTGACTTACAGCATTACAATGTAGAAGCATATACCAGACATATGACCAAGAGTCATCATCATATTAAGTCTTAAACTGTCACATGCACAATGACCATAAACAGAATATAATACATGGATGCATAGAAGAATTATTAAAGCAGCTCAAGCCAATGCACAAATGGCTGACTTTGACTGATAGCATGGCAATATGGAGCCAAATACACACAATGGAACAAACAAACAGTAATAATGTGAATGACATTGCTTTATATTTGTATTGCATTTTACAACAGATATATTTCTCTTGGTAAGTTATTGTGTGTATGTCAGATGATACCATATGCTTCTTTGTAGCTAGGCTATAGATGGCACTGTATAGGAATACACATGAACAGTAAGTCACGGTAGGTTTTTATTTGCCCCCAGGGTGGGTGGGGAGGGAAGTCTGAAGACCTAAAGATTTGTTGAGGTGAGTGCTACATTTTCGCTTGTTCTTTTCTCAGAAGCTTTTTTCACTACAGAATGTATTGTAAATTTTTACCTTGTATAGGTATATTTGATATGATTGTTAAACACGCACCCTCGTATATGTACTAGTACATACAAAATCAGGCTAGGCAGTCTTCTGATACAAGTAAATGTGGAATTATATACACCAGTGAATAAGATAAATATGTTGGTATGTGAAAAGGAGTACAACAAGTATATGGAAGGAATTAACAACTGAGCCAGCAGGAATATAGAAAGACATTTCACAAACAAATAAACTATAAAAAGTTAAAAGCCAATGGATTAAAGGCTATTACTCAACAAAAACAGACTTTTCTTGAAAAGGATATGAGTGGATCCCCAAGAGGAGTTTTAATATGTAGCCGATTAATGCCTAGCCTGTCCGATGTTCAATTATGAAATGCACCATATATTTTATAAAGAATTTTTAAATCATATAATTGATTCCACCCTATAACTTATTTGTAATTTGAGCCTACTGTTGTCCAACCTGAAAACTCAGCAAAATGCTTGATTATATTTAATATTCCAGTAGCCAGCACACTGCTGCTGTGCACTGCACTGTATTATGCTATGTACACTTGTTTAGGAACCCAGGATTTGAGGTATGTATGCTAAACTCAATGTCCTATCGCAGGATATGCCAAAATGGCCAAATGACATAATCCTGTACAACTTTGATTTTCACCAGACAAATGTCTACCCATCAGCGCAGAGACGTAAAATGCGACCCTTCGAAGCTTTCCAACGTAAAGCTGTTATAATTGTTCCTGAAGAGGAGGAATATAAGAAGCGTTTAGAACAAAGGAACAAAAATGAAGGCTCTGAGGTCCCTGAATCGGCTGTGAATGAAATGAAAGGTAGGATATGTAAACTTGAAGTCTATGTGTTGTTAATGCATTGCTATGGTGATTTGACATGTCAACAAGGAGCATAGGTTTAATCACTGGTTACAGTATAACTTATGCTCCTTGTTAAGTCTGTGTACCTACATATCTTGAAAGCTGTATAGAATGGCTTTCACTGGAAGGTACACAGACACCTTTTCAGAGGGATTCTGACTTCCAACAGCTGGTGATTCATCTTCTGAATAAATGGTAAACAGGTTCAAGAAACCAAAGGAGCAGTTCATATCAGCTTTTGGAAACCAGCAACCCAAGAAGCGTGAAAGATCCAATATAAAGCATAGCTCCATATTACATTACAGCAAACTTCACCCTGCCTGAAGAGATAAAGGAAGGTAAAAGTAACTTGTTTGACACACTGGAGTTCCCAGAGTTGCAACGTGAAGAAGCCCAGAAGTTAGTCGACCAGTTCAACAAGGATGGCAAAGCAGCCTGTCCCCCACGTGGAGGACGAGGAGGTTATGGGGGTGGAGACCGTTATGGCGGAAGAGACAACAGAGGTCATAGTGGTGGTTATGGTGGCTACCGCGGTAAGTTTTTGAATTTATTTTATCACCTTAAATTATATGGGTTTGTCTATACATGAAAAAGTATACTTTGGTTTTGGAATTGTTGATAATTTTTGTATGTCATATTGAGAATAAGATTTTCTGTATAGTTGTAGTTTTTCAAATCACATTTTATTGTATTGTTTCCAAAATATACCTGTGTCATTAAATGAATGTGTAAATGTCCACTGCTGTAGGTAGAGGAGGTGGTGGTGGTTATGACAGAAGAGATGACAGAAGAAGTGGAGGGGGATACCATGATAGACGAGGAAGTGGAGGATACAGAGGGGGAAGAGATAACTACAGAGATAATAGACGTAAGTTTACATTAAAAATCATCCTACATACAGTAATATTATATAAAGCTGGTGATACAATGGAAGTTCACCCAGTATATTTATTACACAATTTTAAATGGGATCAATTAAAATAATGTAATGTGTTACCTGTATATATTGTAGTTATAAATGTAGTCTAGCATTTAGTTAATAGTGCAGTATTGTCTTGCCGTCTTGAGTCAAGACAGCCTAGTTTGAACATAGACTAATGTGTCATGTTTTGATACAATTGTCAATAAAGCAAATATAATCATTTGAAAAAGTTGATAGTTATTGTCAAATTGAGCATTTTTAGCTATTATATCAATTGATGAAATGATATCAATGGTACATAAAATTTGTTTAGGTTTGTTAACTGGTTCAGGCTAATAAGCATAAAATGGATGCATTTATACAAATGATAATTTCAGAATCCTTTGGTGGTTATAAAGACTCGAGGGGATTTAAGGTGATTTATAGCACTAGAAATGAGGGGTAGTTTGATTCTGATCTTCTCCCTTGCCTCAACCAATCTTATACTTACATCTTATTGCACCTCATCAGTCCTATCTCCAGGTTTGTAATTGGCACATGTACACACAATGGTTTTCTGTGCTATGTGATTAACAACCTGGATCTAAGATTGAACTTCCTTTGCTTCAAACTAGTTGTCCAAAACCAACTGCAGAGATGCCAATTTTAGTAGAGGGTGAAAATGGAGTGTTAGAAAGGTCTGTATTTACATTGGAATATGCACTAAGCAAGAGCCATATTAAGATACATGGGAGAAAATCTTCAATCAGGCTATCCCCAGAGTGTGATGTTTTCCAATGTTTCTCAATGGTAACTATCCACAGGTGATGACTACAGAAGCAACCGTAATGATCGTAGTTATGGTGGTGGCCGTGACCATAGGGACCATGGTAGTGGTGGATATGGTCGTGATAGAGATGACAAATATAAGGTACATAGATTATAATGAATACTAGAAGAGACGAACGTCTTACAGAACATCTGCATTATCTTTTTAAATTTGAGAATGTAGAAGAAAAGTCAGTAGGTAAGATAATTCAAGACAATAACACCAATTGAAAGTATTTTATATTTGATGCATTAATATTTCCTCGACCTTTTATACTAACATTTTGAATGCTGTGATGCATAATGTTTGCACGTAAATCTACCTCTTACAAGTACACTCCTATATATAACATGGTACATTGTGCTAAAACTGTGTAAATGTGTTACAATCAATGAATAAGTTTTACCTCAAGGTCAAACCCTTGGCATTTTGTTCCCATTTTCCAGCTGGAGAAATAGATATATAAAATAAAGTAGACTTGATTTATTGTATAACTGATCTATCCTTCAGGATATGCAATCCATACTATAATCCAGTAAGAAATGTTTATGTGTAATGAAATGTCTAATTTTCCTTATGTAGGGTCGTGACAGCCGAGGATATGGTGGCAGCAGTAGTGGAGGGAGCTGGGGAGGAAGTAGCCAGGGAGGATATGGTCAGGGTAGCTGGGGAGGACAAGGCTATGGGCAGAGTAGTGGTTATGGCCAACAAGGATCATGGTCTGGACAGGTAACTTCTCAACAATCTTTGTTTATAGTCATATTAGGTGAAGATATCTTGTCACAAATAATTTGAAAATAATTTCCTCGATTGTTATCACTGTATTGCATCGACATGTGAAAGTCATGTTGTTTATTAAAGATTCAATTTGGTGTTACATATAAAACAAAATTAAAAATAAAATGTTAGTTCATCTATAGTACCATAGTTTTGTTTGAGAAGTAATAACATTTTTGTTTGTGTATCTGGAGAATGTGAAAATATTGCCATTTGTTCTTGGAGGAGGCATAAATCCTGGAATTCTTTATCTTTTCCAGAACCAATGGGCAGGTTATGGCCAGAGTGCTACCTCACAAGCAAGCATCGCTCAACAGTGGCAGCAGTACTATGCTGCAAACCCAGGTGCTGCCAACCAATGGAGTGGATACAGTGGCTATGGATCATACAGTGGCTCAGGAACACAGAAATAGACTATACTATATATTGTATTTTAGCTTTACACAAAAACATTTTGGTCATCCAATGGCTTATCTTAAGCTTTGTCATAGATGTTTATGACAACAAGGCAGTGGGATGTTTTGATAACTATGTCTGCCCCTTAAAGATTATTTTTTACTCATATTTACTAATAATCATAGTATCAGATTAAGATTTGTGTTGTACAATCTGTTCTTAATCAAAATGTGTCTGATTAAATCTATTTTAAATAAGCTATAATGAAGTCAATGAATAACGGGTTTAACAAGGGTATGTATGTATGTAGGGCAGTACCATGTATATGGCTCATAAGGCGACACACAACCAAATCCACTGCATTGTAATATCACTAATCATTCCTCTAAATGGTAGTGGTTAGAATAACTACTTTGTGTATCATATAAATCAAAGAAGCATGTCATAATACAGTTGAAGCTTTTAGCTTTGATATTTTATTTAGTGATTGGCATAAATCATCCATTCATTTTTGTAAAAAAATACATTGTATCACAAAGTAATTCAATGGACCTGTTTCATTATATCAGTGATCACATTTTGATTTGCTTAGTGTATTTTAGGCTTTTAGTCCATCTTGAAACAGGATCCTGTACTAATATATTTTCTCTTAGCACCTATCGTTCTATGTACAGAGATATTTGTAGTTATAAAGTGTATATTACTAAATATATAAAAATCAAAATGTAAATCTGTATTAAGTTCATTAAATATTACAAGTTCCATTGTAATGGCACCTTCATTGCCCAATTAGATGCTCTGGTGACTAGAACAATAACTTCCCTTGCCCAAGCTCATTGAATGTCAATTTGCCAAACTTAGTATAATGTCAGGAAATGAATAATTCTGAAGATCATGTGCAACCATTACCTCAGAACCAAGCGTCACATGGCCACTTGTTGAATGTTGCACTAAGAGTGGTTCAGGCGTTTGTCCAATTATATTACTTCAGTGTTCAATGTAAAGCAAGAACTGTCCCAGCTATCATTACCAACGTTGAAAATACTGTTTTACCAGACGACGATGGTTTGGTTACTGGGTTTGTTACTGTATCAGTTACATTGGGGCCACCCGTGGTGGTTTCTATAAACTCTCTCCCACACCAAACCTCGTGGTCGTAGCGAGAATGCTCCAGTCCACAAATATAGTCATGGCGGCATTTTGCATCACATGGATTTCCCTGGTGATTGCCAGAATTAGCCCAGTGGTTCATATAGTGCAGATTAAACAGTGTCTCATTAGTGCGCATTCTGAAAAAGAACATGGTACATGAACTGAGGAGTTGCCAATACATTGGTGCTATGCACAAGGTTTAGTTTTGCCAATTCTTTGTTTCAATTTACAACATACATATTATAATGAACCAATTTTTACAATTTCAAAATTTTAAATGTTCCGTTTAGAAATGCTTCACTGCATGGACGTTTTGTATAATTGGTGTGTTTCAGTTGAGCTAATATACATAATATATATAGTTCCCATCGTACGAAGTTGGGGGATATACAACAGAACTGCTTCGTACGTCCGTCCGGCCAATAACTCAAATACCGTTGGACCAATAACGATTATATTTCATATGTATATGCCCTATGAGAGTTCAAGTTCTGCTCGAAAGCCGATTTTCAAAAAGGCCACCTTTTTCAAAAATTTTCAAAATGGCCACCATTTTAGTGTCAATTTTACAGTATTAAGGTACAGCATATAAAATTAATGCATTAAATTCGAAAAATTATTAAGGATATTGATTAAGTTGAAAATCTAAATATCTAAAAAACATGGTGGCCATCTTAAAAAATGGCAACCGTTATACGCTATTTTACGATTTTGTTGAAATTTTATATGTATGCTTACCGAAAAATAGTGGCCCTTTTTATATGTTTATTTTACTATTTTTGTTGAAACTGAAAAATGTCAACCATGTCTGTTCGATGAATTTGCTACGCCTTGGCGTTGTTCTTATCTAGTTGGTTTTCACATAATCTTCAAATACTTATTATCTTCCCATATTGTCAACCCATATTATTGATTTTCAGGCAGAGTAAACAGACCTCTTAATATGCTAATATAAATGTTACCTTTGAGCGAGGCTCATCCAGGAAGCAGGAGAGAGATCTTGCATCCCATAATATTCTTTGGCTTTGTATGCAAGCTCAATCTTTGGCTCCGAATTATTGGCTACAAGTGAATATCAAATATATTTCAAAATAATTCTTTTCATGGTGCTTCTGTGGAAATTAAAATTTGATGCACGTAGGCCTGCTGATTTGGTCTAGGCCTGAAACGCAGACCTTTCAAATTAAGACCTATTGAATTGTTTTTACCTCTTGCAGCTTTGACGTCAAATCTGTACTGTTCAATTTCCTTCAGTTCGAACGTGGTGCCATCTAGGACAAATATTCTTGCCGAGGGATTGATACGCCCGAATGTAGTCATTGATGGTGCAATGTTGTACACAGCCTTTGGTAAGTTGGTGCTGTAATCTCGCATCTAAAAGCGGGAATGAGACGGTGGTTCAGTTTATAATTCCAGTATCATAACTAGCAATGGATATGCTACATCATAAGAGAGTCCTTGAAATGTCACGGAATAATCCCAGTCTTGTTTCAAGATTAAGGATATATACTTCATTAACCACACAGCACAGTCTTGTATAAACCATACTAAAAACAATTTGTGAAATAAATCAACTTATATGTGAATTAATGTTCACGTTATCTTCATTTTCATGAAAATAGCCAAGTTGTCTGATTTAGATATAGTGACAGGATACTTAGACCCTGATGTTAGTATTACCACGTGGAAATGATCTCTATGTGTATGGCCACACATCTGGAGAACCACGAGATCGCTATAGCTGACTATCAAATTGTTGTACCACTTGCCCCACGCTGATCCAGCGTCACTGCCACCTGGTGGATGATGCCCTACCATTATTACCTGAAAACGCCAAAATCTGAGATTACATCTTACTAATGATATCAAAACTTAAATGGAAAAAACTCACGTAGCGGCTCTTAGATGTTGTGATCTCTATATTGTGCTCCTTTGAAACATGTCGAAAACTGGCGAAGTTTGCTGGACACAAAGTATAGGCAAAAACTTGATGAAACGAAAAAAACAATAAAAATCAATGATTTATATTAAACTACAGTGAGCTAGAGAATTAAATAAGCTGTATGACGAATGAAATGTGCATTGTGTTTCGAATACCTTCTCTGATCTAGTCCTGGCAAGTGCAAGGGAGTCTTCCACAAATTTCTTGGCATCATTCTCATAAGAGCTTCCCATGTTGAGAACGTTATAGAAGTTCATGGTATATCTACAACAAAGGCGTTATGGCGTTTCTTTCTTCAAATGTTCACCACATCGATGGTACCATTAAATGAACATTAAAAACGCAAAACACAATTCTGAATAGCAAAAATAATGATCAATTTTTGTTGTTTGATTTATAATAAGTTTCTGCTTCCATACCATGTAAACTAGTTATTGAATAATAATCAGATGATAATGCAAAACTGTATGATGAATCTGCAGAAACATCCAAATCGATCACTGATTTCAAATGTTGTTTACCCATAGTTAGTATTGAAGGATATAATTCTCAGGCCGGCTTTCACCAAGACTGTATAGTAACCGTTCTTCTTTATATTGTTCACCTGTGTGCTACTTAGATTCACCACCTGTGGCCACCACTGTGAGATCTTCTCCAGGGTCTCCTGCAGGAACATCAAATTAGATATTGTTCTCTTTCATTCATTTATTCAGTGATTGTACAAAAGATGGAGTTTCTACTATCAGATTTGTAGACCAAAGTAAATGTCATTTCCCTTTTACAATGACCAATTCGTGTCCTAGCTTAACAGGATCAATGGCCAAAAGATTGCCACATTTTAGATCAAATGGATCAATGATGATTTTAACCATCTTACCTGAACTTCAGGCCTTGGTAGATAATACATGTTGGTTGGGAACAGTTCTGAAAAGTACACTGATGTCGATTTAACCACGTTCTTGCATATTCATATCTCTTTGTACTTGATGTACTTGCTATAATTGTTGTTTTAGGCGTTCTTACTCAAGTTCAAAGTGCAATATCTATTGATCGTATAACGCAATAACAAAATGTGATTGGGATGAAGGAGTAATTAAAACTCAACTAGAGTCAGTCAACGATTTATAATCCTATTTATTGTCATGTTTATTTGTTGACGTACCATGATTCCCTAAGTTTGGATAGACTGTTCTATTCGGAAGCAATTTAGAGAAAGAGTCCATCACTTCTTTAGACATTCCCAGCTGGTGTTCGAACGTCTCTTCCCACATGGCATGTGGTGGGTGGTCGCCTTTAGTAAAGTTAAATACAATTCAATTCATGAAACCTGCATTTATACTTCTGGGATCTTCATGGATCACCATTAGAAATGACCCTCCCACCAACGTTTGAGTTGCTTGACACACAAACCATTTTTGATGCTAAACTTCTTTTCATTTCGAAAGTCTGATAAATTCACGGGTATTCTGGATAAGAACAACGGTATAAAATATATCTTGAAGGCAGAATCGACTCTGAATTGATGCAATTTACGTGTACCTGTGTAAACAACAGCATCCAGACTTGGGGTGAGGCTATTGATCTGCCGAAGGTAATATTCAAATGTGCGTTTAGGAGTGTTACAGTTGTAATCTCCCCATGCACCGGCACTGCCCTGAAATTCAAACAAGATCACTGGAAGATATGCGAGAGAAGATACCCTTTGCATTCGTTCGACTGCACTTCTAAAAGAGAGTTTTATCGTAGTTTATAACTAGACTCTGCGCGCAGGGTAGAGAGAAGACATGAATTGGACAATCTTAAAAGACTGTACCTGTAATAAATCCTAAGCTCAAATGCCGATATCATTATGCCATCATGATAAACCATGACATTTCATTTCTTCTCGGCCTTGAGATGTTTCAGGTGAAACAGGAAGATGCTATGAGTATCAGAATGTGATTATGCCCCATCTGCTGCATTGACTCTCATTGACTCCCATAAGGAGCCACACAATTTTAAATGTAAATGGTTCCATTACACCCGGGCCATTGCAGTGACATTTTGCAGTATATTTTATGTTAAAGACAACCTATTTGTATGTTAAAGCACTTATATAAGTATTATGAAAAGGTAAGGTGAAAAAAGGTGTATGTAAGTGAGAACTCTGTATGTATTTGAGAAGAATAACTTACCGACCCATTGACGGCCCAATTCCTGTGATTAGCGCAGCAGACAACAAGACCACAGTCAGTTTGAGATCCCTGTAATAACATAACGTCCCCTTATTTCCACATTGTCATAATTGCATTTCTGCTGATATTGAGAAATCAGAGGTTGAAGATTCGGGGCTTCATAACTTAACTTCTGAATAATAATTTTTAGAAACTTCTTTTTTCGTTTGGGTAATCATGTGTATATGTTAAGCTTGCAGAGCAAAAATCACTGATGAACAATTAATAAAACGCATCTTTTTCATGGTTTCTTGTTTTTGAAATAACAAAATAACCCTGAAAACTGAATTTTTATTCACTTCCATTTAGTTATTCTCCGTATACCATTAGTCTGCCCATCTAATTATACAGAATATTACTCATGTTCCATTTTGACTGGTAAAGGTATAACAGGTCAGTAATTGATTAAGTTCACTGAATGAACTTTTATTTTATTTACAAATAATTTGCAAATCTGCTTTCTTTTGTTTGTACTACATGTATAGTGTTATGATTTATGATCTCCTTTGTTAATTACCTACAAAGTATACTAGTAAGTGATTGTCCCATTATTTCCACATTGTTATAACTATTAGTCACATGATCATAACTATAAGTCACATGATCAAAATTATGTAATCTGATTGGCTCTGCTGCGGATATGACAAGGTGGGCCTAAATTTTTTTTCCTCATTTTGCCCTTATAACAATGTGGCACTGGATATCTGCAAAAGGAGATGAGATCCATTGAAATGGACCTCAGAAATGAATTCCTCGTGAAAATTGAGAAAGATAGCATACTTTTCTCAAAACCTGCAAAAAGTGAGTTATAACAATGTGGAAATAATGGGACGATAAACAGATATATACTTCGATTCTATTACTAGCTTTGAATTATGAAGGATATTTTAGATATATAAATGAAGCAGTACCTCTTCGTATTTAGCATCAAAATGAATGTCGGCTAGTTGTACAAGTCGAAAATCAGCAGCTTGTGCCTTTCCCCTGCGTTTGTATTTTCGAGGTCTGTCTATGTAGTCCTTGGGGTAACTATCTTCTAGGACGCTATCTCTTGGCTTGTAGTCTGATGGGCGTGGGGGTTCGCAGAAATTGAGATCAAGGCACATTTGTTTTGATTCTTTTGACGTGTTTCTGATGATGTACAGAAGCTACAATAATGGCGTTATTGAATAATATGTGGTTGGGGACTTGACCCCAGTTATAATAAATGAATGAGGGGTTTCTCGGGACGTTTTATTCCACTGGTAGCCTGTTGAACCTAAGCGTTATCGTGCGTTTGGAATGGTACAGGTTGTGCATTATTTTGTTCATAAATTTTGTATATAAATTGTATTCTAGCCTATAGTTTGACAACAATAATGTAATTATATGGACTTTCATTAAGACCAGCCCAGCCCAAATTATCCAGATTTTAGTTAAAAGTTGTCTATTATTGTTGTGACCTTCATTGATTATTACTCACGTGCTTAGCATAGTTTTCCATCATTCCCGGACACATGACATCTCCTCTCCAATCAACCTCTTTCAGAGCAATCTCGCATATTTCTTCAGTTATTTCCTTTAAACCACCTTCATACCAAGATTCGTCTACTGTCATGGCATCGTCGTCCAAAAATGTCAATGCGTCTAAAACCAACTGAAATCGAGGTTTTTAAATTAGTTATTGAACATTAGTGTATTATATGTGGTACATATTTCAAGAAATATTTTACAGTATAAATAAATCAAAAGCAGTACATGTGATTCCAATGAGCTATGAATGAAATTATTAAATGAAGTAATTCTTGTCATTAAAAGTCCATTCTGTTATTAACTTCCAACATTTCGAAACATGCATTTATCAAAGGGCATCATACCTCACACCCCACGCAAGCGGGGTCATCATCATTTCTTCCTATTTCTATATCATTAACATTGATACTCTTTATGTCGATGCCCTGTTCATGGCTCATTTGCCACGCCTTTGTTGCCCTAGCAAACTTCAAAACCTGCGTCTTCTCCCATCCTGCCCCCTGTGACCCCGCATGGACGGCGACTCCAAAAAACGCACATGACAGGAGCAGAATGCCCAGTAACCCCATGCTGAGATATTCCAGTATTTTCACTTGATTAGCTATTTGGCGTGCTCTTTCTATTGAATCGTCAGATCTGACGTTATCTAGTAACGTTGTGTCTTGTGAGTCCAAAGATACATTACAGACTCTTCAGACCATGATTAAACACTTCAAATTGATTTATATATGAATCATTTCTCAATTTTTCAATTTTTAATTGTTAATTAATTATGTTTTCAAAAAGAAGGTCGACTGGAATGTACAATCTCTCAAAAACATTAACACTAGACTCGCAAACTGACAGCATGCGCAAACCTGTCAAAAAATCATCCATTCCGGGTCACCTAAGTAGTTCTTTATTGAACTGCACTTAACTCGGTTTATCGATAAAAGCTATCGTGCATTCAAACTTGAAAAATGTAAAAGATTTACATTTTTAATTTTCAATTTATTATTGAATACTGAACATTGGTATCACACTTTTTTAATTTCCGAATTCCACAAACAATGAGAAAAGACTCTTTACATACCATGAAGATAATTTAAGTATCTAAATTATGTACATTCTTGCCCAGTACAACGACCGATATTTATTCATTTGAAGATAAAAAAGTTCAATACTATCAGGACATATCATGAGATATTTGTTATAAATTACTGATAAACATTAGTATACAAAAATACCTCACATTTTGAGTTTTGAATCTTATGTTTTTATTTATTTATTTCTCATATCTCCCCTTAAAGGGTATGTATAGATTATACCATGGACGATATATACACATCCCTCAAGATCCGGCTTCACTGCTATAAATACAGCAGCTATGGAATGAAGTGAAACACCCTTGGACCAAGGATGGTATATACACAGAGTATTAATATTGTAAATCTAAACAAACGTTAAAGTAACATAACAGTAGTTATTGAATCTTTTGCTCAGCCTCGATCAGAAATGTAATCATTCTTTGTTCACAGAACATTTTGTTTTCTTCATTGGCTTACAGGAATTTGTACAACAGCTGTATAAGTAATTTGCTATAGGTTATCATAATCTGAATGAAATCGTAGATATGACACAAATACAGAATAAAATCAACGAGCTGAAACGTCGACCGCCTCTAGACGTCGGCGTAGACGTCGCCATTGCAACTGTGTTCGTTGGTGTCGTCGCTAATGTTGTAGTTGTTGGTGGCACCGTCGTTGTAGAAGATATTGCTGTAGTTTGGTTATTGTAGTCCATCTTGCACCAGAAGGCATGGTCACCCCTGGCGTGTCTCAGGTTGCACACATATTCGTGTTTGCATACGTCATCGCATTCTCCTGCCCTACCAGATCTCGCCCAGTGGTTCTCGTAGTGCATCCGAAATAACGTTTCATTCATTAACATTCTGCAAAATTGAAATCACTGATTAGGAACTATTAATCTAACTGCTGTCATTAGTGGTTCGCAATAGTGGTTCATAGGAGGAAAACCAAACTCTTTGTTTTTATCGGTTGTTGTTTTGCCCTGAAGTTAATGGTGAACCGATATATTAACTACAAGGGGAATGACACTCTTTCCGAACGATTATCTCAGTATAAGGTGTCTCTTGCCTATACGACGTAAGACGATCAGCCATGAGTTGTTTCTGTCCAATCCAATCAAACATATATTATTTTAAATTATTGTATTTGTCTGAGTTAGCCATTTGGTGACGTGGGCCTAAATGGTATCAAGATTCAAAGTATGAAATCGTGCATTTTAATATGAGGAAACTTAGTGTGAAGAACAGCGTTGAATAAAACATTATGTGGTAATTCAGACCACCTTTCTGTTAGATCCATCCAGGATGACGGTGAGAGGTCGGGCATACCATAGTATTCTGTAGCTTTGTACGTCAGTTCGATATGGGGTTCCTTGTTGCCAGCTGAAGTATTTAAACCACATTACGTGCAACAAATGAATTATCATGAACGTGAAATTCTTAAAAATGGTGGCCTCTTTTTGGTGGGAGTGGATCATGATCAAATCAGCGTTGGAGAAATAAAATTCAAATCAGTTCTACTAAATTTTCTAGGTCATCAACATTGAAGAATAAGGTTTAATACGTTGGGTTCTACTTGCAACTTATATGTTACACACCTTGTGCCTTTCTAATGTCAAATCTGTATTGTTCGATATCTTTCAGGGCGAGAGTGGTGCCATCTAATATATACACTCGGGCAGACGGATTGACTTCACCATTTGTTGTCATGGAGGAGGCAATGCTATATACACCCATGGGGGCTCCCGTGTTGTAATCCCGTATCTATATAAATAAGGTGCACGTAAGAATTATTTTACTTACTTATCTTTGCAGTTGCGATCTCGAACGACCTATTATAGTATAGCCTACTAAACATGTGCCTAGAGTTCATTCGAACAATAATTATTGTCTTGTTTTGTTATTAGTATTGTAATAGCTGCCATTTTCCAAAAAAATAACAATTTAGAGTTTAAACCATTGTCTTCTTCTGAGAGATTGACCAGAGAAGTAAAAAGTCACTAGCGGCTACTGGAGGAATAGTAGATCAATGTTACCTATCGTAAAATGATACTGGTACACTAGCGGATCTACAAGTTTGGGGCCCAATTTTTTTCTTCGTCTACCCGGGGGGAGTGTATTTTTATTATCCTATTAAATGTATCTCACCAATTGAAAATGATCGTTGTGAGTATGGCCACCCATCTGTAGGACAACCGCATCAGCATAACGTACCATAAGGTCATTGTACCACTTTGACCATGTCGGTTCTACACTTCCCGGTGGATGGTGACCGACCATAATAACCTGTTAAAATGAACAACGACAATCAACGCCGGTAGATAGATCGAGAACAAGTGAATGAATACAATATTTGTGGTTTATAGAGGGTACGTGTGTATTTTGCACGTCAGAACTCATCATTAGGGAAGCATCATTTCTTTGATGTTTGGTTACCTTCTCATTGGCCACAGTTGCGGCTTCTAAACTGTTTTCCACAAACATCTTGGAATCGTTATATGCGGCAGAGTTGAAGTTAAGGACATTATAGAAGTTCATGCCATAGCTGAAGTCAAAGAAAATAAAACTGAACATTTTTTCTCCTTTAAAAACACTAGTCTTGAAAATGATGGATACACTAATAAAGAAACCATTAACAAGCAAAATGTCACCACCTACCATTTGCTACAGACGCCGAACACCAATCGTCGAGCGACGTCCACAAAAAGTTGTAGACTATAGCAATATGTCACCACTCCTGGTGGTGATATGACAAATAGTTCTCAATGAAATGAGAATTCATATGGATTAGTCGAAGTAATTCTGGCATATAAATGGTACGCACAGATGACATTTTTCCTGAACAAATACTGCTGTTTCTAGTTTATATGAATTTGTTGATTTGTCAACCTACCCATAGTTAGTATTGAATGAGATAACCCGAAGACCCGGGGCCACTATTGTCGTGTAGTGGCCATTGTTCTTTATATTGTTCTTCTGCGTCTGGTCCAGATCAGACACCTCAGACCACCATGAAGACAAGCTCTCCAGCAATTGCTGTAAATGTATATGTCTACTTGGTATCATCATGAGAAAACATGGCCTTCTATTAGCTTCTTTTCAGTTGAAGGCAGAAAGGTGTGATGGATATCAGAATGACTTTGGATAAATTGATCTATGAAACTGAGACACATCAGGTCTGTTTCCGTATGGACACGTATTAAAAGGGTTGGTTAACAGTTAAAGAACAACACCAACCATTGTCTAGAATTCAGATTTTGTCAAATATTTAAAAACAAATATCCAATCATTACCTGGACTTCTGGTCTTTCTAAGTAATACTGATTTGTGGGGAAAAATTCTGGAATGGAAAAGTATATATTTTATTGTACGCTCTATTTTCCCTAGTACGTCCACCTGAAAACAGTACGTCCACCTGAAAAATCAATGATTATGTACGTATTAGACTAAGAAACATTTTAGGTCATAAACAACGCGAAGGTGCAATATCATATTTAAAGTGACATAAATCTCTTTTGCACATTAAGTCCTAGACAAAATTCACAAGTGCGATGTTCCAGAGTAGAATTCATAGCTGGTCTTTGATGTAATGAAATAGTAGATTACCGTGATTTCCAAGGTTGAAGTAGACAGTAGCGTTTGGAAGATGGGTTTTAAAGGAATCTACTACTTCTCTTGACATCCCTGTCTGTAACTCCAGCGTCTCTTCCCAGATTGCGTGAGGAGGGTGATCACCTGATAAAAACATGTAAAGGGAAGATAAATATATATTGGTAGGTTCTCCATCTTGCTATAAGATTTAGCTTAGTCATTGACATTTTCATTATTAAGTTAACTGCCTAAGAGGACAACATACTCTTTGGAGGGAAGTGTTAAAAAGGTCAGAAAATATGTGTTATCAAAGACATTACTGACTATCTAAATCAACTACCATTTTCAAAGTGGTTCTTGATTTAATATTTTGGGAACGTGCTGCGCCTAATGGGGGCCTAATCCAAGGATTAATGGATCGTCCGATTAATACTTTTTGGTACTCACATTTAGGAATATGTTAAAACAATTTACCTGTATATATAACGGCATCGTATGAGTTTGAAACGTTATTGATGTTCTGTAAATAATATTCGAATGTCCTCTTCGGTGTATTACAGCTATAGTCGCCCCATTTTCCAGCATTTCCCTGAAATACAAAAGCTCAAGCTCAGTTTATAAAGAGGTGAAAATGGTGAAAATGCGACATTCCGTTCCGTTTCCTTTAGGTTGTGTAGCTTTGCATTTACGTTGTTATAAGTATTACCCACAGCAAGATAAAGCAAGAAATACGTCACAGAGTGATTCCCAATCTCAACTTTTAGTAACGTTGAGCTTATTTCATTTTTGATACGTACGGCAGACAGAAAATACAAACTTACCGAGCCACCGACGTAATTTCTGTCATTTGCACAACACATAATCAAGCCACAGTCTGTTTGTGATCCCTGCAATAAATGAAACAGTTTTTGTGATCAACAATATTTGTTTGTGTGGCCCATCACTTTCAGCACCAATCTGTCAACTAGTCAGTTACGCGAGAAAATGAACAAACTGCGTATTTACGCCAAACGTGCATTCCTACTTTCCCGAAGTTTAAATTTGTTTGAGAGTATTCTGTTGAATGTTTTAAAATGAAAAGAATACCTCCTCATATTTATTGTCATAGTGTATATCGGCAATTTGAACGATTCTTATGTCATCAACCTTTGTCGCTCTTCTCGTTCGCTCTCTTTGAGGACCCATTCTTCTTGTCGGGTTGCTTTCCATTGGTAGTTTAACAGGCATCGGTGAGTTGGGGATATAGTCGGCTGGTTTTGGGGGCAAACAGAATTCTAGGATGTGACACATTTCAGTTCTTGGCCTGGACGAGTTGCGTAGAATAAACATCAACTACATAAACATTACAGATATTAGAAATTAACATGTAAAAGGGGGCGTTGGGGAACCGCTCGAATAGAACATCTGATATGTGGCTTATAGCTTAAGTGTCTGATGATATTCGCTTTTAAAATATAGTTATAAGCAGCTAATAAGTCTTTAATTGTATGAAATCAAATTTAATCATCGATAACATTGCAATTGTTCACATAATTATAAACAAATAGATAAACAATTTAAATTGATTTGCCGAACCAAATGTTTATAGCTTAGCAGCTAAGATACAATTTACAAAACGTCAACTTGTGGTCCATATTTCATAAAATATCTGGAATATTATGTCAATGATTGTGGCTAAAAGCCATATATATAATCTGGTTACAATATTGCTTTATACCTGCTTAGTTCATGAAATTAAAAAATGAAAGTCAAATTTATGATTGTGCATCATCAAATAAATCATCGATAACATTGAATTGCACAATTAAAAATATGATAGATAAAAAATATCTAGGGTATAATTGTGAGAACTGGTGAGACCCATGGGGTCATTCTGGTACACACATGTCCATTATCTTTAAGCACTGTTTGAAAAGAAACAGTACTGGTGGTGATTGTTGTCTCTTCCATTCCGATAACTATCCCTGGTTGAGTTCAAAACAAATTCAAAACTGTTCAGGCCTACATTACCAGATGTAAAAGGGTAGGAGCTCCTACTCTTCACATTGATTTATACGGTGACCTCTATCCCTTATTATCTTATACACAATCGGGGCCAGTAAGAGCCGTTAAGAAAGGGACCATTATCCCTGGTGGACCATAATTTCTTTCACACCGGAAAAGTAACTCACTAACAAATTCTTTTGAATTATATAACCAACCCAATGTATCTCTATCGGGAAATATAAAATAACAAGAAAATATTTAGTGAATGTGGGTGAAACGGATTGCGGGAAATGTGTATGATGATCTGATGTATATCAAGTACTTACATGTGTACCAAAGTTGTCCAACAATCCTGGACACATGACAGAACCCCTCAGCGATGACATGTCCAAAACTAACTCGCATAGTAGTTCAACAGTACCTTTCACCTCTACCCAGGAGTCGTTCAATGTGAGACCCTTGTCATCGATCTCATCTATGAGTTCCAACACGATCTACATGGTAGTAGCCAGAAAAGTTATGTAAGAGACTGGAATAGTGATACTAAATCTAGGATGAAGAAAATTGTTTGCAAATGTTAAAGATTGCTCAACTAATCTTATTGCGTTGTACTTGCTATATATTGTATTGTGTGTTTCTAGAATGTACCTGACAAGCGTCGCAGCCAGGATCTTCAAGCTGCGTGTCATTGTCTGTCTGTCGTATAACATTTCTATTAATTTGTTTCTTCAAGCTAATCGCATCTTTTCCTTGTCCTAAATCCAATCCCTTTATAACTTTGGCGACATTCACCAACAGACTCTTTTCCCATTCATTTGTGCCATGATCTCGGGACTCTGTCGAAACTGAAACCAATGTGAAGTAAACACATAAGATAGAGAAAGTTATATACCCTTTTGAAATCATTTTACCCACTTCTTCAAGATTCGAAAATGACCATAGTATTCCGAGATTAACGATAGAGGTGTGACTAAAATGCAGGTAGTGTCATTGAGATGTTATATGATAGTCAGATGGGTTATGGGGTTATGGGTCATATATGGGGGCAATGTACGACTGTCACTGGTGATCCACTCGATTACGCTGGAACCGTTTCGGTAACAAAATGGCGGGACGTCGAAGGTACGATTTTTCTTTTTTCCTTATTTCACACGTTGTAGGCAGAATTCCCACGACATTTTTATCACAAACGTGTATCAGTATCATATGTTTAAGAAACACATTTGCGAACAAATAGTTCAGAAGACGACGGAATCGTCGATTTAATTCCTCACTTCGAAAAACGGTTAAGGTCTACCCTTTTAACCCCTACCGTTTATGTAACTTAAGTGAGGAATTGAATCGACGATTCTGTTGTCTTCTGAGCTATTTTTTCGCAAACACGTACATTTTCTAAAACATATGATACTGATACACATTTGTGAGAAAAAATGTCGTGGGGATTCTGCCTACGACGCGTGAAATAAGGAAAAAAGAAAAATCGTACAATGGACGTTCTGACATTTTGTTACCGAAACGAACCGTAACCAGCGAGCGGATCACCAGTGACTGTACGTGTACAATTTCATGGAGTCACATATGTTTACCACTGGAATGATATCTCCAGAATTTTTATATTGTTTACTTTATCATTATACTGCTCATCGTTTTATCTTTATGACCAGTAGCCAATTCAGTACATATAGTCAGTGATTCTGATTCTGCAGATTCTGTAAATGAATTTTATTCCATTTACCATGGACTTGAAATCCCTACACAGAAAACTTTGAGCAGTCATAAAAAATTCAATTCACAAGTCATTTCTAGACATTGATCAATCAAGAAATAATAACAAACTGCGTTTAAACTAGTAAATCAGAATTTCATTTTATATATTTTCATCCCTTACCAAATATCGTAAATGGATGTCAAAGATCCATTCTTGATGAGTAATTTTTAATATTACCCATCTCAATTAAAAAAAGATCGACATAAATATTAAATATATGTTGCCTTAAAACCAAGTGACAATAAAAATGTCATATTTTTGAGTATGTTCAGTGCCTTTCTATCGTGATGTTTGATCCTCACAGTTAAAGTGAATTACGTAGACAACTTGTCAATCAAACCTATTGATTTGGAGATATAGAATAAATCATTGGATGGTATGTTCCAACCAATATCGCTGGCCGTTGCTTATATCGAGACTTTTGAGTGTTTCAAAATGTTTAGTTTGTACAATTGATTTTTCAAAATTTCATTTCCAATCACATAGGATTGCAAAATGGTGTAGAGATTCACCTGGTCTGCAATCAAAGGTCAATACAGAACAATACAAACATCAAACGTTCGGTCATTGTGAGTGCAATTAAAACTATCTTCCATTTATGCCTGGGTCACATTTGCTCCGATCCATCGGCCGGCGCCCGGCCGATTGAGTGTTTTGTTCAATATCGTATTCAATTTTGAACAAAATACTCAATCGCCCGGGCGCCGTAGTGAAAATCGGAGCAAATGTGACCAAGGCATTATTCAGACATTGATATCCTTTTAATATTTACATTTATTTTCAATTTTTTGGCTGATTGGGGTGTATCGATACTATCATTACACCTCGGGGCCCTCCAGCTGGATACTTACATAATAACCCACTTTCAGAGAGAACCCCGTTGACGTAATTAGCAAACAACATTGGTAATTAAACAATTAAATGGAGAAACAGCACAGTTTGGCTCTGAGCTTACAAGAAAAAATATCATTTTAGTAAATTGTTAAATTGCATTAGAACATCTGTAGGAAAGTAGGATTTGTTTTTACAAACTCAACCCAAATGGGATTAAATTTTATTTCTGTGCATACCTATACATTGTCCACTAATTACTGATTGGCAGGATTAAGGTAAGCTGTTGTAATACAACATTTACACGTAGTTTATTGTTTGCATTCTGGTTCATATATATGCGAGCTTGAATGGGAACCTCATTAACACTTTAATTTGAACCTTAATAAGTTAACACAATAGTCAGTCACGGAATAGGAAGAGAACCAGAAAGAAACAATTGAGTGAATAACTCACATATTCGAAGAAAAGAAGGACAAATCTCAAGGCTATAGAGAAACTTGCGACTGATGAATAGGAACTTATAGATTATAACATGTTGGGATACCAAGGAACAGAGAAGTTGGGAGGTAAGTTGAAACTGTTTTGCTGATATGTACATTTTTATAGGAACATTGTCTTTTAACAGATGCATGGTAGCACATTTACTGAGATCTATCTATTCATAACACGTTCACGAGTGTATCATAGATTATATTCATTTACAACGAAAGAACCAATTCCAACAATCAAATAAGTGTAAATTTCCTAAGGATTTGACGATGATTGCAATTTGTAAGTGATCCCAAACTTGGTTCATAATTGCAATTACTCTTTGTGATTGTATGTTTAAATATTATGAGGATTGACAGTAGGAATATGATCGAGTTATCCACTTGACCCTTGCGTCTAAAATCTGAAGAGATTTGATTCTTTGAATTATCGTTGGTGTTTGTTGATTCTCTATCTGTTTTTCCTGATAACCTATTTAAGATTTTTAAAAACTTGTATTGGATTTTGAATATTCAAAATCCGTATTGAGTGAATAGTATGAACTCCATGGATGATTGAATTAGATCTTGTTTTTTAACTCAACAATTTTGAACTCATTTTTGCCAGTACAACTTTGACGCCAACACAAGGTGGCAGAAAGTGAATGCTTCATTATTTATAGACCCCCCATCAGCAACGTGCTATCTCATGGACCGAAAATATAATTTAACCTTAGGGGCCAATTACCTAATTAACAATCTGTTCTCCCCATAGTTTGAACATTGTTATCTGAAACAATGTTTGTTTCATAGAGATCTAACGTTGACTGTTTTGTATAGACATTGTTTGGATCTTTGTTAAACTTTTGATCAAAAAATCTATGGCCAAACTTTCGGATGAATAACAAATATCCATTTTAAAAACAATAAGTGATTGCACGTTAATAATATCATACTCCTCATTTTCTTCATTTTCAGACAATCAACACATGTCCAGCAACTGGCTTCCTCAGCCAAACTCTTGGCGCCCAACAATGGATAGCGCAGTCGGCATGCCCCTCGCACAACCCCACGGCTTGGAACACAATACTGCACAATCAATTCCGCCACAACCATTTGCATTCACTGGCGTTATATACCCACCGTATGCAGGGACATCTCAAATGGGGAACATGCTCCCGACATCAAATGGTATCTCACAATCTAATGGGTACCCCATACAGCCAAGTGGATACGGAGGTATGGGTTCTTATGGAGGGGCCTACTCAATGGGATATGGACTGCCCAACGACTTAAAACAAGAGCGAAAGACACACCAAAACCAAGATATTCCATCACCATCTAAGACATATACAGATCTGTCTCAAAACCAAGGTCACCCATCAAACTTGGACAAAGTCGCAAATCGTAAGGTGAACAATTGTGCTTCGTACCCATTTGAAAAGATATCAATGGGATCTGATAAGACTGACTCCGACAGCGACCATAGCACTCCATCCACATTTAGCAGCATAAACCTGAAAGAAAACGTTGGGTCTCCGTTCAGTGATCTGTCCAGAGAAGATACACCCACCTCTTCCGAACTCAACTGGATGCCATGTGAAGATTGGAAACCACACGCGCTTCAGCAGCAAGCTCCAAATAATGCAGCATATGACAGAGGTATCAACCAAGGAGGTTATCAGGATTACGATATGAGCGCCAGTGGACATATGAATCTCCAAACTCGTAAGACAGCAAAACCAAAAGCAACGAGAATGATTGGTGATATGGGTAAGTCCATTCCCAAACAAATTGATCAGTTTTGAGTAACACATAATTTCCCGATTATACAATCAAGATGGCAACAATTTTCGTATGATATCCTTTGCAATTTGGCTTGTATCTTTATTCATTAGAGGCCTGGTAAGTATGATACAAATTACGATTCAGAAAGATGTCTCATTGTATACTTATAAATACATCTCATATCATGTTGCTTTTACCTCTTGCAGAAATTCCGAAGAGGGATCGCCTTAGCTACACGAGATATCAACTTGAGCTGATGGTGGGCATATACAAGGAAGTTGACTACCCAAACAAAGTCCAGAAACATCTCATTGCTAAACGCGTTGGAATTTCCAAAGATCAAGTTAAGGTATGCAAGCATAAACTAAATTTTAGTTCGTATTTTCACTATATGACAGTAAAAGTCCCCCGGGTAAATGTCAAATTAAGAAAGAAACAGCCTTGGTACCAAGCTAGTATATCTACGTACTAGATATCCTGTATTTAGGTTATTACAAATAAGTTAATTATTTAAACATTGCCACGATATTGGAATACATCTGTTATAACATAATTGGAGTTGTTCACGCTTAATGTTTCTTCTAATAAACTGCTTCATTGACATCAGCAAAGCAATACTAAAAGAGCCGAAATCACATGTAAACTATCTATGTTCTATGAATCCCTATTAAATTGGCGTTGCCTATTTTACAGATTTGGTTCCAAAACAGACGGCGCCGTGAATTGATCGCCAAACAACATCCTGATTCTGCAGATGCCCGTCGTAAACAGGCTAAGGACGAGGAAGAGGAACTTCGTAGGGTCAATCCAGTTGTAACTCAGGACATTATTGACTGTGTAGTAAAGGAACTTCAAGCCCATGAAGAGGTTGCCACGGGCAAGCAAAAAATGAAAAGGAAACCTGCAGTTTCTGCAAATATTACGGAGGCTAAGAGTGAAGCAAAACACAACAATCATATTATTAGTGATTACATACCTAATGGTCAAACTTTTCAAAGCTCGCATGGCCAATATGCTCACAATTTGAGCGTTCCAAATACGTATTTAGATTCTGATCACACAAGTAACGGCGGATTTGAAATAAACACTAATATAGCTAATCCTCCAAACAAAGTGAGCCTCAATCGTACCCCAATCAAGACACCACCTCCAAACGACAAACAAGTTCAGAGAAAACGTCCTGCTGATGAACCTTCCGTGAAATCATCCATCCCACGCACACCTGATAAATCCTATACTGTCTATGTCCCAAATTCTAAGAAACAGAAACAAAATGAAGAGGAGTACGAGAAATCCCAGAAAGATGGCGCCACAAATAAAACCAAGCCTGGATTCTGCCCTCCTAATATGGTTGCCCCGCGTGGTGGAGAATTGAACAAAGCGTTGCTGGGACTTATTGAATCGTCAGTAACCTCAGCTCCCTCTACTTACTCAACAACAGCCCCATCTGCCAGTAGAACCACGAGCGTTAGCTCAGATTGTAGCGTTGGTTCATCCCCTAGAAAGCCTTGTATGTCATCTAGAGCCTTCACAGGCCAGTCTCCAGACCCAAAGGCTTATCTTGGAAATGCCAGACACCACCCCCGAAACGTCAAAACAGAGCCGGAAGAGCCTGCAAAATCACCACTCAATTATTCAACCGCTGACTCCAATGGTGTTTCCCCAAAACAACTTTACTTCGGATCCCCAGAATCAGATGGTAGTGCCATCCGCCAAATATCACCTGTAGCAGACACTTACAATAATCACCTGTCAATTGACGTGCCTGAAATCAAATCTGGCCTTGGAAATACCAAACACCATTTATTAAACCAAGGGAACGGTGGTGTTGGACAAGTCGCCCATGCGGCTGCCAATGGATATGATTCAGGACTATTGATGGTTTCTCCTTTAGCAAGATCAAAATCTATATCTCCTCCATTTGTTTCCCAGTCTAGCGTCCAGCCCGGGGTATTGCCTTATATGGGGTATACCACTGCTGCTCCCTGGATGCACCCAGCAACGTCAATTCAACCACAGATGGCATATAATAACATTACACGATCCGAACAACATATTGTTTAATATTATATAGAATAGAGATACTTCAACACTTCAACATCTTAACATATACACTGTGATATAAATGGAAATTGTTAACTGCTCAGTTTACTCAGTCAAATGCTCAAATAACGTGTAAATAATAAAACGTGTAAAAATGTACATGATCTCATTGAAGGCAGAAATCTCAAAAGGTTCGATTATTGTCAATTCAGTTTCATAATTTTAGTTTTTCTATTTATATATTTATGTATATATGTGTCCTGACTTATATTATATGTAAATATTAATAATTCAAGTTGTAATAAATACTGGACTGGTAGTCAACACAATTGTTTTGTTTTAAAATATTGTCAAAGCTGTAGCATATATCCCTTTACATGTATACGGTTACGGTTACAGCTTCCACATCAATACCTAACTTGAAGTACTTGATTCTGATTGGTCAAAGAGCGGTCAATAGTAACTTACAAAATGTGAACTTTCATTGATTATAGAAATCTATCTAATTGAAACCCCTTGATCAGTCTAATAAAAAACTTCGTACCACTCTACATTATCATACATCATCATACTGTATACGTCATTTTTGTAGATGTTTTTCATCAAATTGTGTTGTAATGCTGTGTTTATATTTGATACTGCAACAATGATATTTTGACAACGCCCACCTTTTCTACAATTTCTATGGAGTAGTGCTCTAATAAGTTAATCTGACAATGTCTAAAAATTATACCTAATATTTTACAACGGCACAAAGGTCGATAGATGTTTTTAAAATGCAAACAATGCATGTGCTTCATGGATATGTAATCTTTATTAGAGGCTACTACCATAAACCACCATGAGATATATTCTGTTTAAACTCGGAAATGATAAAATGTGCTGACTCGGCTCTTTTGAGCCTGATTCACAAGCTGTCACCAATAAATTTTTACATTTCTGCCCCCTGCAAAGATTTGATCAGTTTGAATCCATGTGATCTGGTCAAATCTCGACTTGGCCGTAGACCTAGTTAATGGCTCAATGGTATTTATTGATCCTGTATTATGACAGTGTTATTTGAATATACAAAAGTAAAAGTGAATATTTTTAATTCATGTCACTTCTCGGATTTTGATATACAAATACTTTATTTCATTACTCCAATGATTCTGCATTGTACCAAGCTACTATTATTAAAATACATTTCAAATCATTTTAACTATTGAGGAATCTGTTGCCTTCAAATGATTGATTGGACGAGGCAATGCAATGCTGTCGTTCAGTCCTTGTTTATTGAATTCAAACATTATTCATTATAAGCAATCTAGCGTTTTATTTTGTGTAACGCATCTTTCTATAAAAATGAACAACGAAAAAATGAACAGCGAATAACATTCAGAGACGTTTCCATGACATTTAGCCCAGATTCAAATTTGAATTGAATTCTTGGGTGTGGTCGGCACCATTCTTAGACTAGCCTAATGGCGATAACTCTACGTATAGCGACCCGGTAAGTGATTAGGCCTATATTTTAGACGTCATGCAAATATTGATTTTCAGTAACAGATGATCCCCATTTTTCCTGATTTAATATTTGAAACGAGTACCTAAATTGCTTTTCTCTTTTCCCGTGTATATATTATTTCTTCATTTTCAGCAAAATGGTGCCATACATAGTGTTTGGATTTATTTTACTTCTTTTGCGGATTGATGGAGCATCTTCTGCTTGTGGTAAGTTAAATACGTCGCACATAAATGGATTAAGTTTATTCTTTCTTTATGGTATTTGTTGAGGATCATTCGTCATTTCTTATTTGTTACATTTGTTTTATCATTTGATTTGCATTTCGTTTGTATCATATTTTGACGAGTAGGATTCGATCTTAACTTTTTAACATATGCTTTTATATTGACACGTAGTGTGTGTAGATATATTCAAAAGTCGATCAACTTTTAGGCCTTAACTTAATGCACAATTGTCTCAATGGTGATTTATACACGCGGCATTGTGAATTGAATTATGGTCCGATTGGCCATGAAACAAATGGAAACTGGACCATATCATCTGTTAAGATCTTTAAATAATTCCAGTTTCTGTTTGTTTCAGAACCACCAGGGTTAACAACATGGTCACCTTACAATATGTGGATAGGTTCGGGAGATGGTTCTGATATTAGTAAGTCGATTATCGGATGTTGACATTTTGACTGGGAATAGTAAAATTAGATGATTTGCGTGAAATACTTCTAACCCAATATGTCATAATTTACCATTCAAAATATAAAATCTCATGATATTTCATCAAAATGGATTTAATGTGTTCAAATTATCATTCTCATTACCAAGTAAGAATGAGGTTGAGTAAAAACAAAATATACTGAATAAGACGCATATTGAATTAACTGATGAATCTTATACGATAAATGAATAATGACATAATACTTCTTTATATAACACTGGTGATCCACTCGATTACGCTGGAACCGTTTCGGTAACAAAATGTCGGAACGTCGAAGGTACGATTTTGCTTTTTTCCTTATTTCACACGTTATAGGCAGAATTCCCACGACATTTTTATCACAAACGTGTATAAGTATCATATGTTTAAGAAAATGTACACATTTGCGAACAAATAGTTCAGAAGACAACGGAATCGTCGATTTAATTCCTCACTTAAGTTACATAAACGGTATTTCAAAAAAACAGTTAAGAGCTGCACTTTTAACCCCTACCGTTTATACCAGCGTAAATCGAGCGGATCGCCAGTGTATAAGATAGTTCAGATCATTCTTTCAGACATAATTGTTTGAACTACAAGTTCGATATTTGTATGAACATAGAAAACTTATATGTATGATTACTGATTGACACGGAATACTTGAGCATTTGTTATATCTTGCTGACATGCCAACAAATCATTTGACCATGAATGTTATTCGACATACATTGTCAAGGGGTCATTGTTCTTTTTGTGTGGTTGTGCTTGCCCTGCAACTTTGTGTCATCTTTGCTATCTTTACGTTTTCAACTTCAGGTGAATGTTGCCCTCCATCTAATATCAGAGTAGAATCCAGCATATGTCTCAGTGAATGCTTTGATTGGAAGACATCATTCTCTGAGCAGGACAGTAAAATAAAATCAACCGTGGAGTTACTAGAAACATTCAATACAAATTTTGGTGATTTAAGAACTGAGCTCACCAGCCAAATTGATGATCTTAACACTATGACATCTCAAATTCAAAGTCAAATTGATTTTCAAAATGAGGCTGAAGAAGGAATTGATGAACAAATTGAAGTGCTTGCTGATGTTCGTGAAGTTTTAGAAAACAACAGTCTCTCTTTGTCTCTAACATTAGATGAAATAGAATCAGACGAAGTTTCTAACATGGAAGAGGAAAATGAAAACCAGGATGTTCTCACATCTACGTGTCAACAGATGTCTTTTAATTATACCAACAAACTTTCAACACACTTTAATGCATTGGGGGATTTTCTCACGATTTTGAACACATCGACAGTATTAACATCCTCAGAAACCATTGAAAAATTGGAAACTGCTTCAGAACTTTACGATTCTCTTATGGCAGCAGTTACAACTGAGAATAACGGACAAGTGAAAAGGTTGGAGGTCTTATCTAAGAGAGCGAAGGTAGGCATGTTCAATAAAGACGGATGCAATGTCCAAGACAGTAAAGGTAGGCATGTTCAATAAAGACGGATGCAATGTCCAAGACAGTAAAGGTAGGCATGTTCAATAAAGACGGATGCAATGTCCAAGACAGTAAAGGTAGGTATGTTCAATAAAGACGGATGCAATGTCCAAGACAGTAAAGGTAGGTATGTTCAATAAAGACGGATGCAATGTCCAAGACAGTAAAGGTAGGCATGTTCAATAAAGACGGATGCAATGTCCAAGACAGTAAAGGTAGGTATGTTCAATAAATACGGATGAAATGTCTAAGAGAAGACAGTAAAGGTAGGCATGTTCAATAAAGACGGATGTAATGTCCAAGACAGTAAAGGTAGGCATGTTCAATAAAGACGGATGCAATGTCCAAGACAGTAAAGGTAGGTATGTTCAATAAAGACGGATGCAATGTCCAAGACAGTAAGGGTAGGCATGTTCAATTAAGACGGATGCAATGTCCAGGACAGTAAAGGTCTTCATTTTTCAAGGACGGATGCAATGTCCAAGACAGTAAAGGTAGGCATGTTCAATAAAGACGGATGCAATGTCCAAGACAGTAAAGGTAGGTACTGTATGTTCAATAAAGACGGATGAAATGTCCAAGACAGTAAAGGTAGGCACTGTATGTTCAATAAAGACGGATGAAATGTCCAAGATAGTAAAAGTAGGCATGTTCAATAAAGACGGATGCAATGTCCAAGACAGTAAAGGTAGGCATGTTCAATAAAGACGGATGCAATGTCCAAGACAGTAAAGGTAGGTATGTTCAATAAAGACGGATGAAATGTCCAAGACAGTAAAGGTAGGTATGTTCAATAAAGACGGATGCAATGTCCAAGACAGTAACGGTAGGTAAGTTCAATAAAGACGGATGCAATGTCCAAGACAGTAAAGGTAGGCATGTTCAATAAAGACGGATGCAATGTCCAAGACAGTAAAGGTAGGTATGTTCAATAAATACGGATGAAATGTCCAAGACAGTAAAGGTAGGTATGTTCAATAAAGACGGATGCAATGTCCAAGACAGTAAAGGTAGGTATGTTCAATAAAGACGGATGAAATGTCCAAGACAGTAAAGGTAGGTATGTTCAATAAAGACGGATGAAATGTCCAAGACAGTAACGGTAGGCAAGTTCAATAAAGACGGATGCAATGTCCAAGACAGTAAAGGTAGGCATGTTCAATAAAGATGGATGCAATGTCCAAGACAGTAAAGGTAGGTATGTTCAATAAAGACGGATGCAATGTCCAAGACAGTAAAGGTAGGCATGTTCAAGACGGATGCAATGTCCAAGACAGTAAAGGTCTTCATTTTTCAAGGACGGATGCAATGTCCAAGATAGTAAAGGTACGCATTTTTAATAAGGACAGATGCAATGTTCAAGATGGTAAAGGTCTACGCATTTACAATAAGGACGGGTGCAATTGTCAAATAGAACACATCTAGGCATGTTCAGTAAGGACGCCGGGGTGCAATTATAAAAAATACCTCGCTCTCTTTAGTCCAGTGCGTCTTATTCGCATGTGTTTACTTGTGAATGATTAAATAGCGTCGGTCCTTATCACTATCATCCCGGAAGAAACCTAATATAAATAGCTTGAGGTATGCATGGACAAAAAATATACTTTAAATTTGTAAATAGGCCAACGTTTCGATAATTCCAACATTGTTTTTAAAACTCGTATTCCGTATTTCAGGATGTCAACACGCTAGTTGACAGGGTGAATAAAAATTGTCCGGCAGGATCTGACCAAAGTAAGTAGAAACTCCCCAAAACATGAGGCCCACATGCTACTACTAATCTTTACCGTTAATATAAGATAAATCTGGTTGTGAATTGATTATTATTGATATTTTGTTTTTTTGAACGTCTGTATGATGATTGTCGCATTTTCTTATTGCAGACGAGCAAATGGTTCACTGTTGCGCAGATATCTATACATCAACCAAAGCTGCAGGTAATACACCAACTGATGGCATCTACTCTATCGAACTTGAAGGAGAACAAGTGCAAGTCTACTGTGATATGACGACTGATGGTGGAGGCTGGACGGTAAGACGCTTTCTATATAGTCCATGGCCGTCGTTGATTATAAAGCTGGTCCACTCGCCATGCTTTTACAAATATGATTATGTTTAGACATGTTTTGAGCGAAATTTTGTACCAAATGAATAAAGTCTAAGTTTTTCCTCGTCTTTTTAGCTCACATGGTACTGCTGTCGTAATAATCGCTCACTTGTCTGTCTGTCCGTTTGTCTGTCCGTTTTCCGTCCATCTGTCTATCAACACATTGGTTGCCAATTCAAATTCCTTCGTGACAATTAATTGAAATAGTTTCACTTTTAAAATGTTTATACAGTAAGTCTTCAATTTCCCTATAAGTAACGTCTCAAAAGCTCCTTGCATTTGATCAATGGACGACCAAGTCAGGAAACACCGTGCAGTTATCTCTACTCTCTAGATACAGCAAAATCAGTTAAATTGGCCTCGGATTACCGGATTGATATGCCTATTTTCACATGTTTGTTTCCAATGTATTATCATTTATACGTTTGAAATGTTTGAAATATTAGGTTTTCCAAAGACGAGTATCCAATGCAGAGGGTTTTGATAAAGGATGGGAAGAATATGTGAATGGATTTGGTAATCTCAATGAGAACTTCTGGATGGGTGAGTTATGGGCACTCACATGTACAGGATGGATGCTGGAGAATAGTTTAAGTTAAATTGCATAGGCGCGCTTGGAAAGTTACAACGGGGAAGGTAATTTAGATAGAGTACCATGGGCTTTGTATATGTTCCATGAAATGATTACATCATGGTGTTTAAACCTTGTAGGACTTGAACTGATGCATTCCAAGACAAAGAGCAGCGATTATGTGCTTAGGATCGATATGGAGGCATTCGACGGCTCAAAGGCGTTCATCACGTATGATGGATTCGGCATTTCAGATGCCAGGCGAAAGTATGCATTGGATTACAGGGCAAAAGTCAATGGAACAGTTGGTAAAAACCTAATATACTCCGTCTCTTTAGAGAGTCACCAGGTCCGTTTTTGAAACCATCGTAACTTACGATTTGGTCGCAAGTCATTGGAGAGGTAAAGCTACCGTATAAAATCCAAAACGAAACTTAAACGTATCAATCGACCCTATACAAATACATGTAGAGTTCACACATAAATAGCCGTTCAGCTCTAGTGTTTGTTTAGACTACACCATAGCTTGTAATGATTACATAGTATCCCATTGATGAAGTTCAATAGCTGGTTTTCTAATACATATTTTAAACGAGCTCGTTTCGTAAGATTATTGGAGTTAAATCATGCGTAACATACATCATCTTCTTCAGAAAGAATTATACTCTGCATCGAAATCAAAATTGCAAGGATAGTATTCAACAGACATGAGTATAATGATTCCCGTTGATAGCAACGTGAAATTTCTAAATCTCCCGTTCTAAACACGCAACTTTGAAGTTGAACGGGTATCTGAAGTAGACTAAAGCGATACAATCCTATGTTGATTCAATGTACTTTGCGTTTACGTATACGTTTTGAAAAACCGTATTTGCTTAACCTCTCCAGTGTTCATCAAAACAGAGACAAATGGTTTTCTCGGAATCGTAAGTTACGATCGTACGAAAAACGAACCCCTGTACAATAGGTTCAATGAGAATGGTCGTGGCTGTATTTTGTAAAACTTGTATCTAAAATACCTAATCTATCAACCCCAATCTGAACACCTCTCAAAGTGAAGACCTTTTTTCGGTTTCATTTTTTATAATATTTCTCTTTTCATTGTTGAAAAACCTTCTCAATCTGAGCACTTTTAGCCGGTCAGAGTGTTGTTCGGATCTATTGCTGCAGATTTTACATGAATTTCCACTCACGAAGCCATTCGATCCTATGTGACAAGCTCTACAGACAATACATTGTCAAATGGTTCTTTCGTTAACTGTTCAGCATAAAATCTAATAGTTAGCGTAAGCCGTTTCAAATGTACTTTAAATTTCACGTTCCATCTTACACAATTCGGTCAATCGTATATGTGTTTGAGTCAAAATAACATTGAATGTCAGCATAAATATTTTGTATCCTTTTCACAGATAATTCATTGGCACCAAATAAGCCGTTCACGACAAAGGACCAAGACAACGATAAGCACGAAGAGAACTGCGCCCTTCGCCGCGGTGAAGGGGCATGGTGGTATAATGGCAAATGTGGCCCGTCTAGTTTGAACGGGCCATACGTTGATGACCCAGGGCAGACAGAAAAATTTCAGGGGATTATTTGGAAAGCATTTCAAGGAACAGTCAAGTCTTTGAAATTTACAGAAATGAAATGTCGTCCAGAAACTTTTACACCAGAAGTTGTTTTGGAGGAGCAAAAATGATTGGACATTTCGTAAAACAGCCATGTTATACGGCCCAATGTTGACATTAATATCATTTTGTTCTGACTTTAAGTGTAGAATGCCATCTTGAAAAGTCATTGCACAATAAATGTATATGGTTGTTAAAACAAACTGATATTGTTCTTATCTGGTATGTTTTTTAGATGCTATCATCTTACCGCCAAATTATTTTGATCAAAAATGCAGTTGGGTGGGGGGCTTTAACATGGACAAATTTGTCTAATGGTATACTCATAGAAAATATCATCGTATGAGGGGTAGGACATTGATTTGGCCAAATAAGAAAGGCCCGTCTCAAACTTAAATGCCATAGTCGTTGTGTCCCCTGGGCAGTTGAAATATTAAAGAAGGAAAGATAGTGAATTTACCTCAGCATTTGAGAATAGTAATAATCACGCGGTGCCAACTACGACCGTTAATTTGAATTTTAGACCTACCACCTGACCACAGGTGTTTGAAAATCGAGAATTGTGAGTCTCATACTGCACCGTTTTTTCTTCAAACTTGTTGTATTAAAAGCAAAACAAAAATTTGGAAACTTTCTTTATAAAAGCATGTCAATGGTTCCCTGTGTTCCTTTTTCTTTATCATTTATCATTATTTAAGATGCAGAGATGTCTTAATCCAAAAGAAAGAAGACGTCCACCTCATTGCCAAAACTTAAACATCAACGCATTATTCATATTTAAACAATAATTACAAAAAGCAAATAATATAGGTACTACATTTTATTTTCATCAAGTCGGCTTTTACGAAACAATGGTTATAGTCATGGTGTATCTAGTAAATAAACTACAAATCTATGTAGGCAACGTCACTTTCGACCCTAATGTCTCGTTTTTATTATTACTTTTTGCAAGTTTTTTTGTGCATCTGTTATTTTCTAGCTTGAGACAGAACTAAAGTGACACATTTTCGTAAAAATCAAGGCGCATTGGATTCCCTTTCTAACATCCTTTATTTCATGAATATCGAGTCACCTTTGACAATTTATGAAGCTAAAGGTACAACTGCGTTCTCTTCACGAATTTGAGAGAATTACTTGATGCATACTCAATGAGATTGTTGCATGCTCCTAAATATTTGTGCAAACTGTATCAACGGGATTTTGAATTTGACATTGTTGATTATTCAATTGCGATTTCAATGAGTTTTCGTGCCCAGCAACCATTTATATAAGCATATCAGGTACGCGAATCTTAAATATTTTCTCTCGGTTGACATTTATCTTGAGAATTCCAAGCCTTGCTGGCAAAATAATATCAGAAATAAACGAGTGACCTCTAATTTATAAATTGATGCGATTTATTTGATAACACACGGGGCTTTGAGAACAGAACCAATTGTTATACACGAAAAATAAACATACATTTCGGCATAACTCTGTATTTTATTGTCATATTTCACATTTGCACTTATACATTGTCCATATTAGTACTGTTCGGATAGCAGTCGATCTAGATCCTACGGGGGGCTTGGCATGCACATCTTCAAGTAACCCGACAGGGTTGCCTTTGCACCCTGAAATACAAAACACCTATAGGTAAGGTACATGTAATGTCCAATACCACTCCGCAACGCCCTGACAACGGTAAAGACAGAGACCGTTGTCAAAAATGGCGGCCACAGGTTTGTATTCGATTTTATTCATTAACTGTAATAGAGTACCTAGATTAGGCCTATTCCTTTCAAATTCCTTTGATAATCAAACAAAGTTTTTATTACCGATCAAAATATGACAGGGACAACAGATACTGATTCTACAAATGAGAACGGTAGTGGGTCAAATGTGCTGTCAAATCGGGATGACAACAGTAAGATTATCTAGGAAGACAACGATTATGCGTTAAGGTCGTATTCATTTCTATCGCACATTGATTGTGAATAAGAATTTTAGCGAATAAGGCCTCTTGTGTGAATACAGAGTGACCTCAAAACATGCAACACTAACCATAACTTTGATGGAATCACATATTTTCGTCGCGGCATGGTCTTGCTCAGAATCGTACAAAATAAATATGTAATTTCTGGAATTTGTTTGTCTGAATCTGCATTTTCCAATTCGATAATATGTATGAAATCAATTAAATCAAGAACATTTTGAAAACTTTGAACATTTCTAGTTCGAAGATTAGCCTACGACGGTTTTTGTTGAACTGTGCCCCATTGAAGATTCCTCAACAACGGGACAAATGTATTCAAATAAAGCTACTTTGTCTATTACATACTTGCAATTTTGTAATGCTCTTGTCCAAAGCAGTGGATTCGACAGCTTCTTGTGCAGTTATGTTGCTTGAGTCACTATCGTATTGATTCTCTATGCTTTCCAGGAAATCGTTTGCGGCCTGGAAGTAGTGCATTTGATGAATAAAAAATGCATGTCCTCACAATCTAGTGATGGTAGTATACCCTGTCTTAGAATGAATGGCATCGATGATGGTGCTACAAAATTGTGTACACAATTTGATATTTGAACATAAGAGTCGGTCTATATAAAAATACCTTCCCGATGTCCTCAATTGCTTGAATTTGTTCTTGGCCTTCTTTCTCCACTTTTGCCATCATAGGATCCAAGCCGATCATAAGAAAGGTGAACTTCATGCTAATTAGACTGAAATATATAAAGTTGCTTTTACAAGAAGAGCCATAAAATCTGACGAAGCGATAATTTACTTTTTGGCTTGAACCTTGTATTGCTTCATAGTTTTTACGCTGCTGTTTGCTTTAATGCCCAAAGTCGTTTTCACATTTCCCCACTTTTGGCTTGGTAAAGTAGATTTTCCATCACCATTTTTCAAACGAATACAATAATTTAGCTACGAGTATACCTTATCGTATTTTCAAGATATTCTATCCTCGCTTTATGCTTGACTCCCAGTGATGTTTCCAATAACGCCATTCTCTTTAAGATATCAATGAAGTGGGCGTTCAACATACTAGTTACCGTTCCGGCCAAAACACTTAGTTCGCCAAGCTTCTCTCTGATCGTGTCTTGTTTAGCTTCATTGTCGTCAAGTCTTGTTTTTAACGTAGCAAGTGACTGAAAGTTATACCATAGCTAGATATCGAATGAATCGACAGTCATATTCAGTCAATGGACATCGGTCTCAATTTGATGATATTCTCAGAAAAAGAGAGTTGAAAATTTAAATCTAAAAGCACTTAGTTAAACCCATAACGTCAAAGAAATTTAAATAGTCTTCAGAAATAGGCCTATCCCCATTTTTTAGACCCTAACCGAATCGAGAATAACACAATTGTTAGAATCAATATAATTCTAAAATTTCCTTCATTGGGTATCCGTTTTACCTGTTCATTTTCGACAAGTTGATTCTGCATTTCTTCTGCCCAACGAAATGTGTTATTGACTTCTCTTAGTATTATATCCATTGCGTCTTCCTGCTGTTTGAACTTTGCCTTGAAATCATTGCAGAATGACATACAATTTGGAGAGTTGACGCTCACTGTATGCCCAGCACAACATGGTTCTAGAAGTGGAAGATGTAAAAGTGTGAACGAAACAAATTACAATTAAAACTATACAACTGAAAGAAATTATTTGAGTCCTAGTATGCCATATATTTTGTAGACTCCATAGGATATTTTTCTGAATTAAAGTTAAGTCAGTCTGAGTGACAATAACATCGACGAATCAAATTGTTTTTGTTCTTACCACACACTTGTCCATAGCTCCAACCAGTTAAAATCGTCAGTAAGAAGGACAATCCAAGAAAACGCATCATTTTGTTGTTTCAAAGAACTTGTGAATTTTCAAAATTTAAAATGTACTTCGCTATTGATTTTATCTAACTCAAATAATGACTTAGCATGGGTTGTGTTATTTAGGATTTGCAATCAGATGTTGTTGATGGTTTTCAGTCTGAGTAACATGTTTGTGACACGCAATCACAAATTGCATTAGCGACTCAATAATTCCAGTTCTATTAACAGATTAAAGGCAGAATTGATCTTTTACCAAGACCTTTGTTCTGGTCAAAAATGTAGAGATTTTTTTCAAGACTAGATAAAGCAGAATTGCAGAAATGGGGTAAATGCTCAAATTCTCAAATTCTCCCAAATAATAGACGTGGTAATCATTCGCAAAGCACTCGTCCGGAAATGAGGGGTCGTTTAGATGAAAATGTATAAAAACGAGAAAATTCAGTGACCTACATATTAGAAGTAAAGGGTGACACCAAAATTTTTATGTGTAGATAGAGTGTTCAATGGAAGAAAGATTGGTATGCTAGCATAGCATCAACAACTGGGAAATTACGACCTTCCGCAGAGGCATCCTCTGACACTCAAAAATGTAAATTAGAAAAAACTGTCATTTCAAAACTTGATGATTTCATCAACCTGGACGGAAAACGTGATATCCCTCAAAGTTTTTTTTCATATGACTTTATTTCCTTCAGTGTAACAATTAATTAACATTACATTTACAAAAGGAAGATAAAATTATGATAAATAAATATTTGTTGTGTTGTTCCATAGTCATATGGTAAAAAGTTAACATGATATTTTGAGTTAAACTTCAGTTTGGTTCAATGCAATGTAGAGTATGATTCTGTTTGGTTCTCTTGTTTTAGTGGAGTATGTCAGGAGGTTACTCTTGGCATATAAAGTCCTGTTTTGTCCCATCTGGTGTTGTTTACCTCTATTTGGTTGTAATTTTCTGCGATAAGCTTATTAATTTCTTCCTGTGTCCTTATATAGCTTTTAAATCTTCGATATTTATTTTTTGTTGTTTTGTTGAGAACTTTTGGATTAACCCTCGTAGATATAATGTTTCAATAGAGAGTAATATATTTAGATTTATATTGTTTGTATCTCCAATGAAGTACATGGTTTCAGTTAGTTCTTCTATTTCCCCTCTTTGTGTAACCAGATCAATTAGTGCTTTTACTTTATTGCATCTGTATAGTCCATGTTCCGCCGTATCTATTTGGTTGTCTTCGCAAAATTCACAAACTGGGCTGGCGTTAATCTTCATAGTGTGTAACTTAGCATTTTATTACAGAATATGGTTCACATTAGTATCCTATATTGGTAATCCCTATGCAGTGCGTCCCAAAAAAAACGCAACAAAGAAAAACATAGTAAAATCACAAAACCAGTCATGATTACATCAATTTCATTTAGTTTATCATGAAGCCACGTGTCTCCTCTTTCCAATGGTATGTCATTTGTTCATATCCGACCATGGACCACTGAAAATTAATCATTGTTTTTTCGTACATGGTTGAAAAGGCTATATAGTATTTGTAAGGCATGGCTCTTCTGGTCTTCTATATTTGTGTGTTTCATTTTCTCTCTCCATTCTTTCGGAATACATTGGACTAGGCCATACCATTGCAAAAAGTTTGAGTTATTAAGACTGTATCTTCCTCGGAGGACTGCATATGGTGTATGTATTTTCTTCATAAAGCTGTTTTAAATGTATTATTCCTTGGTTTAACCATTCGTCTAAATGTTTGCCTTCCGTCTAGACAGGAGTTGTTCCATATGATTTGTTCTTAGGTGTTTCAATTTCATCTTTTCCTTTGTAGTGCATTGGGCACCATATGTTGTATATTTCTCGCAGCGAAGATAATTTTACATTTGATTTCAATGAAGTAATCAGACTTTTCAAATTAAATGTCTATGCAAGCCAGGTCCAGCATCCAGTCACGGTAGTTCTTAGTTCCTTCAAACTGTTTTATGTTAGTCTCAGATGCTACACATAAGCTTGTCTTTCTTACAGTCTACACCGTTGAAAAAAGTCATGGAGATTCCGATTATTGAGAATTTAAAGATATACCAACATTATTGGATAGCATTTTTTGTGTCACTTTGTATCAAGGCAGTAGGTCACTAAATTTTCGAATCAGGTAGGCTATATTATTGCCCCCCCCCCCCCATGTAGACAGTGTGTGCTGGAGGAAGGAGTTTATACTTGGCCGAAAGTTACTTAGTTTGCACAAAGCTATCTCTACTAAAAGATGGCTATGTGCAAATTTAGTAAGCCGAAAGTACACATTGACTAGGACAGTCATGCCAGCATTATGCGAACGAATAATGTTTACCAGAGGAAATCTACGTTCGCAGTTTTGATGGAGAAGAGCTCTTTAATGAGGAGGTAACAAAAGTTCTAAAAAATCTCACAAATTTTTACCACATTTCTCTTGATTTCTTCCTTTACTTTGATGTCTAAAGCAATTGGACAGTGGTTCTCAACCGACTGGTTTTATATCTCAACATAGAAGAGGTAAATAAGATAATATCTACATGTATTTTTTAGATACGAGGGTATATCATAAAGTTCTCATAATATCTCTCTATTTTTTTTATTTTTCAATATATTCTGATGAATTTTTCACAGAATGTGTACTATACAATGCTGCACTAATCTATCAAAACATATTTGGTATAACAGAAATATTATTTAAGAAATGGTTGCCATAGTAACCGGAAATCAAGGCACCCGGGGCAAATAAAAAATCGTGCAAGAATAGCCCCAACTAACCATGTTTAAATGCACAATAAGTTATCAAATACGCTATGAAACACATCAAATTGTTAAACACCATGTATTCTTGACTGTTTTGAACTATTATAATGGTCATGTGAATTTTGTGATCTCATAATGGATGATTGTAATGCTTCATTAAAAGTGATGTAAGACGCTACAACTGTTTTGTCAAATATTCCAAGGAAAGTCGCTTTCCCACTTTAGTTCATCTTAAATAAATAATAGACCACACATAGGATCTGTAATTTTGTTGATATCTTTGCAACATATATGTTTTAGATAATTTTAGTTTGAGCAAAGTATTTTTCGAACTAAACTAAACTTTTTATCAGTATGAATATTATTTTTCTGATGAACCCTGCATCTATGCATTATCTAACTCAGTCATTTCTGATCATTAAGCTTTGATTTTCAGTCTGGTATCACATCTAATGAAGCATGTAACCATCCCCTATGACATCACACATGATCAATTTATTTTATAGTAAAAGCATTTAACAACATATTCAATATAACATTTAAATGTGTTTGATAATTTATGAGAGTTTATTAAGTATGTAAACAAGGTTAATAAAGCTACTTATATCTCAATTATTTTTATTTGCCCCGGGTGCCTTGATTTCTGGTTACTATGGCAACCCTTACTTATCTAATATTTCTGTTATACCAAATATTTCTTGATAGATTAATACAGTATTCTATACTGCAGATTCTATGAAGATTTCATGAGAATATGTTGAAAAATAAAAAAATTAGAGAGATATTATGAGAACTTTATGATATACCCTCGTAGATGTCACGTTTATTATTTCTACGATATTTATTTTTTCTTATTTTCTTGCATACAAGGCTCGTACACACTTGCCGCTTTTATATTGCGGGAAATGCTTTCCTGGCCTTACTCGAGTCTCTAGCCAAATTACTTGGCTAGAAGACATGGCATGTGGACCACCGTGCACTAAAGTGGGGGACAAAAATAGATCTCAACCCTCAAAAGTTGTCACAATGAGCTAAATTCTAAGTTTCGTGTCTCAAACTCTCCCAAGCGGTAGAAAAATAATTCCCATTCACTATAAGTAGCATAATAAATGAATCCAAAGCTTCATACCTGCAAATGATTGATAAATCCCTACCAAAATCGAACAAATGTTTACATGAATCGCCATGCTTGTGATCCAAGGAGGATTGACTCCTAGAATGCAACATCAGGTAAACTTATTTACTCGTTCAATGATTTCAAAATGGCGGAATGGCATTTTAAAAGCTGAAATGTGTCATGTTGCATTCTGGGAGCCAATCCACATTGCGGCGTAATCGGGCTCCAAAATCACCTCAACATTTGAAGAGTCGGCATTAACATGTGAATTCCACTTCAAATTTTTAAGTTCTTATTTGTCATTATGGACACGAATTCCACTATATCTGGACTTACTAGGACGCAGAGCACTGAATACACTGAGGTAAGAATTTATTACATGTGCGACAGCATGTAATTTCCATAGCTTTTGTAATTCTTTATGGTCCTTTAATTGCTTTTTTTTAAATTCAAAGTACTTACAAACATTTAAAATTTTACTGTAGGCAGATATTCGAAATTGGATCCAAATGCAGTAAGAAACTCAGTCTTTCTTGAGTTAAGTTTCTTCTCAACCTCTGTTCAAGTGACGTCAGAGTTCTAAGAATTTGCCAGAATTCCATGAATGAACTATAGTAAAATTTTTGAAGGGGTGATAAATATCCAAGATTATAAATAAACAGATTCAAATGTGAAAATGTAGTTTACAAACTATTCTAAACAATTGTAATTAATTCGCACAATGTAATAAAGGTAATTAGCAATCTCAAGTATGATGGTCAAGTTTACAAACTATAATGACTTGTCATGTCATGAGATTTTTTAGAATCATCCACCATTTTGAAATTTAGAGGATTAATCAGAAGAAAATGCAAATGGACATGATTCTACTCAGCTCCCTGACGAAAGGAAGGAGGTGTAGATAAGTCATTGGCAAAATGTATTATATATGGGCGAAAAAGCTTATGAATATGGCAGAATGAGAAAATAAATGGATTTTTCGACTGTCGGACAGCATCTGAAAAATATTTTAGTACCCATGATTCACCTTTACATTGCTGGAATATTTTTGTTTAGTGTGAAAACAAATAACTCCCAAATCCAACATATTTTCCCTATTCCTTGGCAATAAGCTTCCGTACAGTTGTACAGCCCTTTCACTGTTTTATTGTGTCAGTAAAAACTAAAAAATAAGAAATCAAAAGATCATTATGCAATAATATATGGAAAAATATATTCCTTATAAATGACATTTGTTTATCTTGGATTGCTTCTTGTTTGGCTAATAAAGTGTGTGGCCTCTTATATTTTGATGCTTCTTTGCTATAGTATTTTCAAAAAGATAACATGGCTGAAATTCTTTAAATTACAAGAGGGCACAGGCTTATTGCGCAAAAACTAAATAATCTGAAATATACAAATGTCATTCATGTACAATATGAATATTCTTTTCCATATATTATTGCACAATGGCCTCCTGATTTCTTATGTTTGGGGTTCTACTGACGCAATAAAACAGTGAAATGGGTTGTAGTAGTATGGCGAAGGGTGGATATATGAAGCTACATTGTCCACCTTTCGCCATACTACTACTGTACTTTGTATTTTTGAGGTTCCTTTTTTACTTGGTTTGGTTTCCCGCGTATACACTACCATTCCAATGATTCAAATTACTTTTCTGTGATTCTGTTCAATTTGTATAACATTGACATGTGTTAAATTTTGATAATACAGGGTGTCCCAGAAGTAATGATAATTATGTTCTTAAATTTTTATTTGACAAAGAAACATAATAATGAAATTCACACAAATTAAAGATCAAGATGTAAGCTTCATTTTGCTATATTACACTTATTACTTTACACAAAAATATTCCATGTATGGTTACCATAGCAACCCATATGCATGCGGAGCAACTTAGTTTTCCATACATTTTTGAAGAACATTTCGTGCTTCCCTGCTGTTCACGTTACTACTGCAGTAGTATTGCTACATTTAATTTATTCCTTAGTTGTAGATCCTGCTTTAATATGCGAAGTATACTTGACCTTGGAATACCTAAAGCATGGGATATTCCCCGCACTGACACCCAGTTATCCTGCTGTATCATTTCTTGAATAAACTGGCTGTGTCTTGTGCCTGGTCTCCCAGACCCTTTCTTATCATCAAGTTTCGTCGTGCCTTCAGACCCGAACCATTTGTGCCATCTATACTCAGTTGGGTTGGAAAATCTTCTCTCACCATATGCTTGTTCAAACTCCTTTATAGTGTCACTGGGTTTACCCCCTGTTTTCTGAATTTGATAACTGCTCTCTGCTCTAATTTATCATCTTTGCTGCCCAAAGTAGGTGACATAGTGTACACCTCCCTGCAAATCCCTCGCTTGTGTTCCTGAGTTTTCTTTTTGTGAAACCCTATATGACATCATAATGTGAATGTTATGTCATAATATCAGACCAATGTGATAATCCTATCACATCAAGGAGGATTGGCTCCCAGAATCGAAGTCGATATTTTCCAACAATGAAAACGCCGAGATGTCGTTATTTTCTGAAATTATAACCGATTATAAATTCAAAATAAACAGTTCAAAAGATTCGAACCAATATCTCAATCATTTCCTGTGAGTTTTGGAATTTTTCGTTAGGAAATAAGACCAAAATTTACGATTCAAATGTTGAAGTGAACAAAATGGCGGCTGTTGGAATTCAAATTTTGTAGCACGACATGCCCATATATGGGACAGAATATCGATGTTGCACTCTGGGAGCCAATCCTCCTTGCTATCACATTGAGATAAATTAAATAATATTAAAGCCCTATGACATCATGCTACAGCGTACAATCACCATAACAATGATTCAAAAGCTTTATCCCAGAATAACTACATGTACTTTTCTACACTAGTTTGGACATTTATGATATAGTGAAAATGGTCTGCAGAATGTCCATACAGGTTGCTATGGCAACAACAAATAGAGTATTGTTGTGTTTAGTGATAAGTGTGATATATCAAAACGAAGCCTTCATCTCAATCTTTAATTTGTGTGAATTTCATATTGTTACCTTGTCAAATAATCATAATTATCATTATCCCGTCGAACGAAGTTCGGAGGGATATAGGGAACGCCTCCATCTGTCCGTCCGTACGTCTGTCTGTCCGTCTGTCCATCCGTCCATCCGGGCAATAACTCAAATACCGTTGGCACATTTTTGTTCATATTTTGTACACATATACCCCATGGGGGAAGAAGTTCTGCTCGAAAGCCGATTTTCAAAATGGCCACTCATTTCAAAATGGCGGCCATTTTAGTGCCGATTTTACAGTAATTTAGGTGCAATATGTATAACTGTAATAGCAATATGTTTTAAATGTAAAAAAATTATAAAGGACATTAATAATGCTACAAATGTAGATATTAAAGAAGCACATGGCAGCCATCTTGAAAAATGGCGGGCTTTACTCGTCATTTTACGATTTTTGCTGTAACTCAAAAAATAGTGGAGCGAATTTGTTCATATTTGGTATGTGAATACTATAAGCATTGCACACTGTCTAAAGACACTTTTGGTAGAAGGCGGCCATTTTGAAAAATGGCCGCCATTTTAACGTATTTTACTATAACTTGAAAAGTACATGTAGTGGAGCGATTTTGTTCATATTTGGTATGTGAATACTATAAGCATGGCACACTGTCCTATGACACTTTGGGTAGAAGGCGGCCATTTTGAAAAATGGCCGTCATTTTACCGTATTTTACTATAACTCGAAAAGTAGTGGAGCGATTTTGTTCATATTTGGTATGTGAATACTATAAGCATGGCACACTGTCTATTTCTAATGACACTTTTGGTAGAAGGTGGCCATTTTGAAAAATGGCCGCCATTTTAACGTATTTTACTATAACTTGAAAAGTAGTGGAGCGATTTTGTTCATATTTGATATGTGAATACTTTAAGCATGGCACATTGTCTAATAAAACTTTGGGGAGTAGTCGGCCATTTTGAAAAATGGCCACCATTTTTATGTGTGTTATTTTACAAGTACGTGTGTGATTTTTCAAAAATTTTAGAGGTGGCTACTTAAAAGCATATAATATTTCTTCTGATGACAACTTGGCTAGTGAGCAACCATTTTGAAAATGGTGGCCTTTCTGGTGTGTTGTTTTATGATATTTGCTATTCGTTTGTAAAAATGCCAGCCATTTCTGTTCGATGGGATTCGCTACGCTTTGGCGTTGCCGTTGTTCTGGTTACTTCTGGGACATGGGACACAAAATTTTCCCATATTGTAATAAAATGTAAACTCCTATTGTAAATGTGCATGACCACACCTTAGAGTGGGTGTACCATATTGATAAACCAATATGCTATGCCATGACATCTGAAGAGTAAATAAAAGATACATGTTTCCTGGATTTTTGTCCTATTTTTATATATAATCTATATACCATGTAGTATATACCATACCATGTACCTGATTATAATATTTTTTCTGTTGTGATATTTCAGACTCTGCTTGGGCTGTTCTATGACCTGATACTTAGATGTTTAGGCCCAGGATTATTTTATTCACCACTCTGGTTGTCAGGAAAATTTCTTCGCCTGCCTCTTATGGATATTTATCATATTGGAACTGTTGCGTTAAATTAATGAACAAGATGCCACGTCGATCTAGAAACCACAGCAGTTCTACGAATAAATCAGTGGAGGATTTATATGGGTCTAGGGACTCCAAGAAACGCATTAGAATTCACTCTGAAAACGGATATGCTGATGTTGGTCATCACAATCATATAAAAAATGATAATACTGAGAGTGAGAGATCAGGAATAGGTGATCATTTTGTTATTGATAGAAAGGGAGATTCAAGTCTTCTCCAACATAATGTAGACATTAGGTCATCTGCTAGTGCTATTTCAAAGAATGGGCCACAAACTGAAACAAAAGATGCACAATTTACTCAGGAACTCTCTCAAAAAGCATCAAAAGATCGTAGAATCAAGTCAGGAATGTTTGATCCAAGATCTTGTAGAGTTGAAAGTCAGCGAAAAGCCAGATCACCAACCAAAGAGAGAAGTTCAAGTAGAACCTTCTCGACAGATTCAAAATCTGCTGGATCAAATGAAGTCACTTATAAACTGAAATCAGTGATGGTGAAAAAAAGTCCAAATACTAATAATGAGATGAGGAAACAAACTTTCAGGGATGCTTTAAAAGATGAAGCCAGTGAACTTGAAAGTGCAGCTCATTCATATAGAAGTGCAGCTCATGGTTCTAATGTACAGTCATGCTCATCTGAAAGTGCAGCTCATTCATATAGAAGTGCAACTCATGGTTCTAATGTACAGTCACGCTCATCTGAAAGTGTAGCTCATTCATATAGAAGTGCAGCTCATGGTTCTAATGTACAGTCACGCTCATCTGAAAGTCCAGCTCAGTCATATGAAAAGTCAACTCGTAGTTTCAATGTACAGTCAAGGTCATCTGAATACAGGGTTAGTCCAACTCATAGATATAACACACAAGCTTCTTCATCTGAATACAAAGCTACAAATCAATGTTCAAGCAGTACAAGGACATATCATACAGGTACAACATATTCTCAAGTCATCCAATAATTCATTTATATTATGTATCAAGTAATTTCTTAATACAGTTATAAATAATATATAATTATAGATTAATATAATATAATAAATGTTGTAATTAATTTGACAATTCATTCATAATTTCATCGCTGGAAAATGTCTGATAATAAATTAATAATTTTTTGATCAAAAGTTGAAGGCAAGTATTTTTTTACAGTTCATGTACAGTAATGCAGTAATGTCTTAAGCTATATTAAATGTTGTGTATTTAAGGTGTATCAGAACCAGATAAAAGCCTTCCACACAGAAGAGACGCAGTGACACCTATTGGGAAACAACTCTACAGACAGGGTATTAAGTTCAACAACACCTCTGGTGGTCGCTCCAATCCAAACATGTTCACCTTCAAAGTGATGTCATACAATGTTCTTGCCCAGAACCTATTGGAAGATAACTCTGATTTATATCAGCATTGCAAGCCTGAGTACCTCGAATGGGAATTTAGGAAGGAAAATATTCTATCACAAATTACCAGCAAGTCTCCAGATGTAAGTTCAGTCATACTGGAAATAAACTAGAAATGTAAAAAATGATTACTTTGCTTCTATTTAATTTAGTGATACTTAGTTTGAAGGATTTGCTGTTTTGAACATTTGTCAAATACTAATTTGGTGGACTTGCAATATTGAAATGTATATACCATACTTATGATTGAAATATTAAATTTGGATATTTTTGGACAGTTTGGGGGATCTGGCAAATTAAAACGGGCACCAAATTAAGTAGAAGTACAGTATCCAGAGATTGAAATAGTTCAGGATCAATCTAAGGAAATACTTGAAACATGTAAAAGTAAAGATCACAAGTTTAAGTTCACAAGGTGGCTTAAAGATTTAGGCCAGATCCTTTTGTAGTCACATCAGTAGTTCAATAAAAAATAAAAAGTTATTGAACTACTGATAGCACCACAGAAGGATCTGACCCGCATCTGTGTTGTGGCAGTGGCTCCCTCTTGGGAGTCATTGTTGTAAAGAATGGGCTTTATGGGACCATAGATTTGCTTTGATTTAAGGTTCAGGTACATAAAGTTTATCATGTTACAGGTGGTCTGTCTTCAAGAGGTGAATGAAAAGCATTGTGAGACATTCTTTAAGAAGAAACTGAAAGCTAAAGGTATGTTGATTAAATGAGTTTTAATAATATTTGACCGGGTTTGTTTAATCTGACACCCCCACCTAGGTGGATTTCTACCTACCTACCACACTAAATGGGTCTGCTTTTTTCAATTTCCTCTTTAAAATATCCTGAATTAACAATGGTTTATCAAATAGTGGGTTTCACGTTGGTCTCATACATTTTCACATGATAGATAAGCCAAGAACAAAGTCAACTAGATAACGGCAACTCCGCGGAGTAGCAAATCCCAACGAACAAAATATCAATTACCGAATTCCAATCAATTATACTCATTACTTTGGTTAAAATTGAAAAAATTAGATTTTAGAATTGCGAATTCCTGCAAAGCAGCCATTTTGAATTTTCTGAGGTACAAATCTGAAAAATAATACCATAATTGTGATCTACTCCAAAAATCCTTCAATTTGAGTATAATATAGCCATACTTTGAAGGGATCGAAAAATTATTGCGAAATCGTACATTAGACGGCCATTTTGAATTTTACGAGGCTCGAATCAGAAAAAAGATACAAGTATAATAAAGCTATACTTTAGAAAGATCTAAAAATTAGCGAAAATTTCTGTTTTCCTGACCCCCCATACACGGCCCCTGGGGGTCAGGATGAAAAACACGGAATATATGTGAAATAGATAAATGTTGTGAGTTGCTACCAAAATTTCAAACAATAATATTAATTACTTTGGTTTAGAATGAAAAATTTATGATTTTTGCGAAAAAGTCCCATCATTTTTAAAGCGGCGGCCATCTTGAAAAAATTTTTTTGTGTAAAACTATTCACCAATATACATCTTTCCACTAAATATGAAGAAAATCCGTCTACTAGTATTTGAGTTATCTTCCGGATGGACAGACGGATGGACGGATGGACGAACGGATGGACGGACTGACTGACTGACGGATGGAGGGAGGGCTTCACTATATCCCTACCGAACTTCGTTCGTTGGGATAATAAGTTCAAATTGTAATGTCATTTTTTGTAAGGGAAATCACTAGATTAGGTTCAACTGATCATATATGTTGATCAATAGTCTGCTAATAAGCGAGTTATGAAAACGGATCCCTAATAAAACCTGCAAAAATCACCCTGGTAACGTCCTGAAAAGCTGATTTGGTGCCAATTTAAAAAATCATCATAGCAATAGTGGAGAACACGGAACTCTCGATTTTGTCTTGTAAATTATTATTCTGATTTGGCACCAATTTCAAATGTCATCTTAAAATATAAGAGACTGTTGCGAAACGGGATGCTAATTATCCTGGCAACAGGAGGCAAATTATCCTGGCAACAACCTGTATAGCTGATTTGGCACCTGATTTTCAAAAAAAATCATTCCGTCCGTTAGGGTGATAACTAAATACCATTGGCCCATTTTTGTTCGTATTTTGTACACATATGTTTTATGGGATAGAATTTCTACTCGAAAGCCAATTTTCAAAATGTCCACTTGCTTAAAAATTGTGGCCATTTACCAATTTTACAGAAATTTGAAATGTAGATGTTTAAGAAACACATGGCAGCCATCTTTAGAAGGAGTGGAGCGATTGTGTTCATATTTGAAAATGGCCATCATTTTTATTCTACGTTTTTTAGTATAACTCAAAAAGTAATACAGTTGGCATGTGAGCTACCATTTTGAAAATGGTGGCCATTTTTATGTGTGTTATTTTTACGATTTTTACTAAAATAACTGAAAAGGTAGTAGAAGAATTTTGTAAAAATGGCACCAACGGCTGTTTGATGGGATTTGCAATGCTTTGGCCTTGCTGTTATCTAGTTTCACAATTTCCTGGTTTGCAAACAGCAGTACATTCAAGGTTGACTATTTACATAAATCACCTGATCATAAAGTTATGCAGTGGCGCCATTACATTCCACAATTTTCATTTTACTGTTAAGTAGCCTACATTTTTATTTCGCTACATGATGAATTTGGGAATACATATAGTCACGAATTTACGCTAATATAATAATTGTGTATTATTCCAGGGTATGATGGCCATTTCAAAAAGAGGACAGGTGACAAGAAAGATGGGTGTGCCATATTTTACAATCCTTCAAGATTTGAACATGTTGAAAGCATCCCTGTAGATTACCTTCATGATGGTGCATATAATCTTGACAGGGACAACATAGCACTTATAACTCTATTGAGACCAATAAAACAATATTTGGGACCCCATAAACCCCCTATATATTACAATGAAGACATCTTGGTTTGCGTGGCGAATACTCATCTGTTGTTTAACCCAAGACGTGGAGATGTGAAGCTCGCCCAAATGATGGTGCTGCTAGCTCAGTTGGATAAAATTGCTTACAGAGGTCGGAGAAATCACAATGAGGATATCTATCATCCAGTTATCATGTGTGGAGATTTTAATACAGAACCTTTCACCCCTCTGTATAAGTTTATACTGAAGGGGTCTATACAGTATGAAGGGATGAATGGTGGACTAGTTTGCCATAAGAATCGGGCTGGACAAACTATACCACAAACACTTATACCTGAAGAAGTTGGCATTTCGGATCAGTGTCTCTATAAAGAAGTCCATGCTAAAAGGGCAACTGATGTGATATATGAAACCATGAAGAAGGAACAAGCACTCATGACTGCTGGATCACACACACATGTAGCACATCAGGGTGGTAGAAACAGTCCTTTTCAGAACCCCACTCATATACCCTCTTTAATGGTCCAGAACCCAGCTATAATCACCTCATCAACATGCCAGCCACCTATACATGTAGAACCAACCCCTCAAACATTTGCCTCAGGGGTTCTTTCACATTGTTTCAACTTTGGTACAGTGTACCGTCATTTCAGGCAACTTAAGCCAGGCAGACGTGGGGAACCTGAAGTAACGACACACCACCAAAGGGCGTGTGAGACAGTTGATTATATTTTCTACTCAGTGAAACAGAGTAATATGGACCCTAGACGTCCCAGTAGGTACGATGAAAGGATGTATGATGATGTCATAGAGGATAGACTTGAACTGTTGTCTTACTTAGAAATGTACACTAAGGGTGCCTATGAATATGCAGGAGGCATACCAAATAGGTATGCTTCCTCCGATCATGTACCTCTACATTCAGTGTTTAGGTTGAAGATAGATTAGTTAAACACGCTGTCACCTCTGATAAATCAGAATGTGACTAAATGGTTGTTGTTTAGTTGAACATGAACAATTACTGATCTGTGTAGATTTACTGGGAACCATTATATGCATTAGTGTACATGTGCAATTGATGATCTCAAAAGATTCACTGGGTACTTTTCTACACCACTTTATCAACCACTTTTTGTCAACAATGAAGCTTAAGATTATATAGTTGACAATTAAATTTAGAAATCAGATCTTTAATATTTTTGAGACTTTGAAATTTGGGGGTCTGAAACAGAAACTGTCATTTTAAGAATCCTTAAATCAATTGTTGTTACTATGGATATAATGACAGCAAAGTAAGAGAACAAAGAGAGTGGAATTCTTAACTTTAAAAAGTACTTATTATATGACCCCCAGTGCAGTGCACAGCTCTCAACACATTGCATTTTAGTTTGATGCAGAGCATTATACAAATTCTCATGGTTTTTGGGTACGGTATTTAAAATAATTAGCCTCAGGGAGATATTTATTTTTATCCAGAATACCATTTTTCACCCATTTAATGGGAGGTTTTTGATACAGGGTATATCTGAGGAAAATACAATATATCTACCCGAGGGACCTTAGGGACCGAGGGTTGATATTTTTTATATTTACCGAGGGATATTATTTATTAAATTTTGTTATTTAATTGATAATTACAATCGAAGCAATGAATATTTATCTCAATTTAAAGTTCTTAACGTTTATTGTTTTTTAAAAAGTCAACGTTTATAACATTTAGGAGTATATGAAATTAATATCAATTTAATAGGGCCATGGTTATACACATACTGTACCTCAAAATAATACAAACAGATAAAGTGTGGCTAACATATTGTCATTTTTATTGATTTGTTATTTTGCACAACTCAATTGTAAAATTGATGTATTGTTTTTCAAGATTTTTATTTTTCAGCTGTTTGTGAAAAATACAGCTGTAAATAAATTATTTAAAAAATACAGTGCACAATTGTACTTTTGATTTAATATTTCTAATTCTATGCATTCCATTTCCATACACCGTCTCTTCACTACTATGAGGTTCTAACTACCAATTTTGGTCAATTTCATTTAAGAGCAGATATTCCCTAATTTCACCGAGCTCTTTTCAAAGATAAAGGTTATAAAGCTGTCCCAACAAAAATAGGAGATTTCAAAGGCAATAAGGTTTTATGTCCTTCATTTGAAACAGATAATTACTGCTATATGATTCTATCTCTTATTCCATGCTTGAACTTTTTTAACATCCACTGTCTTAATTTAAAACTTTTTTTTACATTTAAAGGGTAATGCATATCTGGTAAAACAGGGCTCATGCAGGGCATGTCAAAATTAATCCCCAAATTGATAATATGATCAGGAATGGTCAAGAAATGGTGATGCATGTATTTTAAGTTTATTTTATTTTACATTCTTATTTGATAGACATGTGAATTTGTAGTCCTTTCTTCACCTGATCCCTGTATGGGAGTTTCCAAAATGTCATTATTTGATGTGTCTGTATTAACATTTCCTTGAGATTCATTATTAGATTTGGCTGAGTCTGTTTCATCCAAATTATTTGTAATTGTATTGTTGGCACCTTTGTCTTTAGAACTTGGTTCATTATCATTAACTTGACTAGAATTCATCAGATGGTTTGACTCCTTGTTTTGTTGTAGTGTAACATCCTTGTTTTGCTGTAGTGTAACATCCTTGTTTTGTTGTAGTGTAACATCCTTGTTTTGTTGTAGTGTAACATCCTTATTTTGCTGTAGTGTAACATCCTTGTTTTGCTGTAGTGTAACATCCTTGTTTTGTTGTAGTGTAACATCCTTGTTCTGTTGTAGTGTAATATCCTTGTTTTGTTGAAGTGTAAAATCCTTGTTTTGTTTGTTTGGTGAGGATTTCTCACTGGAAGTAGAGATATTGAGTTAGCACAAGGGGTAACACTTTAGAATATTATTACCTATTAAACAAGAAGTCATTCAATTTCTCTTCCAGGCAAAACCTGATCAAATGCTCAACTTCACAAATATACAAAAACTTCCAGACTTACTTTCTGTAAATACAGGATTACTTCTGTAAGTCAATGTAAACTTGAATAAATAACTTTATGAAATCAGGTTTCTGATGTTTAATCATCTTACTTGGCAGACTTGGAATGTTTCTTCTTGTTACTTGTATTCTTCTTTATGCCAGCTATAGATGGCTGGGTGCTGACTTTTGTAGGAGATATTGGCACCCCTCCTGCAGGTACCTTACTCTGAAAATATAAGTTGAATATTAATGGGACACCCCTGATAGAGCATTGAGAGACATTTTTAGCTCATATAGTGTGAGCTATTGAAATCACCCACTCGGTTGGTCGCCCTTATGTCCAGCCGTCCATTTTTATTGCCGAAAAATCACGTTTTCATCACTTAAACCACCAAAACATTTTAAATCATAAGTTGTGAACTTATTTAAAGGATATCCATTTGATTTCTAAAGGATATGGTTTTTATGGCAAGAGGGCAATACTTTTATCAGGGTTGAGTAAATGAACTGAAATAATATTTGCAAGAGAATAGAATCATTTTCTACAAAAACTTTGAATGAGCTTATGCAGTCATTTAGTTTCAAAATATTTTTAACAAAAAATCCATATGTGTCATTGTCAATGTGCATATATAGTGTTTGGAGACAGTTAATTTAATTTTATGTATTTCTTTTCTTGTAGTGCATATAGTTTTCAAATTTTGCAACCTTATTTGCAATAATTAAATAGAAAAGATAAATGTGAAAAAGGTTAAAAATCACATCATCCATTTCTATAAAGCAATCCTATATGTCTAATATCCATGGCATGCAGCAAAATTCCACATGCAAACCAAGCTTATGTATGTGTACTACACTACAGTTGTAAACAACATGTACAGGGAATGAAGAAATTAAGTGGAAGTAAAAGTGGTGGATGGTTTAATCATGTCACCAAAAAGTGATGACATATTGTTATGGTCTCCGTTTTTTTTGTGATGGTGGTAGGCGATCAGCGGTTGGCATCTGTAACAAATGGTGGTGACATTTTGCATGTTAATGCCTTGTTCACACCCAACCTGCCACTAATGCATGTACAGAATTTACATTAATTTAATGCGAATAGAAACGAAGCATTGTAATGCAAAATGTCACCTCCTGCCATGAGACTATAACAATATGTCACCACTTTTGGTGGTAACATAAAATGTAGTACAAAAAAACACCAAACAATACATACTGCCAATTCACAAAATCTACACCTCTGGGATGACATTATGTAATATTAGAAATTCCTTCTGGAGTTGAGGTCCAATTACCATATGTACATCTGTACATGTATTAACATACATTATTTGAAAAATGGTACTTTCATTATCAGAAATTGTATTCCCGCTGAAAAATAACAGCCATAATGGAAATTCTTTCAAATTGACATTCACATATATTTGGACCAAATCCGATATCTGTTAAGTTATCTTTTTTCCATGGCCATCTTGAAAATGTCATCAAATTACAGGCACTCTGTCCATATACCAGCTTATAAAAGCAATTCCAATCCAGAACATTTTAATTTTGGGTAGCCTTGTCTTTTACTAGCTGTATGATGCTATTAACAGAGATGCTATAATGCTATTATATCTAAGTTGGAAGGTGCATAAGTGGGTCAGTAAGCTAGTTGGAGCACATTCAGACATCAAGGGGACAGATTTGTGCAAGATAAATGTTTTACCCTTGGAGATCTTGAAAAATATATGCTGGAAATAGTTTTCTGGCGTTCTACCTATTCGTGAGAAATATTTTGGATTAGTACATGAAGATTTTATTTTTTACCTCCTGTTAATATTTGGATAGTAATAAATCATTAATGAAAACCAACACTACATCAACTTGTGAGTCTATAAACACGCACTTTACAATACATTACAATATGTACAATGAAAGTGTATTACTTTTTTTAGAAGATGAAGAAAAAAATTGGTGAAAATCCAAATTGAACAAAATGATAATGCCATTATTCTGATTACAAATACATGACCAATATATGTAATATCACAAAACTTACCCTAACTCTCATTTCCCTTGCATGTCTGTCTAGTTCTTTACACATTTCTTCCCTTGACAGTTTTGGTACATTGAGGCTGAGATGCTGGAACAGGAACATAAAATGCCATTAATTAAATCTGAAATTCTACAAATGTTTTAACACTGTATTGTTGTTACAGTCGGTATAGAACTTCTGATGCATCTTCAGTTGAAATTTCGTTGTATGCTCTGCATTATAATATTTCTATTTGTGTTTGTAAGTGAAATATTGCCCTGTTATACAGTTTGGCATGTGTATACACTTACCCTCCATTCTATATGTTCATAACTATGTGGATCATGTGACACAGGAAGACCAATCTTCACTTTTTTAATCTCATGCCAGTCTGAAAATACAGGCAAATTGACTAAAACTCGAAGATGTGATACAATTATGAATAGAAAATTATTTTTGAAATAATTGTCTTCATGAATAATCTATTTTGGAATAAATAAACAATTACATTTTTTTTATATTTTCACATATTGACACATTGACATAAAGAAAAAGAATAACCATAGTTTCGAACTTACATTTTGTGTATGAATCTTCATAGTCTACAATCAGCTCTGACAAACTCTAAAATGATAGAACGAATAACAATCAGCACAATTATTCTGAAATATAATAATAACATGAATATGTTAACTATAGAAGTACATATATGAACGGTATTACAAGATTTATAAAAAGGTTTTACACAAACATAATTGTGCTGCAAAAAGGATGTACTTACAAATACACATTGTGCCATAATATGAAACTGATTTCTCACCGATTTTACTGCAATATAAAGGGACCAAAAAGATTTTTGTTGAGTTGTGAAAGAGTGCTCAAAACATTTTACAGTTTCTATCCCATCTACAGCAAAACCTGTCTTAGTGAACACCTCTCTCTAGTGAACACCACTTCAAGACACATTTTACATTGACTCATGTATTTATAACTCCCTCTCTGTTATAAACACATACGAACAGGGAACACTATTTTGTGGCTAATAGGTGTTCAATATATACAGGTTTAACTGTAATTCCTTTAAATGGTGATATACCTTATAGATAAGTGGTTTATTCATTAGATCATCTCTCCTACTCATTCCAAGAGCACCATATCTACCACCATTGTAAACACCAAGTACAACGTGTCTATGAATATTGCCCATAAATGATGTCTTAAAACTTATTGGAAATCGTTCGGTCCCTGGAATTCCATTTGTGAGGTATCTGGGCAATGTGTCAAGGTTATATATATTTTGACATCATTTCAGGTGCACATATCACTTTAGATATGGGGAGAGTCTTTTTTCCCCCAGCAAACTTCCACCTAGGGTAAATATTATAGTACACTGAATGAACTTGGGACAGTCATAAAATGTTACTTATTTATCTATCTATTACATCTATTGACTTTAAAATTAATTTATCAATATAAATATTTTCTGATTAAGAGTTTTTTTTACTGATAAATATATTCTTTTTTAAGATTTGTTTTGAATTTTTCAATCATTGATGTAACTTTGTAACTTTCTAGCTCCAAATTGAGCTAGAAGCTTCAAATAAAAAGCATTTTAAAGTTCGTTTCATCCTCTATCTCAAGGTTGTATTTTTATTGGTTATAGGGGGTGCATCCCCCTGGCTACGCCTGGATGGTAAAGGATACATTCCTAGTATGACAGCTTCGAGGCATTTTATGGGCAGAGATTCCTTTATCATGTCTCTGGCTGATTCCATTAGTCTGAAACACAAAGTATGGAATGTGTAATAAAAAACAGCATTCCTTTTCATTTCAAGAGCAATTAATTAGTAATTAGTAATTTGGAAAACAATATTTTATAATTTTTGTAATGTTTTGCTGTTTATATTCTTAATGGAAAAAATAAACATTATTAATTGAACTTACTAAAATGTGTGTACCCTTTTTACTGTAAAAGGCCAATGTACATGAATTTTAGCAACTCCATTTGTCTTAATATATTAAAGTCATTCATCACTCGAGTGATCGTCATACAAACAGGTTAGTCAATGCTATTTGCAAAATATAATTTGCTTCTTACCCTGATATTGGCCGGTTCTTCCTGATTTCAAAGAATTGGGTTCCTGTGTGATTGTATCTAATAGTTGGTTAAAGAGTCAATTGTTGGACTTACAGAGAGATTTAAAGAGTCAATTCTTGGAAATACATAATAATCATGTAGTGATGTTTCTCTGTTTCAAAAGAATCCTAGATGTGTGTATTACAATGTGATAGAACTTCTGCGTACAAATTCTATGCAATGCTTCTAATTAATGTAACATTTGGTTAATGGATAATTGATCGGTTAAAAAAGTTATTTTAAAATATCTGATCTAAAACATTGTCAGTGTATTGCTACTTTTCCATATTGAATCTTATAGAGCTTCTGTTTTGAAAAGTATTTTAGCTTTGGTAAACGAGAACATATCTGCCCCTGATATATCATTTGATTGATAATGTACATGTACTTGAAATAATAAAAATTCAATACAAAAGGTAAGAAATGTAAGGTTAATATTATTTTTATGGCAATGGATACTGTAGCTGGCTCATGTATTTCTGGATGACCTCCATCTTCTCACAGACAGGGATGCTTGCAGGTAAGTTCATTGGAGCAGAAGCACTGGCTACCTGAAATATATAGACATTGATTTAAGTTCATTGAAGTGGGGGCACTGGCTACCTGAAATATATAGACATTGGAGTAAGCTCATTGAAGTAGGGCCATTGGCTATCTGAAATATATAGACATTGATTTAAGTTCATTGGAGCAGGGGCACTGGCTACCTGAAATATATAGACATTGGAGTAAGCTCATTGAAGTAGGGCCATTGGCTATCTGAAATATATAGACATTGGAGTAAGCTCATTGAAGTAGGGCCATTGGCTATCTGAAATATATAGACATTGATTTAAGTTCATTGGAGCAGGGGCACTGGCTACCTGAAATATATAGACATTGGAGTAAGCTCATTGAAGTAGGGCCATTGGCTATCTGAAATATATAGACATTGGAGTAAGCTCATTGAAGTAGGGCCATTGGCTATCTGAAATATATAGACATTGGAGTAAGCTCATTGAAGTAGGGCCATTGGCTATCTGAAATATATAGACATTGGAGTAAGCTCATTGAAGTGGGGGCACTGGCTATCTGAAATATATAGACATTGGGGTAAGTTCATTGAAGTGGGGGCACTGGCTAGATCTGAAATATACAGACATTGGGGTAAGTTCATTGAAGTGGGGGCACTGGCTAGATCTGAAATATATAGACATTGGGGTAAGTTCATTGAAGTGGGGGCACTGGCTAGATCTGAAATATACAGACATTGGGGTAAGTTCATTGAAATGGGGGCACTGGCTAGATCTGAAATATATAGACATTGGGGTAAGTTCATTGAAGTAGGGGCATTGGCTACCTGAAATATATAGACATTGGGGTAAGTTCATTGAAGTGGGGGCACTGGCTAGATCTGAAATATATAGACATTGGGGTAAGTTCATTGAAGTAGGGGCATTGGCTACCTGAAATATATAGACATTGGGGTAAGTTCATTGAAGTAGGGCCATTGGCTATCTGAAATATATAGACATTGGAGTAAGCTCATTGAAGTGGGGGCACTGGCTAGATCTGAAATATATAGACATTGGGGTAAGTTCATTGAAGTGGGGGCACTGGCTAGATCTGAAATATACAGACATTGGGGTAAGCTCATTGAAGTGGGGGCACTGGCTAGATCTGAAATATATAGACATTGGGGTAAGCTCATTGAAGTAGGGCCATTGGCTATCTGAAATATATAGACATTTGGGTAAGTTCATTGAAGTGGGGGCACTGGCTAGATCTGAAATATATAGACATTGGGGTAAGCTCATTGAAGTAGGGCCATTGGCTATCTGAAATATATAGACATTTGGGTAAGTTCATTGAAGTAGGGGCATTGGCTATCTGAAATATATAGACATTGGGGTAAGTTCATTGAAGTGGGGGCACTGGCTATCTGAAATATATAGACATTGGGGTAAGTTCATTGAAGTGGGGGCACTGGCTAGATCTGAAATATATAGACATTGGGGTAAGCTCATTGAAGTAGGGCCATTGGCTATCTGAAATATATAGACATTTGGGTAAGTTCATTGAAGTAGGGGCATTGGCTACCTGAAATATATAGATATTGGGGTAAGTCCATTGAAGTAGGGGCATTGGCTAGCTGTAATATATAGACATTGGGGTAAGTTCATTGAAGTAGGGGCATTGGCTACCTGAAATATATAGACATTGAGGGGAGTTCATTGGAGTAGGGGGACTGGCTACATGAAATATATAGACATTCATTTAAGTTCATTGGAGTAGATGCACTGGCTACCTCATTGAAACAGGGCACTGGGTATATTGTAGATGTAAAAGTCTATTGGGGTAGGTACACTGGCTACCTGAAATATAGACATTGGTGTAAGTTCATTGAAATAGGGGCATTGGCTACATTGTAGATGTTAAAGTAAGTCCATTGTGGTAGGTACACTGGCTACCTGAAATTCATGAATATTGAGAATCAATGGATCTACAGAATAAAATATCTTTATTGATCTCCATGGGCTATTTATCTTTGTTTGATTTATTGGTCATTATGCTCCTTTGATTAGAACACTATTAATTAATATCAACTTCTAGTCTACTGTATATTGCAATCTAGTAAGGAAGACTATTATTGCCTTTTATGTTAGACATTTACTATTCCCAAGACATCATGATTCTAATCAATATAATCAGTGATCTACCCCGCATTAAAGCAAGTGGGCTGAGATTTTGAAAACAGGCTTGCACCCACCTGAAGATCCATTTGAACTCACTGAGAAAATGAGAAAAATTGGCATATTTGACCAATTTTGGTTTAAATTTTGAAAAGTACAGTTTTTGCATCCACCTGAGAAAATTCCAAGGGAGACAAGGGAGATAACTAATAATGATGATGAATAAATCCAGTCAACTACAAATAATATTTGGACACAGAAGTCATAGATTTGTTCAGACAATATGTCAATTATACAACGTATAGTGGACTGAAATTGAAATTTACAATATGTAAAAATATCAAAATTGTCCAGCAGGTGTAACATGCAGTAGACTGATGAACTTCGTTCTCCAAAACGAGACTCTTTTGGAATGAAAAACCAACATACAGTAAAACCTGTCAATGTGAACACTTCTCTCTTGTGAACACCTTTCTCTAGTGGACAAAGTAACATTGCCCGCAGCCAGTTTACCATGGTCTTTTCTTGAAAGTCCATGGTTTTACACACGGGGGGGGGGCTTTTGGCAGGGGGTAGCTTTTAAGACAGTTTTATCTAAAAAATACAGAATGGTGAACACTGAATGATTTTGAAAGAATTTCCATCCAGGGTGGTAAGGAGCTTCCGCTCCCCCAGCTCCCCCCCCCCTCTCCCCCTACGGCTCTGGTAACTGAAATAGGAACTTTACCTCTGGTAAAACAAGCTTGGATTTGATATCGTACACCATATCCATTCCACCAGGATGTATTTTAGATACATGATTCCACATTCGTTCCCATGTCTTTTCATCAATTGGGAATCCTGATTTGTTCACCCAAAACAGAACTCCATTTTCTTCGCCGACCTCGTCCTCATCTTCACATTTCAACGATTGTTGCAAGCTCTGCATCTCATAAAAAGTTAAAATCAAGTTATGCAAAGTTACTCCATACCATCATTTTACATCAGCATGAGTTTTGTCTTTGAATAGTGCATAGATTTGTAGTAAACAACGGTTTATTGGACATCGTTTCGTGCTCGATTTGTTTACATCGGCGATCTCTAGGTATATTCAAATTTCATGACAAGACTAATTCTAATAATATTTATTTGTATATGAATCTATACAGAATGTCTAAAAATTACCAAATCATAACTAGAAAGAAACTATAGTCAAATATATATAAGGTGAAATGAAGAAAATATATTTACAACATAAATTGATTAGAAAATATATTTGAAATAGGCAATCTAGTTTTAACATAGCGGAAGTACATCAATGCGCATGATTTTTGCTCTACTTTTGAATTTTGTCATTTTTAACAATTTCAATGAAATGCCTAATAAAGAGACAGTTGCAAAGTATATACGAGGATGGGTGGGTGCTGTAGGCATTATGGCGATAGGGAATACATACCAGTGCTTCAGAGATCCAAGGTTCTTTACTGAAAAAATCTACACTGAAATTTCAGCAAAAGGTAGGAAATGGTACCATTGATATAAAGTCGGAGACATAATAAACATCAACCATCAAAAGTTGGCACAATGAGCTAAATTCTAAGTTTCGTGTCTCAAACTCTCCCAAGCAGTAGAAAAATAATTCCCATTCACTTTAGTAGCAAAATAAATGAATCCAAAGTTTCATACCTGCAAATGATGGATAAGCTTAATTCCCACTTCCGTCAAAATACATATGCGCATGCGATATACCCGATATAAACAAACTTAAAAAGCAATGAATACGATTCTCATACTTTTTTCTCGTCAACTGACCATTAAATCAACAAAACAATCTGCAGAATATAGTCAGCAGGATGTGATTTATTAGAAAAACGTAACGGCAGGTGCAATCCTTGCTTAAATCGTGAGTATGGAGGGTAAATGGCGATTTTACTCAGTAATTTTCAGGATCATGATTTTCTAATTTTCAAACGATTGATCATTTTTCTAGGTTCATGCGAGTTCTAGTTGATTACCCGAGTCACTCGTTACACCACTAGATAGATTCCCACCAAATCGAATGAATGTTTTCATGAAATGCCATGTTTGTGATCCACCCAAAAGAGGATTGACTCCCAGAATGCAACATCAGTTAACCTTATTTACTCGTGACAGGTTTCAAAATGGCGGAACGGCATTTTGAAAGCTAGCATTTGTCATGTTGCATTCTGGGAGCCAATCCTCCTTGCGGTGTAATCGGGCTCCAAAATCACCTCAACATTTGAAGAGTCGGCATTAACATGTGAATATCCACTTCAAATTTTTAAGTTCCTATTTGTCATTACGGACACAAATTCCACTATATTTGGACTTACTAGGACGGAGAAAATAGAGCACTGAATACACTGAGGTAAGAATTTATTACATGTGCGACATCATGTATTATTCATAGCTATAGTAATTCTTTATGTTCCCTACTGAAAGTCCTGTCTATGTCCACGACTACATCATGTACATATACAAATACTGTGTTATATTAAAAAAAAGTTATACAGAATGTTTGTCTATTATTTTTCAGATTACATGTTGTCTGCAAGATTATTTGGTATCTGGAATTTCCTGACAGCCTCATTACGCCTTTATTGTGCTTTCTTTATCAACAATCGACAGTAAGCTATGAAAGTATGAAATTTTCAGTAGATTGCAGCGTGATCATAATTAACAAAGGACAATCAAAACAAAAAAATTAAAAATGGTGCACTCCCCCTTCTTTTGATCCACATTTCCAAAATCACGCTGCAATTGACTAAGAATACATAAGAATACTGGAGGTTCTCACTAACCAGGTCTCTAGGCTTTTATTTCACTTGGGTGTTTGTTTGAAAGCCCTCAGTAAGAAAACCGATTGGATTTTATAAAGAGGGGAATATTAATTTTCCAAGGGGGTTAGGTATTTATTATCCCATCAAACAAAGTTCGAAGGGATATAGGGAACGCATCCCTCCGTCCGTCTGTCCATCCGTCCATCTGTCCGTCCGTCCATCGGTCTGTCCGTCCGGGCAATAACTCAAACACCGTTGGCCCGATTTTGTTTATATTTTGTACACATATACCCTATGGGGGGTTAGAAGTTCTGCGCTAAAGCCGGTTTTCAAAATGGTCGCTCATTTAAAAATGGCGGCAATTTTGAATATGTAAAACTGTAATAGCATGATGGGAAATTTTCTGCATTCCTCAATTGAGTCACATGTTATTTTTCAAACAAGAATCACTCCTTCCCTTCATTGTCTATATCTTCCAGTTTTGCACAAAGAGTGCACTTATGTGCCTAGAAAAGATTTGTGAGAAGAATGTTTTGATAAAGTGTATAAAAAACAAGAAAATTCAGTGAAAAAAATCAGAAAATTTTCAGAAATTTTTTTCACTGAATTTTCTCATTTTTTATACATTTTACAAAACAAACCTTCTCACAAGGCTTTTCTAGGCACAGAAGTGCACTCTTTGTGCAAACTTGGAAGATGTAGACAATGTAGGGAGGGAGTTATTCATGTTTGAAAAATAACATGTGACTCAATTGAGGAATGCAGAAAATTTCCCAACATGCACCCTGTCCTTAAATGTAAAAAAAATTATATAGGACATTAATAAAGCTAGAAATGTGGATATTAAAGAAGCACATGGCAGCCATCTTGAAAAATGACGGCCTTTACTCATTATTTTACGATTTTTGCTGTAACTCAAAAAGAAGTGGAGCAATTTTGTTCATATTTCATTATTTGTTATACCATTTTTGACTATTCTAATCTTTTATTATAAGCATGGCACACTGTCTAACACTTTTTGTAGAAGACGGCCATTTTGATTAATGGCCACCATTTTAATGTAGTCTTATGGCTGCCATTTTTGCTATATACTTTGTCTGTAAAAATGCCACCATGGCTTTCGATGGGATTTGCTAGGCTTTGGCTTTGCTGTTGTCCAGTTAAGAAAAGGCTTTGATTTGATGATCTGAAAATCCCTTTGTTTATAAAATGGCGGGAAATTCAAATATTTGAAAATTATAATTTGATCAACTTCTTTTTCAAATGTCATTTTTATCAAAAATGTCTCAAATAGTTTTTCAAGTCATGAAAAATAATATTTGAAGAATGATTAAACTATATTTTAAATTTTGCATAGGGCCTTTAAGAGGGATAGATTTTCCAATCCACTGGACGTTTATTTTGAGGGAAATCATCAGTTGTAAATTGATACCTGGACTTCAGAATCACGCAATAGTATTACAAATGTTGACCAGTATCTATAATATGTGGCTCTGCCATCTGGATCTTTGTTACACACAGGTTTTCACATTTTGTTTCAAATAAAAGCCCATGGGCCCATTAGCACGAAACTCTGGTAATACAATAATGTTTAAATGAAATAAATGTGATTAATCAATGAATAATGTATAATAGGACTAAATATATCTCTCTCATTAAAGTATTGATTTTGTACATTGCTTATCAAGATAGATGTGGCTTCCTTTTCACTTTTCATCACCTTACGAAAAATAAAGTTTTTATTTTTTGTAAATATGTCCTTTATCATGCCTACCATGAAGAAATGGTATATTTTGTCACTGTACATCGTTGATGGTTTGGCAGTGGAAACAAAATTTTGCTTCTTTATTTTCAGAGTTTACAACTTTACCTTGTGGTCATTCCTGCTATCCCTTGTACATTTTCTCTCTGAGGTTCTAATTTACAAGTCAGCTGCATGGTCTCCTGGTCTGGTTACAACACTACTTGTCTCAGGTACATTGGCAGGGGTTCTTTAGCATCAACAGGGAATTTTCTCTGTCGATTTAATGTTTTCATCAAAGTAACTTATTGTTTTCAGGAATTTTCTGACTGCTTCCATAAAAATAGAATTGCCAATTATTTTGCCTGTTGTCAATTTTATTTGTTTTGCCAGTTATCATAAATTCTAATTGAACTCCTGATTTAACATAACTTTGCCACCCTGGATTGCCTGAATGATGTATAATGTTATTTTTTATTTTGCAGTGATATCTATTGTTGTGATGATTATTGGGTATTGGTACATAGACTCAGAGGAAGATATGCATCGAGAATCATTGGAGAGGAAAACACGATGATGGACTCACATTGGAGAGGAAGTCACAATGATGGACTCATGCAACAAGTCTCAGGCCACAAGTCATGACTCGTACTGTTGCGCTGTTACAGATCCTACAGAGGTGCCTTTGAAGATGTGCAATAACAACACTTTGCTGCATGTTTTGAAATAGGCCTACTGGCCCAATCCATTCACCAATACAGTATATCAGAAAAACTGATTGAGGACAGTAATGATTGTCAAGGATTATAATGTGAAAAATGTTAATATCAATTTGATAGACTCTTGATTTCTTTCTTTGTTTGTCATTGTATTATTTGATTTTGACATAAACAAGTGTGCCTAGATCTACACCATGTGCACCGAACATGATCATTACATCCAGTGCGCGAAATAGACGTCCGACATCGGCCATTGGCCTGACAAAATTATAGATGGCTTGTTTTGATAAAAACACCCAGACATTTTGGCCTGCTAGACATTTGTGGCATTCGTTAGATTGCCCATGAATAGAACTTACATATCAGTCCGGAAATCCTCCGAATTCCCTGCGTTTTCGGCTTATTTCATGACTTTTGTTGAAGATTGAAAAACATTTCAAAATATTTTTGTTTGGTACCGAAGCACAAGATATAACGTGACTTTCGATTGGCTGTTGTTGTTTGTTGAAATTACGGTGATTTTGATTGGCTATGAATGACTCATTTCTTAATTGTCGTTCGCAAATCGAGTGCATTATCAGTATGCCGGATGTAGGAAAGAAATTGAAAAATCGAGGCGGCATCTAAGTCGAAAAAGTCGGCAGTTTGGAAGTATTTTGGGACTCCGATATCACAAGGTAAACGAATTGGTGATAGTACACCATGCAGACTATGTGAAATGCCGATCACATTCGCGACAGATGCTTTATATTTGATTTAATTGACGTATTTCTGAATGTGATTTTGAAAAGTGAAACTGAAAGTGAAAGTGAAACTGTCATCATCAGACGATTGTATCATTTTTAGTGTTCTGTCTGTCCCGTCCCGTCCCGAAAGTACCGTATCCCGAGACCATTTGTACCGATCCAAACCGTACCGAATTTTTTTGACCGTGACACCAATAATATATACCTTGAATTTTAGTGGAGTCTGTGTACATAATATGTGTTTTTGAATACCTTGAAGCTTCTGATTTCTGAGCAATTCTAAACCGACCAAAATCAGTACAATTTAGTTTGATCAATATGTACATGTTCCTCATGTTTTTGCAAGGTGAATCTAGGCAAGGACGTATATCATCGGGGGGGATCAACATACTCAGGCTGTTGGTTAAGTCATCAAGTACAGTATAGTGAATGATACATGACATGCAATATGCAATTAGTTTTATCTTTGTTAATATTGTACTAAACTAAATCTCAATTTAGAGTGGTTGTGGAGAAATATGGTAAGTGAAATTTTTGGCCAGAGAAGGAAGAAACAGCCTGCCAAAAATTGGCCTGAGAAAAAATGATATGGCTTGTTAAAATCTGGCAGGCCTGCCAAAATGTCTACGTTGAAAAAATCCTTATTTCATGCACTGACATCTCCCCAAAAATTGGTGGCAATGTTTAGTTTGGAAGATTATCATATACAATATACATGGATAAGATAGATTATACTATTAGATAAGGTGAGAGAAGGGAAGACAATGAGAAAATATAAGAAAGAATTAGTCCTAGTCCTGGTCATAATGAGGCATGATTTTACACAAAAGAATATTGGTATTTTAAAGGAGAAATCAAGACAATGAAGTCTAGCCTAATGATGAAATTATTTAATGTTAACTCAAGTTTGCCCCAAATAAATAGCCTTGCCTATTTTTAGATGCTGGTTAGACACTTGAGGGTTGTGGCAATGGATTAAAATACAAACTGATTTCGATAACTATGGTATGCAGGAACTTAATTCTGCCTGTTGCCTCATTTCAAGGCATTTGAGCTTGATATTCAACACTTTCATCCAAGCTATGGCTTTGTCAGTTTATATCTCTTTATGTCTAAATGACTATAATGTGGTGTTACATTTGAGTTTTAAGTAGTGAATGAATTAAAACTGTTGAATTTTGGCTAGTCATTTGTTTTTGAATGTTTACATGAACATGTATAAATTAAGTTATTTTAAATAAATTGTTAAATGTCAGATCAAATCAATGTTTTTAATTGTTATTTATAATAGTCTAAGTCCTCAATATAATAATGTCAGGCCCATAGCCTGGGGGGGGGGGGTCAGTGGGTTTGAGTGAATTACCCCTGAATTTTAAGAAAAGTGAACCCCTTGGCAAATCCTGGCTACTGGCTCGAATGTACTTGAACTTCTGCTTGGCATCTTAATATGAGCTATATTATAAATGGATTTACACAAAATCACCATGAATTGTGAGTTTTGATCAAAAATGCAGCATCAGACAGTACCATACACAATAGTTTTTGTGTTATACATTCTTGGAATGTTTATAATTAAATTTGATGCATTTATTCCTCATCCAATGAATATATTTTTGCTTCAATCCATTAGTTCAAATTGTGGTAATGATTGGAAAGGTCTATTGAACACCATATTGATATTGAATTTTGCATCGATGTAAAGATGGAAGCACGAAACAGTCATATTATCCGGTGCTGACATCTTTGAATAATTAGATAACTAAATTCAATATGGCGGCGAAGTTTTCTCTTTTTCGTGTTATGCATTTGAGTTCAAATAGTAATGTATTCCGACAAATGACGAAGCTAAATGCAATCTTTGAGTGTTCATCTATCGGCATGTTACCCGGAAATCGACAACACTGGAGGAACTTCAATATCACAAGTGTGAAATCTTTGAAAGAAAGTAAGAAAAAATGAAAACCATCAATTTTTTTTTTTGTAAAGTAAGAGATGCAGAGCTGTTTTCCCGTGCCAGGACTATATATATAGTCCTGGACCGAGCGCAATCTTTTGCCTGTACGATTACAACTTGGGAGAATTACCTACGCCCCTTACACTAAAATACCTACCTCAATGCATATTATGCAACTCAAAAACTTCTAATCTATTGGAACTGCCGATTGTTGGCAGAATGAGGTCTTTTTGTTTCTTATGGCTCTTATGGTCGGAGTTCTGTTAAGATGGCGGCTACAATGGAATTTACTGAACTTTTCCGTGATAGCACGAACTTGGTATTTCGTTACGTCATGGGCTTTCAACTAGAAGGGTATGCAACTCTATGTAATAACATGAGACCTTCAAAATGAGCAATGACATGCTTCCCTTTTATGACAATATTTCAAAAAGTATTAGATAAATGTGTATAATGTTTAAGTATTATTTTGAATAAAAATCAATTTTTAATATGATTTAAGCATAAAATATATTCAATATCATATAAAAGTAAACAAAAGAGACCAATAAGAATAAGAGTTATCAAGATGTTCTCTTTGAGTATTGCATTGTGGGTAATTATTCAAGAACACATTCCAATAAAAACATAATTTGTGGGAGAATGTTCACTTTCTGTATTGTCATAATTATGATGAATTCCAATTTTTATTAAATTATCAAGATGTATGTAGAAGATCATGTTTTTATTTTTGAGTTATTTCTTTTAATCATCAATAAAAAGTACAAAATAAGATTTTCTTGGAATGTGTACATTCTCCAATTTTGAAAACCCATGGCAATGTTTATGTATGAAATATGGGAAGTTGCCTACCCTTCTAGTTGAAAGCCCATGGTTACGTCTTACTCGTGTAAAATGGATTTGTTTCTGGTAAGACGGAATTTTGAAAATTTCGGACAATATTCTTAATATACAGGTACAGTAAATATTGAGAATATTGTCCGAAATTTTCTCATTTCTCAAGTGAGGTTCTATTTGTGTTAAATTTACATGCAGATTTGCACCGTGCTCAATACCTAATTCAGTAATTGACTAAATTATGATTGTACAAGGGGTGATCAGGAATTTCTGGACCGTTGGCTCTATTTTTGCCATATTTAATATGGGACAGCATCTTTTCCATTCAATTGAATGAGGCTGGGCCATGCAGTCGAAGGTAAGCCATACAACCGAAGGTAAGCCATACAACCGAAGGTACATGTAAGCCATACAACCGAATTTTGCCGATTCAATCTGACGGAGAATGCCGAGATTCTCTTTTTGACCAATTAGAGACGTACTCTTCACATCTTCACACAAGACAACATAACTCGAATATATAGGATCACACTAAGAAGATTTCATTGTTCTATGACATCATTATCCTATTATTTTTGTTACCATGGTAACCAACAAGGTGGAGCTCAGAAAAATACCAAATTTGAAAAATCAACAGTAATTTTCAATGACACTATTTATTGTTGAATATATGTGACATACTGTAATAGGTTGTAGAAATCGCCATTGTAAAAAAGAATCATCTATATCCCATCAATCACTCAACCAATAAATCAAGCAACTAACATTGTACGTACCCAGTTTTTTACACAAACCCAAAAAAAGTAGAAATACATAAGATGAAGATCTCAGCTAAAAATTAAGTGCAAGATCTTTAATGGGGAAGCTATCAGGTGCCACTCTGTAGAAGGATGTTTTGATGGTTGATCATTTTTAAAATAAATTTTTATTGAGCTTCTGATATAAAAGAACCTGGCCTGACCAGTCTACAAGTCTGATCTTTGGGGTTTATGCTTACCTAGTAGCTTAGCTATCAATTCTCCCAGTGAAATATAAATTCTAATGTTCTTGACCAGATGGTTAGAATATCAGTTTAAGCTGATAAATACAAAATGAGCTTGGTCAGTTGGTGACAACAGGCATATATGCTTAACAGCTACAGTACCTAATGTTGTAATGGCGATGATGATGATGATGATGATGTATCTATCTATGACAAGGAGCCATTAATCAGCATTTCCTATTTTCAAATCATGTAGTCATTAGGTATCACCTCCTAATTTATTTCAACAAAATTATAATGATTTTGCAAATATATTCTTCAAAACTCAGAATTAAGAATGTTCATCGGAGGAATTTTGAATGGCTTTTTGATCAATTGAGGGTTATTTATGATTTATTATGCCATCACCACAAGTGGTGACATATTGTTATGGTCTCCAACTTTTTTGCGTTTGGTTTGGTGATGATGACATTTTGCACGTTAATAATGCCTTGTTACTTTTTGTACAATCTTTTATTTTTGTTGCAGTTCAGGAGAAAACTGAGGGCAATGTTACCAAGGTAAAACCTTTATTCTTACTAAAACTTTTTAAAAAGTAATCAGCTCCTTTGTTGCCCTTCTGATTTCTTTCTATTAAGTGTGAAATAACATCTAGTTCAGTAGCTACATTATTCATTCTTACATTTTGTGTCTGGTTTTGTAATTTTGGATTTAGATCATTTTTAAATGCATCTTTTGATTCCTCAATGCCATAAAATGTGATAAACAGAACTGAATATGATGAAAAGTTAATGAACATTTGTCTACCAATTTCAGATCGAGGGTGTTTACAGAGTGTCAGATAGTACCAAGCACTTAATCTTTGAGGACCAGAGCAGTGACCCTGAAGTGCAAAGACCATGTCCTATATGGAGTCTAGGACCAATAGCTGAGAAGATTCGATATACGGTATGTAATAGTTATAACCTGAAACACACTAAGTTATTTAAAACACAGAATAAATCCTGTGCTAAGGCTTGATGTGAAAAATATCACTGACTATAAAATGCATGTTTGATTTAGAATCACTGAAATCATACATGAATCTGAATGCAGGGCATATTAATTGCTACTGTACAAATGTTGTTCTATAAGGTCTGAACTGATTGCTCCTGAAATATGTCACATCACAAAGTAGCAGGGAAGAAAAATATGCATAAGTTTTCAAACTTAATATTCCAAATGAAAATGGAAGCAAATACACCCTACTTTGTTTAAGTAATGCATCAAAAGTAGACCCTGTTCGTATCTTTCCCTGCAATGGCCTACATTCCCTCTCCCCACAGAGAGAGAAATGTCGGGGTATAATGATTTTGATTATAGACTACAGTACACCTTGTTATATAATAGAAGTTGGTATTGAGGCTATTGCCTATCAATTTAACAAGAATCAGTGTTGTAAGTTGTGGTAAATGTAAATGTTGGGAAACTCTCTTCTTTCTTAATTAGCCTAGATGTACAATTCTCATTTTATCTGTTTTGACTGGTATGTTTCGTTAAATTATTTCAATTTCTTAAAACCTAAAATAAAACTGGTTGCAAATGGATTTTCAAGTAATGAACTTGGTGTAGTACATTGTTGCTCCTGTGCTGAGGCAGTCACTTAAGTTTTTTTGTTGTTTTTTTAGGTTGTAATCTTTCATTATATCTTGCAGGATGTGTTGATTTTAAGTCAATTTTTGCGACCAGATGGGACCATGTTGCCCAAGAGAGTGACAGGGCTGTGTAGAGACTCACAGAAGAAGATACTCAGGCTTGTTGGGCAGGCACAAAGAGCAGGTAAACTGAATTGTGTTATCATTGATAAGATATATTTGTTATAAAGGAACATTTAATGCTCATGTCATTTATTCTCAGATAAGTGCCAACTGCCAATGAATTTCAGTTTGGTGTAAAGTATGTCATTTCCAAATTTCAACTGTGTTCATCACTGTCATCTCTGATTTAATGGGTTGGAAATCTGTTGTCCAATGATTCAAGACCTGGAAATGAATTCTACAGTTGTTAGCTGTAAATTCTACCTGAAAATAAGAAGTCCACCAGATAAATCATGGTTGATACATGCATTGGAGGAAAATATTGCTCTGGGAATATAACTTCAGCTCTAAATTGCATTTTTTATAAAGACAACTTCAAGGGATTACACCTATCTGTTCATCCAGGCTTTATTGCCTTTTATCATTTACATACCTAGCGAAGCATTAGTATGGAAGTCAACATTGCCTGCTTTCTTTAATAACCATGACAATATCGTGACATCATGTTTCATTTTCATCAAATTCGGTCATGGGAATAAAGGTTTGTAATACATTAGTTATGTCACTATCACATGAAATATACCTTCAGTCTTGCCCAATATAGAGCTCCCCCAAGGTGGCAAAACTCAGGCAAATTTCATGATTGTAAAAGTGACATAACCTCTAAATAGAAAGACATCTTCTGTCATGTCTGTATCCTAATTCTAATTGTTAACTGTTATTTCCAGGACTAATGACAAGCCTCAGACCTCCTAAATACAAAGATGGGCAAGTTGTAGAGAGAACAGCAGCTATGAACAAATATAAGTTCAAGAAGTTCAACAAATATTTCACAGACGATTTCATGGGAACAAAATAAGTGAACATTTGGACTAGTGATCAGTCATGTCAGTAATATAGATTGTTTGCCAGTGTATGGCAAATCTTGTTGTATAAAGGCTCATTTTGTGTGGAATAAACCCATTAAAATAACATTATTATTCTTAAAAGATTTGTTTTGCCCATTTTATTATGTCCCCACCACATTGTTGGGGCAATATTGTCGACCTAGGTGCATCTGTCCATCTATGTTAGGCAGTTTTCTCCAAAACAGCTACAGATATCACCTTCAGATTTTCAGGGATAACTTTTGGGTACATACAGATGCGGTACAGAAAATTTTGACTCAATGCTTACTTCCTGTTGGCCATTTTGAAGTAAAATGCTAAAATCCTTGTCTGCAAACTTGACTTCACAGTTTTAAAACATTAACATCTTTAACTCACTTCATTCTACTAACTGTTCTTCTGTATTTTACTGTGGCTCATGGCTTCTCAATAACTATAACATTGAGTGTGAAGTTTAGGAAATAATGCCCGAGTGGAAAAAATCAGCCGCAATGCATCATCAAGTCTTGGGCTAAAAATTTTTTCACAATATTATTGCAAAATATTTTCTACGGAATCACCTAAAAGGTATGAATGAAATCATAAAAAGAACATATTTTAAATTAAACTTTTTTTCGCAAAGGTCAAGTTTGCAAAGCATCAATTTCAATCTGTAGAGTCAAGTTGTCACAACCATTCAATGAGTGATATTGGGTGCTGCATCAATATGTTGTGTTTTGACACACTTTTAACCCCTTTAAAGGAATAAGTGATTCCTTTTAGATAAAGTGGAAAACAATATTTCCAATGTTATTTTCCCATAGGGAAAACAGTGTCCCATTGCTTTCAGCTAATTTTGGTCACCCATAATGGATATCTTTAAAACCCCGAAGGAATCACTTATTCCTTTAAAGGGGTTAACTGTGTGTCAAAACGCAACATATTAACATATGTTCCCTGTCTCAAAGTTGAAATTATTTTATCATCTCTATCATCTCTGGGAGTGCTTTTCCTGGATGCAATGCATTGGTCTGACATATGCACCTGTTTAAATCCTCAGAAAATAGCCCAAATCCAACATTGACTGTCCCAAATCTGTTGGGATACTTTCCCTCCTCCTTTCAGTCATTAGCTTAGAAACAAATCCAAATCTATTTGGTGTTTTTACCAAATTAAGTTGCTCCTGTGGCTCAGTCAACAGTCTAGGTGATTAATTGGGGATGGGTCCTGCCACAAAAATTTACTGAAAAAAATCAATTGACCTCCCTTCCTGCCTAAAGTTTGAGAAAATAATTTCCCTCCAAATAAATCCGCATGGGCATTATTTTGAAAGAATATTTAGAGTGCGAAAATTTAAGAATCAAGTTCTGGAAAATACACAAAAGAGCTTAATTAATTAATAATATATATTGGCATGATGTTGCTAATGTTTTATTTACAATATACATGATGCTAAGATACATATAACAGAATATTTACAAATTGTATTTTTACATGAATTATGAATGGCATACTTGCCAAGTTTATTTTTATATTTTTTAAGATCTCAGTACTAAAGTTTGAAGAATGTAGAGTTACTTTGCTGAAGTTTAAATTTTGCCTTTAATTTACTTCTTTTATTGGTACAAGATCAAATGGCAGGGTGCCTCTTTGTTTGATGACATAGATGCTTCCTTGTTGATTTTCCTGGTAATCAGCTGATAGTTAGTGCACATGTTTTCACAGTAAACTTCTCCAAAAGTACAGATTTGAGACTTAAAATGTCCATATATTATCTTATCAGAATGAATCCTGATATTTTGTTCAGTTATGCATGTTTAAAGCATAAATGGCAGATCTTTGTTCATCTCTCCTGTTCCACAATAGCATGATCCATACTGACGAGTCCCTGGAACATGGTAGAATGTGTAGCCAATCCATTGTAGAGATCTTAATGTGACTAGTCCACTTCCTCGCTCAAACTGTAAGCTCCAGCAACCTACAAGTTATGATTTATAAGAAAAATCAGTTATATAAACAAGCTTCAACTATCAGACTATGAAGTGTGAAGAAAATGTAAAGTAACACACAGGCAATTTATCCAAACCCCATTAGCCTACAATACAGAGATGAACTGCAAAGAAATGTATGCTACATAAATCGGTAAAGTATAAGTACTTAAAACTCAATGTACACTACCTTTTGGAATATCCTCATCAATGGGATCAAGAAAATCAAGGGCCTTGTCCATGTTTGCTTTCTGAAGAAGTGTTTTTTCCTGAAGCTTGATAGGATCCCGGAAGTGGAGATATGAACCCTGCTTTGCTGCCTCAGACACACTCAACCCTGAAGGATGGAACATATTATATAAAATCAAGATAACATTTGAATTCACAGATTATCAAGATGGTATAAGGTGAGACTAAATTATTAAATGTAAATGTAATCAAAAAGCTGTTTACCAGCTGTTACCAGCTTCACCAGTTTATCAAAGGGAATATCAATAAGTCTGACAGAGGATCATTATGTAACAATTTGTCCATTACTACATGTAGCTATTTATACAATTATAATTAATAAAATATAATAAGGTATTTGCATGAAAAAATGTCACCATCTAGAAATCATTGCAAAAGTGTAACAATATTGTTACAGACATCAACCATGATACAGTGGCTGTAACAATATGTCTTCTTACTGGTGACAGAAAAATTAACTTAATTAAGAGGTTTTGGGGATTATGTATTGTATAAGGATTCCTACCTTCAAATGTTCTGTTTTCAAAGACCTTGCCAGTGGGAGTTTTAGTGAATGCACCTCTAGGTACAATAAATACATCTTGATCAATATCATCAATCACTGCTGACAGCCTATCCTCTTCTTTTATCATTATCTAAAAGTACGAAAATAAATAAACATTACACAAATGACATGGTCAATGTTAGATATGTATACATCAAGATTTGTTGCATGCTTTAAGATTAAGATCTAATAAATTGCATTGAATATATTGGATACTTTACTCCAACTAATATTTTATGCTATTTCATGTTTGATAATATTTCACTATTTGCAATTTAGAAAAGGAGGAGGGAAAGTATCGTAACAGATTTTGGACAGTTACATGTTAGATTTTGGCTATTTTCTGAGGATCTAAACAGGTACATATGTTGGCCAATGCATTACTTTCCCTTTCCCTCCTCCTTTGCAACTATTATATTTCACTAATTTTCAGTTTTTTTTAAATTTCGCGGCTATTAAGTTACAGATATGTAACTTCTCAAAATGTGTCCTACTTTTTTAAGTAGGCATTTCCCTTTGTTTCTAGTGGATTTGTCATCCAATAACACTCTTTCCACTTAAATATCAGCTATGTTTTTCCCTTCACCCAAAGATTTTGGCTTCATCTTGAGCCATTTGCGAGAATGTTCATTTATATACGATCTTTCAGAACCCAAATGTCAGAATACAGCAAATGTCGTCATCATTGAGTGAAATAAATTCTGGGGAATTATAGACTACTATATTTCGCGAATTAGAACTTTTCGAATTTCAATCATGGCTATTAGAATTACATTTCAAGAATTTCCAAAACTCACGAAAAGTGCAAAATATAGTAGCATGGGACAGGAGTACAGTAATCTTTTAATTGGTGCATCGTGACAGTTATCAAATTGCGCATAGCCCTATGATGTCTCAATTAAGAATTGTAACTTACTGTTTCTTCTTCCTCTTGCATTTCTTCACTGTCTGGCACAGCAATTTTCTTGATTTCTATGTGCTCAAATTCATAAGATGGATCTCCAGTGAATCTGCCTTTGGCAAGTTTTGTTTTCTCCTTGTTTTCTGCAGAAACTGGGTTCAAAATTGCCCAATGGACACAGTCTTTACTGCAATTTAGGAAACAAAGTTATAAAGGACAATTGAAATAGTAATTTTTTAAACCTAATAATGAATGTAATTTATTTGGACATGCCATCTTATTCAGAAATTTGGCAACTGTCTCAATTTACTACACTTTGTACATTAAATATTTAAATGTTTTGTGACATATTTTAGCCATCCTTCAAGATCGGTCGTTCATTGCTTTCATAAATGCTATCTTACTGAATGAACTAGTCTGCCAAGTTTAAATTCACCAATCTTACAATAAATGACTAGATTATCGAAAGCATATAATGTGAATTATATTTATTCACTGCTTAAGATTAGAGACAAGGGCACATGTGTGTAAAGGGTGAGTCGGTGTGGTGATGTCATGATGCAGGGCTGTCAACTTGGGACCACCTAATATGAGTGACTTACAAATGTCAGACACCTAAGTCCAAATCTGAACACTTTTGTCCAAATTTTGAACACCTTTGGCCAATTTTTAAACACCTTTGGCCAAAGTATGAGTACTATTGCCAAACTTTGATCACCTCAAATTTTTCGCGCTCACTACGCTCGCGATATCGTCAACAGGGGGGGGGGAGGGGTAGGTACGAAAATTTCCAATTAACATGTGTGACATATACGGGATTCGCGTGACAAATACGCAAATTGCGGGACAGTTGACAGGCCTGCATGAGTGAGACGAGAATATTGAAACAAGATGGCTTAAACCTTCTTACCTGTAAAAGGTTCTCTTTTCTGCCATTCCATCAATGCCAACTCCTTGTGCAATGAAGTAATCATCCTTTACACCAAGAATTTTGCCCCAAAAATAAACTTTGTGAAATTTTCCTTCACTTTTCAAAATTACAAATGATGTTTGGAGGCATGCCTTCTGCTCTGGACTCAATATCAAGCCACTGGTACCAACATAGTCAATGGCTAGATGAAGTCCGTCTGAATCCATTATTAATATTATCTATAAATTATCGAAATATAAAGAAATGTTGTAGAAATATACCGTGAATTTCCTTCCTTCAAACCTGTTATTAGTTGTCAGGTAGCAACGCGCCTGCGCACTGGTCTTGATGAGGAAATGACAAATTCAATTCTATTAACGAAATTATAAATAAATGCGCAAAATCATTCAAATCAATATATTAATCAATTTATTACTTTGAAATTCATTAAGTTTTATTAATTTTATCAAATAATATATTTCATTTATCAGAATTACATGTTTCATAGAGTCTATCTTTTATTTTCGGCTTTCGATTAGTTTGTCTTATAGTGTTGCTGCTGTCTGCATCATTTCCGGGTTTTAAACCTTGAAATATGTGAAATATTCTAAGTATTCCTAGAATATAAGCCTTCGAAAATAATACCTTCGTTTGATTATGTCTTTGGAAAATACCATAATGTTTTCTACATCACCTGGGGTAGTAATCGACAGGAAAAACACAAGGATAAATATGTCCACCACATTCAACCGAAAATGCTTGCCAAGTTCAGATGAAAAAAATATTGAAACAATCTGGGATAACAGAAAAAAGAAAAATAGCACATTATTTAATGGAACAAAATTTAGACTAGATACTGTGTGTCAGTTATTCAATAAAGAAACTTTGACATTTACTCTGAATTTGGGGTTGACAGATTACAAAGACTTTATTGGGACGAATTGGTCGCCAAATGCAAAGCAGATTCTTCAACATGGAGAAAATGAATATGGAAATACACAAGCTTGTATGTCAGATGCAATGGGCGTTGGTTCTCTTGTCCTGACTGCAGATAATCGTGCCATATTTTTGAAACGCAGCCAGTTTTGTGGAGAAGCTAATGGTCTTTATGACATTCCAGGTGGCCATGCAGAACCAAGTGTAAGTATGATGTAGCATAGGCGGGGTTGCCCCACCCCTAATGACTTTGACTGTCGGAGTTTTAGGGGAGGCATCAAAAGATCAATGTCTGATAGAAAACTAAATAAATCTAGTTTGGGGGGGAGGGGGTCAAAGCAATTTCAGTTTGCTATCCGACAAATTTCAACATTCCAATTTTTTGCAATTTCGACTCAAAATGCCTTAGAATAGTTTAAAAATAAAGACTTTACCAGATGCCTTCTTCACCAAAATGCATGCAACATGGAATATATTGTTGTTGACACATGTTTTAAGAATTATAAATAAAGTATAGTAGCCTACTGCCCCCATGAAAGTCCAAATTGAGTCGCTGAAATATGTGAAAAGTCCGTGATCAACTTTCATTGTATTTAGTTTTGAGGGGGAGGGGGGGGGGTCCAACTCAAAACTAGATTTATTTAGTTTCCTATCAGACATTGAACTTTTGATGCCTCCTCTTAATAGGGTCATTAGGCCAGTAACAAATCTCATATGAATAAAGGCCCAGAGGTGCATTAATGCGCCTAGTTGTATAGTGTAGCCAGGATAAGGCAGATGAGGCAGCCTCATATATTTCTCTATCAGTGAAATTCTAATTACCGATGACAGATCCATAAATAAAGTGCATTAATTCATCTATAATTCATCATAAACTAAGATTTAATAACTTCTTTAAAATTGAACCCTTCAAAGGCTGTATCATGTCCCAAACACGTGAGTAGGTGGGTGCGAGGTAAGTTTTTTATACATTAAGCCAATTTTTTCATATAAATACCAGTTTTTTCAGAATTGACATTTTTTGGCCTGATTTGTTTGTACATAAATAGTTACTAAAGAAATAGTAATTTATCTTTCAGGAGTTGGTAGGGAAATTACCAATGCAAGAAATAGATCTCTCAGCGCTGAACGAGGAAGCTGTAATTGATGAAATATACAACTCAACACTCAGGGAAATCAGAGATGAAGTCAATGTTCCCCTGGATTCCCTCACAGAACCAATCTTAATGGGAATAGCTAGAAATATCACAAGTTCATATAGACCTAGTGTTGAATTTTTTGTAAGGTAAAACAATTTTAACTTAAGCCAGCACTGATAGCTAGATTGAAATATATTGCAATTACCAATAACAAACTATATAATAGACTAGATGCGAGTACAAGTAATATTGATTTACATCATTAAACAGTTAAATATGGCTTTGAAAATAAAATTGTTTATCAAGTTTGAAAATTTAATGGTTTTTTTTTGAAAGTGTGACTTCTAGTCCGGGGAGATTCCCCATAGACCCCATGTTATAAAATCACAAAATGTGAAATATCTTTTTTGTATTGGACAGATAACATTTTCTTTCACTGGTCATATTTTAATTTGCATAACTTAAGGGTGATATGAAAATTGAACCACTAGAACAGATGAATATTAATTAAGTAAAAGGGAACTTTCTACTATACCCGCCATGCCATCTGACTTGAACGAGCCTACTCACATCTGAGTTCGCATCTGATGTTACATATATGTATGCAAAAAATTAGTTGACATTGCTTGATCCCAACTAAAAAAGTTAAGATAATGTGTTGCCGGTAGTTGGATCTCTTTCAGTATTTGGCTGAAAGGAAAAAAATCATAAAACTACAATTACATGTATTTGGCCTTTGACCTCTCTGCTGATCTTTTAATTTGAACACTTTTTGAACTATTGACATCAATGAAACAAGCCTTAATGAATATTTTTCACTTTTTTCATTCTCAATAAAATTAGTATGCATGAATAAGAATCATTGAATTATAAAAATCGTGAGTTAATTGTTTATGTACTTTCAGATGCAGTTTATCAGGTGAACAAGTTGAAAAATTATATCATAAAGGTGGAGCAGAGGAGTATGAATCCACAACAATTGTATTCATTGCACTGGACAGAATAAAAAGTTTACAAAATGATGACTTTTGGAATACTATGGCCCCTTCTGCCAAGGGATGTGTGAAACTTTTTCAGTTGAGTGAAATATCAGCTGAATGAATCTGAATTAACCCTAGAAGCTCTGAGGTAAAAAATCACACGAAGCCCCAAGAGTTAACCTCCCCCCTGGCCAAAAATTCTTTCCAAATCATATAGTTTTTTACCATTCTGAGCTGTTTCGGCCATTTTTGGGGCCTGCACATGGTAGAATTAGTGCTAGCTATTCTTGATTTTTTCTTGGAGCTGATGATTGCATAATTATAAATTGATTACACCTTATCAGAGGCATATAAAACATCATGTTTTCTATGTCTCTGACCATGTATACAGTTCTGCTGATTTTGTCAAATACATTTGTTATATCTAGCTCCAGCTACTGAGAATTTTATCCTACCTCATGTCTATAAAAAGTTTCAGAGAAAAAAACTGCCTTTTGTACCCACTAGGGCTTCTAGGGTTAATAGTAAACAGCAGGGAAATGTAGTAAGTGGAATTGTGGATGCATTGAAAGATACTGTAGTAAGATAATACTGGATTCTGTTGGTGCTGCCATCTTTATATCGGCCCAGAACCTATGGCTGTGGGAACATTATCGGATTCTCATGAACATTACATGCAATGAAAGTCCTGGACTATGAAAAAAATCATCAAATCAAACAAGAAGTCAAATAAAATACAATATGTACAAATTTAGCATAAATGAATGTATACTATTTTTCAAACTGCAATTACTTATTTAGAAGATACGTAGAAAATCTCTAATTATTTTTAGATGTATTTTTATATTACTTTGTATAAAATAAAGAATGTGGGAATAAAATAATGGAGATAAAAACCTATTACTCAAATGTTGTTGTTACTAATCCAACACCCTGTATTCAAGGTATTTTCAGAAAAAGTATTTTTGTTAAAACAATAATTTCAATGTCAGTTGATTGATAATGTGATAAATAAGGGGTAAACAATCCATACCTTTTCAAACATTTTGGGCTAGGCTAATTATCATCTTTTCCCATTAGGATAATTACATGCACACTTATCCAATGTTTTATTTCTCTCAGTAAGTCTTGGTGTCCAAAGGAGCAGGTAGGTTATTGCCAGCTTTTTTAGATAACCATAAGTTCTAAGAATCATTTTTCCACAAAAACAAATGGGTATGTTCAGATGTTTGCCCCATGTGTTATTTTCAATAAATGACAATATAAGGAAAATAAAGTCAACTTGATCAACTCTTCAGCTGTCTCTAATCCACCCAACATCACCAATTTTCCCAAATTATGACCCAATTATCATAAAAATGCGGGCATTTTTAGTTTTTAGTGCAAAGTTACATTGTACCTTTAGACATGCTTCATGCTGTTATTTGATTTTTGTGGTAAAGTCATTCTTAGAACTTTATTATGGCTGTCAGTTTTGGAATAACTTGCTATAAATAAATAAACTTGCTATAATTTGGACCCATCCTCTTACATTTCACTTGAGAATTAAAATTTCCACAAACAAAATCAACATTTACCCCCCCCCCCCCCAATGACTTAACATGTACATCTAATTGACATGATCATCACTAAAACAATATCCAGCAACACAACGAAAATGACTCCAAAATAAAGTAGCAATCAAATATGGATTACATTCAACTGGGTATTCCATGTCCAGAAGTGGGTTGAACAGGTAATCATTACATTGAATGCCCCAATGATTGTGCCTGTAAGAGACCCTGGCCCCTGGGTAGCCTGGGTTTGGTCTATGGTTGGTCAGACTTATGAATTTGAACCCTTCATATGTGTTACTTACTGTATGTTCAAAATATATTTACATTTTTGATCATTCAATAACTCTTAAACATTGGAGAAATAAGTAGATCTAACACCAGAGCAATCGCAATCAAGGTTTAGGTTATGTATCCCATATATTGATTGTGTTATCCAGAGTACCTGGCCGCACAACTTTTCTGTCAATCACGATGACGTCACTAAATTTACACCAATCAAATTTCCGAATAAAATAGTAATGGCGGCAACTCCACCCACTTACAAATACAATTTTTACTTTCATTACAAATATGTTACGTTTTGTATGCATACTCTGTAAAAACAAAAAGCAGTAATATGACACTTATCACATAACTAGATCAATATTCATTCTTCCATTATGAGAAATTTGGTGTTGCATGGTGGTGTGGTTCATTAGATAACACCGTTGAAAGTACCCCTGACTCGAAAAATTTTTCACGTGAAATTGCAAAATGAATCAGTTCGAAGATTGACTTCCTTTGTCCTACGTCGCGGTAAGTGGTTGTTTTTTTTCTCGATTATGTCACAAAGTTTCATCAATCCCTCGCTGAAAATATGTCCTAAAGTATCATGAAATGTTAAAGAATCACCAGAACCTAAGTATATGCCTGATATTGACATTTTTGTTGAGAATTTGACCACTCAAATTTGACAAAAATTTCCCTCCAAAATTCAAGATGCCGCTGCTTCGACGACAACCATTTACGAAAGAAAAGCCACCAGCTGATCTCAAGCCGGATGAAGAAGTTTTCTATTGTCCACTAACTGAGGAAATATTTAGAGATTATGAGTAAGTTGATATGTAACTGCTAAAACATCAGTTAGGCTATTCTGTGAAATAAACACAATTTGATTGTGCAATTCACACTGTGATACAAATCACTCATTGTTCATCAACTTGATCAACTGAAAATTGTGGACAAGTATTCAGGTTTATGTCTACACATTCTTTTAGGGAATTCTTCGAGAGAATCATTCTGTGCAATAGTTTGGTTTGGACCTGCTCAATCACTGGCCGGCCAGGGTTGACTTACCAAGAGGCGTTGGAGTCGGAAGAAAAGGCTAGAAAACATCTGTCAACCTTTCCAAAATATCTGCAGAAGCCTGTACTATACCTTGCTACACTAACTCATAGGAGTCGTCTAAATGATATGAATGATGATGTGTTTGTTTTTATGAAAGATCGTTTTTTCGTTGGGGAAACAGTTGAAGTCCTCAACGATGGAGAAAAGTAAGTTTTTTTCTTAGCATGGTCGTAGCCAAGATATAAATAGGCAAGGCAAATTTAGACTAAAGGATTTATGATGGAACTGCAAAATAATATTTTTTTGTAAAATTTTGACAAGGCTTGCTAGAAGATGTATGGAAATAACATTTTCTACACAAGACTAGAGTATAATTTGAAATGTTTGTAACTACTTTGAATTTAAAAAATAAGCAATCAAAGGACCATATTGAAACAGTATATGTAAAAATAGAAACATTTATACATGTATACATGTCCTAACTTTTGTATATTTTAGTTTGTTTTGTAGTTTAGCTATCATACCTGTGGCCTCTTATATTTTGATGCTTCTCTGCCATGTTATTTTCGGAAATATTAACATGGCTGATTACAAAAGGCCACAGCATTGCTGCACATTATAAATAACTATCTGAAATATACAAAAGTTAGGACAAGTACATATGTTTCTAATTTTTATATACTGTTGCAATATAGTCATTTGATTGCTTATTTTTTAAATTCAAAGTAGTTACAAACATTTCAAATTATACTCTAGTCTTGTGTAGAAAATGTTATTTCCATACATCTTCTAGCATTTAAAATTATACTATATCTTTGGAGTGAAAGTCAATTTAAAACACATCATAATAGAAACTGATAAATTAAAATTTGCCACAGTTAGGAAATAGTTAGTGTAAAACCAAACTTGTTGTAACTAAATAAATTATTTGTCATCTACATGTATTTGTTTTTATGGAGTTATTTAAAGGTATTGCCTTCAAATCATCTTAAATACAGACATGGGCTTTCAACTATCAAATTTCATGACCAGCATATTTTCAATGCAAAAAGTTTTCTTAATGGCCCATGAATCTTATCAAATAAAAACAATATGGTGGCTCATAATGAGTCTACTGGAATTCTAAGAAATTAGGAGAGTTTGGTAAATTCCTGTTTTTGAAATAGTCTTGCTAGTGATAAACAATTTGTGGAAAAGTTCACTATCTTTGAATATTGAGAGGGTGAATTATCTAAAGGATGCACGATCCAATATAAATCCTTGTGTTCGTCCATACTGTTTTGTGTTTTGTTTCATTTACCGGACATTTCATAAGAGACCATACTTTATGAGCAACATCAATGACAAGCGTTCAATTTGCTAAACACCATGCTAGCTTTTTAAAAATAATTTTGGTAATATAATTTATCCGTCTTCTCTGAAACAAATTTTATTTCAAAATGGGCCTAATTGTGTGATAATTGTTAACCAAATTCATTTTTGTTTCCAGGAAAAACTGTAAGATTCTTGAGGTTGTTCAACCAGACAAAAATGCTGGTAAAGATTCTGATGATGAAGGCTCTTGCATTGTTCTAGATGACAGCACAGACAGTGAAGATGAACCTCTAAGGTATATGTCTTTAGCATTTTTAGCAAAGTCATTAACTTATAACAGCATCTTATCACATAACAAAAGTGTCAAAAATTAAAGTTAAACATTTTATTGCTACAGAAAAAGTTTTGAGTGAAATACATGTTTGTGCCTGATGATGATTCTATCCTTGCTCGCATAGTACAGAGAACCTACCATAGGTGTCACTGTGTGCAGATAAAATGGCCCCCTGGTGGTGGTCCTGTGGATAACTACTGGGGCTGAAGGCAATATAGCAATAATATTAAGGTGATACACAGTAGTACATGCGTTCATATTGTATTTCAATGCCCCTTTTGTTTATTTGTAGTAAAATTGCAAACGCTTCATTCATCAGCCCAGGAAAGTATCAGTATGTTGTCCAGGTAGATGGCACTAACAACATCCTGGTTGTAGATGCAGAAGATGTCAAGTAAGTATATTGTAATATATTTTGCCTTCCACCACATCTGGTGGGCAATAGCAATTCTCTTTAGTTAGTTTCATATTTTGTGTAATGTAGACTCTTGATCTATTTTTTATGTCACCATCATTTAACCATCAACTAACATATGTAACAAAATGGCAGGTGGTGACATTTTTGCATAATGTGTGTTTCTTGTCATCATTTGCATACAAGCTAGATTTGTTTGTAGAACATCTGTAGTTTATTTGAGGTACAAAAGTTGGGTGTTGGAAATTAAACTAGAGTTACATGTATTATTGGGAACAATTATTATTTTTAGTCGGAAAAAGGGACTCTACACACGAGATAAAAGCAAACTGTTTTTGAAGCAACATGGTGAAGTAACTCCAGAGGGAATCTGGAAGATTAAGGTAGGGTGGTTTACTTTGAGTGAAATGTTCTTGTTTCAGGGTAATATACACCTTTTAATGATTTATATTTCATTTGAACATCATATTCTTTTAATGTTGTTAAACTATTGTGTGTCCCACAAAAAAAGAAAAAGATATCCACATATTTGTGCCTGATGACGATTCTATCCTTGCTCGCATAGTACAGAGGACCCACCATAGGTGTCACTGTGTGCAGATAAAATGGCCCCCTGGTGGTGGTCCTGTGGATA